ACTCTAGTCATGGGTGTTTATATTTATAATATGTATGTATTTAAAGTTATATCTACATATGTAGTGTATAACTATTTGGTATCCATAACACAGCCTCGTAGCTTACCATGGAACTAGATGGTGCTGTGTGTTAATGTACCAACATATTTATATTTATTTATTATTGGCGAAGTAATCTGTGCTCATCTGGCACCACGCTTTGAAGCCATTAACAATAGAATTGAATTGAACCAGTGTTCGCCTCATGGTAGAATTTTGTCGATCATTATCATTATTTAAAATTTGAGGAAAACATATATGTACATACATAGAATTTACCTATTCATATTAAAAAATAACTTTTCGGTTTTTTTTAATTGATAATAACATTTTGTAATTAGCTACTAAATAAAATTAAAAAAAAACGGTTAATGAACATAGAAGAAAAAGGTACTGAACTGTGATATATATATATATATATATATATATATATATATATATATATATATATATATATATAATAATTGTAACAGATCGCTGTCTGTACATGGAAGATATTATTGGGGGTCTTTATTAACGCAAAAGAACTAAAAACAAGCTTCATTCAACATTTAGTATTTGTTTTATTTCAATCAGTTCATAAATAAAAAAGTTATGTCAATTTAAAGAGTCACTAGTTTTTAATATATAGGTAGTAGGTATATAATGATTACTATGACATGCATATATACGAATACATTCGCAGCAGTTTGATAGATTTTTAACGAGGTTCAAAGAAAACCCCATGGAGTTGCGTAAAACATTGTATAACTGTGGGCAAAGGTATGTTATGTTACTTAGTAATTAGTTACTTTAAATGTCTAATTCAACTCCTGCGCATGTTTACGACCGATTGTGTCATATATAATTAATTCTTGGTCGACTTCAAAAGGAGAGAGTGCTTAATTTTTTTTGCGTGTGTGTCACAACATAACTACGTCAATTTGAATAGATTTTTATAATTCGTTTTTTTAATAGGTTAATTATTAAGTTTAATGCTTCGGTGGTCTAGTGGTTAGCACGTACGTCTGCAGATCCGCAGGTCCCAGATTGAGTTTTTCTGTTACGACATTCTTCTTAAATACATATATATATATATATATATATATATATATATATATATATCTTCTTCTTCTTCCTGCCCATTTCCTAAGTCACTTGGTCACTACAAACTGAGCTAAACGTGTCGTCATTCATACTGACAATTTCTTTTATCTTCATTTACTACACTATACGCTCTATCTCACTAATTCTCTTGGTCTGAATTCAAAGGATAGTGGGACTTTACCACTATTCTATATTCATATATTTTTTTCTAGCTCAAACAGTGTCGATAGATCGACCTGCACTTGCCCAGCGTGATGGACTTTGGCCTAATCTCCTTTATCATAGGGGTGGCCCACGCCCAGCAGTGGGACGTTAAAGACACTGAATTAATAACATAAATAATGAAAAATCTTTAATTTCGATAATAAGTACATAAAACGGTTTCATTCAAGGGCTACTAGTTCAAAACTTGTAGTAAAGTTGTTTTATTATGAGAGAACTATCTGACCTCTACTTGTTAATGCATAATTATTTGCTCTCTCACATAACTTATGTTCCCACGTCATTCACCCTTCGCATTTTTCGGCAACTCTTATAAAATCGATTTCAGCTCTTTTTAACGTCCCACTGCTGGGCACGGGCCTCCCGTCAATATGAAGGGGATCAGGCCATAGTCCACCACCCTTGGCCAAGTGCGGGTTGGCAGAGTTCATATGTCTTTCGAAAACTTGCTAGGTTCCCTCAGACATGCAGGTTTCCTCACGATGTTTTTCTTCACCGTAAGGCAAGTGGTAATCGTGCTAGAAATGATTCGCACGTGAAAATATCAGAGGTACGAGACCCGGAATTTGAACCCGCTTCACTTGGTTTCCCAAGCGAGCGCGTTACCACTGGGCTACCACTGCCTACAAGACGAATCTAACGATACCTTAATTAAAAAAACCCATCGAGTGGTTTGGAAGATATGAGGGAAGAAAGAATATTACAAACGTTCAAAGATAGGCGTGAAAAATATAACTCTTTCTTTGCAGTCGGGTAAAAAGGGAACAGAGTATTCCGCCCTCCGGATGTGAATTATTTTTTAAAATTTTTATAAGACCAAGGTTTACCATATTCTTTAAAAAATATAAATAAATATGTTGGTACATTAACACAGCACCATCTAGTCCCATGGTAAGCTACGAGGCTTGTGTTATGGATACTAGATAGTTTATACACTACACATATATAATTTTAAATATATACATGTTATAAAATATATAAACACCCATGACTGGAGTACAAACATTCGTGCTAATCACACAAGTGAATGCCCCCAGCGGGACTCGAACCCGCGACCGCTGGCACAGCAAGTAGGTGATCCTACTTGCTGTGCCAAGCGTGTCGTCAATATGTTTATTTCTTTACAAAATACATTCAAAAAAGTGGCCATTGAAATAAAATCATTAGGTACACTATCAACTCGCTCTCTTTCGAACAAATCCAAAGCAAACGAACTTGATTCAAATACAATATAGGTATCAGAATGTGTTGACTTGGAACCGGTTTTCCTTTATTTTATTACTAACAACGTGTCATAAATTGTAAACAGCATTGTACGTTAGTTAAATAGTAAAACAGCGCCTTTTGGTAAAATTTTGCAACAGACTCAAAGCTCACAGGATTCACTCGAACCGGATTACAGCCAAGTCCCTTAACCCAGACTTGGCCAGCGTAGTGTAGTCCTGATCATCTTCGCATTGAGAAAGCCAAGTCCCTCAACCCAGAGTTGGCCAGCGTGGTGTACTATGGCCTGAACTTCTTCGCATTAAGTGAGGCCCACGCCCAACGGTGGAACTTTAGAAATGGCTGAGTAGAATGGGTTTAAAGAGCAGTCTATATTATATGTCACTCTCCGAATTCGAATAGACGAGATGCTAAAATAATTAATGACTTGGTAGTTTTAATAAATAGTTACTTAAACTTCTCTATAAGGATGTTATATGTTGTAGGACAATGATATCAGCACTTATGAAAAAAAACCTTAGATAGAGATTGGAAAAAACAAATTTTTTTTCAATCTAGGGTATTATTATAAAAAATGTATTTGTCAATTGTAGCCTTGATTCTACATCAATGAAATTTGCAGAGTTTAAATACACACAAATCGACGCATTTAAAAAAAAATTGTAGAAAAAATACTGATAAAAAAAAAGAAAAATTTAAGGACCCTGTCAACGATGAAAATTAAATTACCGAAACTAATACTTTCTTAGATTTACGCGAATATTACACATTTTAAATAAAACTTTAAACTAAAACTTTTCGGATTTTTTGGCAAATTTATTTTAATTTTTGGTTCCCGACGTTTCGAACGCTTTACAGCGATCATGGTCACAGGAAAGATTAAGCTATTAGATGAACTCAAAGACATTATATAATTGTTACTTAGCCTTTTTCACCTCTGTTTGTCAACCATTTTCTTTGTTTGTTTAGTAGCTATTGAAGAGTTTTAGTGTTGTCAGTAAAAAAAATTTGTAAAACAGTTTTTTTGTATAAATACGTAAATTTTATTTATATACATAATATGTTATCTTCAACTTTTTCAATAATATTGACGGATTTCGACTACCGGACGACCACTAGTACCTAACAATTAATATTTATATTGTGTAAATAAAAGAAAGAACTCTCGGTGATCAAATCCAACTCGCACTTATCAACTTTTATTAAAAAAAAACAATCTGAGAAATACTCGTAAAGAACGGGAAATCGTTTTTTACTTAATATTCAAATTGGCATTGAACTTGTGTGTCAAGGTTTATTTTTAGATATCTTTATTAGGGGCTTAGTAAAATTTTCCTTAGAACGTTTACGTATTGACATGAAGTTACACTCTATCATCTCTTACCATGACTTCGCTCGGGGGAGTCTTTAGGTGCTATATTACATAACAGAGAGCGCCACCTTTCGGCAAATCTTATTACTAACAATAGCCAGTACTCCATGTCAAAGTGTTTAGTACTTGACAAAAGCAGTAAAAAACTTGGCTCAGTTTGTAGTGACCCTACTTGCTGTGCCAGCGGTGGCGGGTTCGAGTCCGCTGGAGACATTTATTTGTGTAATGAGCACAATGTTTCTACTCCAGTCATTGGTGTTTATATTTATAATATGTATGTATTTAAGGTTATATATGTGTAGTGTATCAACTATATGGTATCCATAACACAAGCCTCGTAGCTTACCATGGAACTAGATGGTGTTTCACATTATAATAGTAATGTGATTGTTATTTACAAATTTTATATAGAAATTTATGCTCTACAACTTTATTGATGACTTCAAATCTCATTTTTAGGAGAGAAAAATGAGTCATTTACATAAAAACGTTTATCGTGAACTTTAACCTCTTTAAGCCGACATATTATTATGCCAAAACATCTGTATACATATATATAAGGCTTTTCATTGCGAGTTTTGCCTCTTTTTACCCGACTGCGGCGAAGCCCAAAGAAAGGTTATGATTATGATCTGTAAGTACGTATGTATGTCGGAGACTAAACGGCATGAACATACACATATATTGCCTTTCATTCATATTATTTGTATACATATACATATATGGCCTTTCATTGCGAGTTTTGCCTCTTTGTAGCCGACTGCGGCGAAGCCCAAAGAAAGGTTACAATTTTGATCTGTATGTATGTATATATGTCGCTATGTTCTATCATAAATACTAGGTATACGGCTAAGCCGTAACGGCTTAACCAAATATGAACGTCGTTCTTTTCCATCTACTTTATTTTACCCAAATTAGAAAGCTAGATTCCATTACCTAGATTTTAAACGTTAACTTAGTTTACATAAAATTGTTTATTAACATCATATCGTTTTCTTTTGCAGATCTCAAGGCAACAAATAAAATGAGTAGCAGTGTAGTGATTTAAAAACTAACCATGGCACCTCTTAACTATAGGATCAGACTAACACTTTTAGTTTTCGTGAATTTGGTGATAACAAGTAACTGTGATAACGTGAGTGATGAAGACAGTGTAAAAATTCGTTTCGACGACACCAGACTAGCGTATGACGAAATAGATTTTAATGCCAATACAGACTCAAAAGAGTATAACGTTACCAAAGAAGAATCACACACCACAGAAGTAACTGCAGACGAATCTGAAGATAGGCGATATGATACTGAAAGTGACGTGACAACACAAGATGCGACAGAAACAAGTTACACAGTAGCTATAGAGAACGATGTTTATAATAACGGTGAAGATGTTTACAATCAAAACGGATACAACCAGGTTTGCCTATTTAATATAGATTATATAATACTTCCGCCTATTACAAGATGTGATACTGAGTGTAAAATGATTTTAGATGTAATAATTTCATTGTTATATGTGGTTTTTTTTTCAATTTTTTATAGGACTACCTTTGTTTTTTGGTAAAACTTATAAAGAAATATCATGGAAATCGGTTCACGTAACTCACCCTTCCTACATGAAGTTGGTTAAAATCACCATTGTAATCTATACTAATATTATATAAAGCTGAAGCGTTTGTTTGTTTCTTTGATTGAACGCGCTAATCTCAGGAACTACTTATTCGATTTGAAAAATTCTTTTTACATTGGATAGCCCATTAATTGAGAAAGGCTATAGACTATATATCATCCCGGAAAAATATACGGTTCCCGTGGGATAGATTTGTTTTTGTCTACGGAAGAACCCAAAGCGAAGTGAGGGTGAGTCGCAGTAGTCTCATATAAAGTAAAATTAAATAATCAAGAATTAACATTATACACTAGGACTACGACTTACTCTCGCTCCGCTCAGGTCGTCCCTGTGTGCCTAACAGTAGCCTATGTGTTAGGTACTCCAGGACATCTTTGTACATACTAAATTTTAATCCAAATCCGTCCAGCCATTTCCGAATACTCGTCTGATAAATATTTTAATCAAATCAAGTATCCTTTAAAACTTTACTACAGCCGTTACTGTATTTATGCGGTTTATGCAGTTACCTAATTAAAAAGTAACAAGTAGGTAAACGTACACTTTATGAAGACTTAGGCAAGATATTATTATCAATCGTCGAAAAATAGAAATTTTAACTCAATTATCTTATTAATGGTTTAAAAAAATTAAAAATAAATTGAAGTTGTAAAAATTGTACTGGAATGACAAATTAAATTGTCATGTTATAGAATAATAACATTCCATTTTTTTTTTTTAAAGAAAAGCTTGTCTAAGCTCCCAAAATACCTATAAGCTCGCGTATATAAGTTATATGGAACATTAACAACAAACACACAAAATCCAATCAAAACGAACGAAGTAACAGACTTAGTATCGCCTTTAAAATATTAGTAGCGATACGTAATTAAACAAAATATTATTAAAGTAAGACTTCCGAAAAACCGTATTTTATTTTCAGTCAGAACCACCACAGGCCACTACACCGCCCATGGACGAGGGGTCTCAGATGACCGAAGTGGACGAGGATTACGAGAGCACTGGGCAAAGAAGTCCGAAGACTGAGAGTAAGTATTTTAAGTATTTTATTATACACTAGCAGACCGCCCTGGTTCTGCTCGGGGGTTAAAATATCACATAATTAAGCCTTTCTGACCAATTTCGGCCACAGCGATCAATACTATTAATAATAACCATTTGTGCAGGATATACTATAGTGCACAAGTGCGCTAACATAAGTTCGCTCTTTTCCTCGACCAGTGATATATTTCCAAGGCACTTAGTTGTAACACCGCCAACTTCTCAACTTTAGACTACTATTAAAAAAAAAATAGAAAAACTAAATAACTCGTATCGAACCGATACTCGAATCCGGGACCTCCAGGTCTGATGCTAGCGACTAGACCAGCAAGGCCGACTAATAAAAATCGGCACAACTAACTCCTAAATAAGAAACTTTTATGTCCATCGCAATCTTAAGAAAAAACAACCACAAATGCTCTTGAGCAAACCAGGGACATATCACTAGTTAAATATATTTAAAGTCGTTATTGGCCCTCCGAATGTTGCACATAATTAAAAATTTCCACATAGCTTCCATGAAACCCATCCATTTGCGGTGCAGATTTTCATTTCCCATAAACCATAACTGATATCACACGTCAAAATTGATAAACTTCACATATATACATGTGCTTACTGACATGGTCTAGAATCTAGAAATATCTTAAAGGCGCATTTACACGGGGAGAGCTACTCGAACGATTTCGAGTCGAGCAATCGTATGATAATATCGATTAGAATAATCGCCTCACGATAATCGTATTTTAATGTGAGAAATAACATTTCTTCTGCGAATTTATGTTAGGAGAATCGTAAGGACATTTTGTTCTACTGCGATTGTTTGATTAGCACGGAGTTTCTCGCTCAATCAAAAATAATATGAATATCTAAGAAAAAAATTGCTAGTCGGACTCGCACGTGAAGGGTTCCGTACCATAATCGATTTTTTTATTTGCATGGCAGCCTTTTTGCAATTCGCCATCTTGATTTTTTATTATTTGTTGTTATAGCGGCAATAGAAATACACTGTGAAAATTTCAACTCTCTACCTATTACGGTTCATGAGAATGCTGTTTGTATTCTAACAGACAGACGGACAGCGGAGGCTTAGTAATACGGTTCCGTTGGTTTCGGGTACGGAACCCTAGAAACGAAATAACAAAAATATTAGTTCGAAGATATATGCTTTCGATTTCAATGAATCAAAAACTTGTGTTTTTAACTAATTTAATTTTAGCTTTAATTTTGGGACGAACTACGTAAACACGTTCTCGCTTGTTTATTCAAGTTCACTCGAACTTTTAACAAATCGATTCGAGCCATTTTTAGTATATGAGACATTCTTTTTTATTTATTGAAGTTCAAACAGGCTTTTTACAAATCGGTCCGTGCCATTTTTTACTAAAATAAGTGTACTAAATGTAATAAGTTTTACTAAAATTGAATTTTTGTAAATAAAAATTATTTTTACTCTTTATGTTACACATGGAATTCCAAAGAAAAAGCTCTCCAATTTTTTTTCATAACCGTACAAATTAACCTATTTCAAAAAAAAGAGGTTATCAATTCGGCCCGTATACTGTATAGGTAAATATAATAGTATTGGAACTGCAATATATTCATTCACACATTCTATACATTCACATATTTAATCTATTAGAACTTCCAAACAAATGTCACAATACAAAACGTTATAAATATATACATATGTGTACGTTTATTTGTATGTACATTTGTCCACGCATTTCTCCAAAACTATCAATCAGTAACCATTCTTTTCAACCGACTTCAAAAAGGAGGAGGTTCTCAATTCGACTGTATTTTTTTTTATGTTTGTTACCTCAGAACTTCGTCATTTATTAACCGATTTGGACAATTTTTATTTTTTGTTTGTTTGTGTAGTTTGAAAGGGTATATTTCCAGATTGGTCCCATTTAAATTTCAAAAAAAAATACCACCCCTAAGGGTGAAAAAATAGCTAATAATGAATTTAACCTACTTCTAATTGTCATATTGACTTGAAACTTTGCAAGTATTTCTATTTCCGTTGATAGTACAGTGGTTCGGTGTTGTTGACCTGATCTGATGGCAAGGCCAGAAGGTGGATAGGTGGAACTCTTCAACGGCTAATAGTAGATACTTTGAGTTTGGGCTTATTTTGTTTGATTTGACAAGCCTAACACGTTAGAATCCTTACTTTGCTACTACTGTCTACACTAAAAAGGGAAAAATAAAAACTTTTTAACAAAAAAATAAAAACCGACTTCAAACAAAAGCACTAAAAAGTAAAAAATAACTGATTGGTAGTTTTCATTCGCTATACATACCTAATCAAATATTTTCGAAGTCGGTGTGCTTTGGCTAAGTAATTAAAGCCTACCTATTAAATACATACCTAATCAAATATTTTCGAAATCGGTGCCAGCCCATACAAAGCAAAGCACACCGACTTCGAAAATATTTGATTAGGTATGTATAGTAAATGAAAACTACCAATCAGTTATTTTTTACTTTTTAGTGCTTTTGTTTGAAGTCGATTTTTATTTTTTTGTTAAAAAGTTTTTATTGGTTTACATTTACTTGAAATTTGGGAACAAGGTGCAAGGAGCATCAAAATCGGTTCAATCGTTTTCAAGATATGAACTTGACGGCCTGGCTTATTGATACGGGCTACGAGTGTGGTATCAAAGGGAAAACATCTCATGACCTTGATAATCAAAATGACCGAAACAAAAAACAACTTATTACAAACAAATATTCCACTTTTTACGAAAAAAATGAGGGGCCCACAAGTTTTATGCCAGCACTTAAGAAAAGTACCTGTTAAATATACCTATTCTATTTTGATCATTTAAGTTGTATCGATGTTGTTTATTTTATTTATTTTTTTCAATAAGGTTTGCTAGTGGTTATTACATGTTTTACAAGAAATCATTTCAGTTAAATAATTAAAATAGAGCACAATTCATAACCATTTAAAAGCAAACACAACTTGCATATTCTTGCGTCCGTTTTGCACAATTATGAAGATTTTAATAATTATAAATTAAAAATTAAAAAAAACCCTACGCAAAAAATACTTATAGTTTAAGGAACAACGTTTAAAAAGTAAAAAACTTAATCGAGTAGTCATACGCCAAAATGCCTTCATCATTTTGGAAAAGAGCTGATACTCTTACTTTACTTACTCTTACTTTTATTAACCAAACATAGCTAAGAACCACCGCAAGGAAACTGGCTTTCAAATGAAAAAAATCGCATCGAAGTCGGTCCATCCGTTTGAGAGCTACGATGCCACAGACAGACACACACACACACACAAACAGACAGACGTCGACGTCAAACTTATAACACCCCTCTTTTTGTGTCGAGGGTTAAAAATTCTTGTTGGATGGTTTTGCTGGCACCGACCCCAAATAAAGTTAAAATGGAATACCTAGATTTACTAAATATTATTTATAGAAAAAGCCATAACTAAATCGTAGAAAGTGATGGCAAGTGTGTTATTATCGATTCACGCAATTTGTTACTTGTCAGATTTAATTAAACGCTAAAATTTATCGACTAGAAAGCGACAGGACGAACTGTAGTTTACATTATAAAGAGGTACTATGTACGAGTATGTAGGGGAGCATTTTCTAACCTATTACGCACATTCTTTTTGTAACACCGGTTTTTTCAGCTCTGTTTATCCTTTTTTCAGATACTTTTCTAAGGGAGGGAATATATTCATAGTCGAAATTTTAAACGGGCTATCTAATGCAAAAGATTTTTTTCAAATCGGATTAATCCCTGACATGGGCGTACACCCTTTGTTACAGAAGCCTACCCACAAAATAACAAAATGATTTCAAAAATTTAAAAAATGACACTTACTGGCAATATTTGTTAATTTTAATTTTTATAATTTACTAGCATTGCCCGCGGCTCCGCCCGCGTTCGGATAACCAAAACCCAAATTCTTAAGTTTTACATATTAGTATACTCTTACAATGCAATTTTTATACTTTTTCTCAGAAATGAGATATTTTCCCGCGGTAAAAAGTATCTTATATGTTGACCCGGTTAACCAACTATCATCATACAAAATTTCATCAAAATCTGTACAGTGGTTTTCTCGTGATGCGGTAACAGACAGACAGACAGACAGACAAAAATTCTAAAAACTATAGGTTCGGACTCTGTATCGATAATAATGTCTATTTCAATTAGATTTTCCAAAAAATATTTAATGTACAGATTCGACTTAGTTACAATTTTATTATATGTATAGATGAATAGAGCGTGCTCTTGTGTCCCTGGGCACACTCCTGTATACTACCTATGCCTGATACGCAGTTGGCAGTCATAATAAGATGGGCCACTGTGACCAAATTGTGATTAGGATCCTCCTAACCGACTTTACTATTTTTATTAACACCCCCATCTCTCGGTTTTGTATATATTAAAAAATTGACAACTTAATTAAGGATATCTAGTGTAGAATTTAACTTTAAATAGATCAATAGAACCTATTTTATTTTTAGCCATTTACATATATATTTTTAATTATCATTCGGATTCTAAACTGCGTCGAAGATTGTTAAATATTTGTATACATTAAAATATTTATAACTAAAAGAAAACCTTCTTTTCAGCTGACAAGCAACCAGTAGAAAATAGAATCTTCGAGAAACCTCGTCCGATTCCAGCACTAAGTAAGAGCTCAACCCTCAAGTCCTGGTTGGAAGACTCATGGCTACGACCTCCAGCAGGGATCCTGGTACCATTGAGGCCTTTGGCACTGAACAGAGCTCTGGGGGTTTGGAATGATCTGGCCGGTGAAGGGTTGAATGTGACTGACATCGTCATAGTTGGATATGATTCTAATGGTTTGTTTTATTTTTCTATGACATTCTTATTATTTTACACTAATATTATAAAGAGGAAAGATTTGAAGATTTGTATGTTTGTAACGAATAAAATCAAAAACTACAAAACCGATTTAGATGAAATTTGGTAAGAAGATAGTTTGAGACCCTGGGAACGACATAGGATATTTTTTATTTCGGAAATCATCTATTAAAGAGGTGAAAAAAACAAAGCCGAGCAAAGCCAGGGAGAGTCATTAATAATCCATACAGGATCTTTGTACCTACTCCTTTTTAAGCATATATAGAGGATTGCAGAATGCTACGAGTATTTATTGACTTGCTTTTTTATTATGCACCCTTGATTTAAAAAATAAAGAAAGGTTATCAAGAAGAAACTCACCTATTTTACAAAACCATCAGCCATTTTACAAAACAGCTGGATTGTGAGTGATGTTATGTTCGACAATGCATTATGTTATGCCGTATACACACACTTGCCAAGTCTCAACAAGCCATCAAGAATTCAAACATGTTGAGAAGGTGTTTGGCTTACCTCGTGTAGTTTTGCAAGCACTTGTGGCGCTCCGATCGTGTCGGCTTTAATGCACAAGTCAAAGAAAATTTGCGGCAAGTGCATGTGCGTTTATAGAAATTTAAAGTTTGTGGCAAATGACAAGCGTATGTACCCAGCATTAAATTCATGCTTGATTGCTTTTTTCTTAAATTGAGAAAAAATTACCTTATTGCCCACAATAATGTATTCAACTATCCAACGTCTTACAATTTGCCTTCGTCATTTTACATAACGGCTTGGTTTACAAATAGACGTGACATTTATTTCAATGACGTATCATACTATATTCCCACAACATATACACATGTATATGAAATTAATAAAATACCAGTTTAGAATCAAATGTGTATATAAATTATATTTACTGCGTTGGTTTCATTTATTCACAGCGTAATGGAAATAAACAAGATAGTCTCCTGGAGCATTTTATTAAGTCTAACGATTATAAATCTTTATGTATAGAATTATTTTGAACTAGCGACTTACCCTCGTTTCGCTTCGAGTTCGTCCCTAGACAAAAGAAAATCTATCCCACGGGTGCGGTTCATTTTTCCGGGATAAAAGTAACCTATGTGCTATTCCAGACTATAATCTATCTCTGTGCCAAATTTCATCTAGATCCGTTCAGCCGTTCTGGCGTGATTGAGTAACAAACATCCATCCATTTAAACTTTCGCTTTTCATGATTCGTTTTTCATAACTGATTTTTAATGATTATGTCTCAAAGATCTTATGCAAGGTCCTATACAAATTTAATTTAAAAAATCCCACCTCTGAGGGTCAAATCATAAGTTAGAGGTGATTTTTAAATAAACGTGCCGTTTTTGTTATAAAATAACAAATTAAATCATACTTTCTTTGATTTACGCTTAATTTTTACTTCTATACTTAATATTATAAATGTGAAAGTGTGTTTGTTTGTTTATCCTTCTTTCACATCAAAACAGAAGGATTGGCGTGATTTTTGTATGGAGATAGTTAGAAGGTTGTAGAGTGACATGGCTACGTTTTACTGCGGGAGATTATCTCATTCCCACGGGAAAATACGTTATAATACAACAAAAAAATATTTATGATCAGAATTACTTGAAACCCGGTATTAATGCTCCTCAATACAATTATATAAATACGTGTTTTAGCATTTTCGAAATTCATCCCATAAAGGGGTACACACAGGCGATGAAATTTTACATAAAACCAACCATTTTAGAGATTTTGTTTGAAATTTTAACGCGAGCGAAGCCGCGGGTTCTGCTAGTTTAAAATAAAACAATCTTTTTCGTTTTTTTCGCCGATTTATTATCAGTAAGTACCTATTATGGGATAGACATAAACACATGCGCAGGCGCAACACAGACTAATGCTATCAGCAATCACAATTTGTTATGACGTATGATATGTAATTATAAATGATACCTATATGTACTGTAATTAATTGAATGGTTACACAATATGTTTTACGGTTACGAATAGACTTTACTCCACTCGGCTTTTGCGTATGTTTGACGTGTTTAGTTTAATCTGTGGGCTTGAACAAAATGTCATTCTACAATCGTTGAAGAATATAAATCGTCGAATAAAACATCTAACCTAGGCAGTGGTAGCCCAGTGGTAACGCGCTTGGGAAACCGAGTGAAGCGGGTTCGAATCCCGTGTCTCGCACCTCTAATATTCTCATGTGCGAATCATTTCCAACATGACCACCACTTGTCTTACGGTGAAGGAGAACATCGCAAGGAAACTGCATGTTTGAAAGAATTTAGCAAATTGTCGCAAGACATTTGAAGTCCGCCGTTAAAATTTATGGATTTTTGTGGGCGGAGAAGACAGAAGTCACAGCTGATGTGCAATAAAATATTTTTAATTGTAGAGTCTATTTGTACAAATACAAGCATTGTTCAAGTCTAGATTACAAATCGTTGCGACCTTACTTCAGACTATTTCTAACGTTTCAATGGAATGGTTTTTCTAACATTTTGTCAATAGTTTCCGACTTCAGTGTTTAATTTAGTTTTTTTATACTATAATTGTTATAAGCTTTTTTATCTATACTTATAATAAAATTGTAACAGAATCGAATCTGCACATTATAATATTTTTTGGAAAATCTTATTGAAATAACCATTATTATCGATACAGAGGCCGAATCTATAGTTTTTAAAATGTTGTCTGTCTTTCTATCTGGGAACACATCACGAGAAAACCAATAGACAGATTTTGATGAAATTTGGTATGATGATAGCTGGTTATCCGAATCAACATATAGGACTTTTTACTGTGGAAAAATATCTCATATCTGAGAAATCAGTAGTAAACTTTAAAACGTAATATCATAAAAGCCAATTTATTATATACTGTATTTTTCTACAAATTACAAATATGTATAACGTGTCTATAAATAGTAAGAGTAACATTTATTTATATCAATTCATTGAAAATTCATATTTTTATCGCAATAGTTCTCGTAAGAACGCTGCAATATTTTACAATTATTCGTGATTATAATTTTAATTTATATTGGGGCAACCTATAAGATATTCAATAAAATCTTATTCATCAAAAATAACATTTATGAAAATCTTTTAAATTTGAAAAGGTATGATGTAACATACATACAACAAAACAACTTCAAAAGAGGTTCTCAACCTCCTTTTTGATATCAGTTTTTTTGACATAGACAGTGTGTGTGATAATTAATTAATATACGTACCCATTTCACGATTTCTGAATTTTCTATTTTTGTTTTAACTTATTCACATTACCTGTAAAAAGAAAAAAAAAATTATAACATCACGTGCGTAATCTACATGATATTTGTTAAATATAAGTTATTTAGCTAGCTTTAAAAAATATAGCGTCTTATATATGTACCTACCTTAGGTCAGGGTAGAGTAGGTTTGGTTTTTTTAAACAAAAAATAATATGTAATAAGATGGTAGGTAGTGGGCGAAGGGTGAAATCTTACCAGATGTAAGCCGTTCTGACAAAAAAAAACACAAAAAAAAACATTGATATACATTTTTTATACATGTATCAATGCAAAAAAAGAAATGAGGCAATTGTGTCCAAAACTTTTTAAAAAGAAGAAGGCACCGACTTCGAAAATATCTGATTAGGTATCCATTCTAAACGAAAACCCCCGTTTAGTTATTTTTACATTTTAATGCCTGGAAGTCGGTTTTTTTAAGTTTTTATTTTTTCATTTTTAGTGTAAACATAATAAACAGGTAATTTGTAAGAAGAAAGTTTTTTAATAACATATTCGATTAAACAATTTATTTAAAAAAAAACTTATTGTTGATTTTTTTAAAAACCACTCGACCGATTTCGATAAAATTTATATGGGACCACCTGGAAAGTATACCCTTTGAAACAAAAAAATATTTCCAAATCGGCTCAGGCGTCTTCGAGTAATCGGTGAACATACATAAAAAAAGATTCCGACGAATTGAGAACCTCCTCCTTTTTTGGGAAGTCGGTTAAAAAGAAAATTTATACATTTAAAATTTAAACGTATGTAAAATATTATAGCAAAATAAATTTAAAGTTAAAACGGTGGGAATTGTCTTGAAAGGATCCTTCGCCACTATCGCAAAGTCGGAAGTAGATGATAAAATTAATTATCATATTATAAAAAAAGACACTTTTTATCAAAAATATAAAATGAAATTGTTTTTATATCTTCTCTACGGCTATCATCGAACCTAGATACCACTTTCAGACGCGACTCCATTCAGACCAATACATCGCCCATATACCAGACCTTGCAGAACCCGCCAACTTATTATAATAAGTAATTACGACTTTGGCGGACTACTGTCAGAATAGTAAAACTTGAAAAGCTCATTTGGAAAACCAAGTGATACGGGTTCAAAGCCCGGGTTTCACACTTCTGATATTTTCATGCGAATCATTTCCAACATGATTATCACTTGCTTAACGGTGAAAGAAAACATCGTAATGAAACCTGCATGTCTTTAAAAAAAGACATGTGAAGTCCGCCAACCTGGGTTTGATCATAGTGGACTCTATCCTTCGCAATCCCCAATGCGTGGAAAGCCCGTGCCCAGCAGTGGGAAAAAGATCTGAATGAGTTATTAGTTACATAAAGGGTCGACAACACGTTAGGCTCAGCTTGTAGTGAGCCTACTTGCTGTGCCAGCGGTCGCGGTTTCGAGTTCCGCTGGGGGCATTCATTTGTGATGAGCACGAATGTTTGTACTCCAGTCATAGGTATTTATAATTTGTATGTATTTAACGTTATATATGTGTAGTGTATCAACTATCTGGTATCCATAACACAAGCGTCGTAGCTCACCATGGAACTAGATGGTGCTGTGTGTTAATGTACCAACATATTTATATTTATTTATATAAAGGATCAAAAATTTTCCAACTAGACCGATACTTTGCATTATCAGTGCAAACAATACGTGTCGGTGTAACACCGAGCTATAATAAGAAATCAATCGAATAAAAAATAAAGTTAGCAAGTTTTTAACTGGAGCGGAACGTTACGCAACCACGTTCTCCACTCAAGGTTACCGACGAAATAAACTGAAAGTGTAATACGCAAAAAAATGCTATTGAGATAACTTCTATTAAGTCATTTGTGCTGAGACGTAAGAGTAGATTCGACTCCCGTACGGTGTAAATGAATGCATTCATGGATAGAACGACCTTTTTGTACAAAAGAGCAAGAAAATAATTAGAACAGCTTTTACCAATCAGCTACCAAAAATCTGTTTTTTTGTTTTATTTTTTGCTTATCTGTTTTTATGCTTGTCCAAGAGCGAACAGCTCACTTGATCCCAATAAGAGGTACATACGAAATATTAAAAATCAAAAATTTGATTATTTCATTCAATAATGACATTTAAAAAAAACACTTTTTACACGCTATAGAACTAGAATTTTACTACTATATAAATGCGAAAGTTTGAATGGAATGGATGTTTGTTACTCAATCACGCCAGAACGGCTAAACGGATCTGAATGAAATTTGGCACAGAGATAGATTATGGTTTATAATAGCACATAGGCTACATTTTATTACGGAAAAATGTACCTTGGGATAGATTTGTTTTTATTTTCACTGGAGACGAACCCGAGCGAAGTAAGGGTGAGCCGCTAGTATATACATATATCGCCATATATTCTTTCCAATCGTTAAATTCTTATACGATAGCCGGTAAAATATTGTAATAAATAGCTTAAGTTCAAGGCTTTAAATCAACATTGTAAATAATAACAAAAACTATTGTAAATATTAATTACTAGCGACTTACCCTGTCTTCGCTCGAGTGCATCTCTACGTGCCTAACAGCCTATGTGTTACTTCAGCTCATAGTCTATCTGTATACTAAGTTTCATCAAAATCCGTCCAGCCGGTTCAACGTGAAGGAGTAACAAACATAAAGACATACAGATATACAATCTTTCGAATTTGAGGTAGTAGTGTAATCAATGTTTTGTCATCAGGTGTCAACTGGAGGTCTCGACACAACCTCCAACCCACGACCAGTGGTACGGGAGAGAAGACAGTATCTGATGCATTGTCTAAGCTACTGTTAAAATATCAGGTAAGTCGAAGAGTTTTTGACTATGGAAAAAAAACATATTATTCAATATTACGTAGATATATTTATTATTTACTAGCGACTCACCCTCCATTCACTTCGGGTTCGTCCATAGACCAAACAAATGTACCCCACGGGAACCGTACATTTTTCCGGGATAAAAAGTAACCTATGTGCTATTCCAGAATAAAATCTTACTCTGTGGCAAATTTCATCCAGATCCGTTACGCCGTTCTGGCGCGATTGAGTAACAAACATCCGTCCATCCTCACAAACTTTCACATTTATAATGTTTATGTAGGACTAGAAGGGATAATTTTTTTCTGACCCGATTCACAAATATTTTGTATGTTAGGTTTCTAAATTATAGCCTATACATAACCTTCGTAGATAATCTTACTTCTATCTTTATATATATAATTCTTCTGTGAGTGTGTATGTCACTGAACTTCTCTCAAACGACTGGACCGATTTTGATGACATTTTTTGTGTGTGTTCAAGGGGATCTGGGAATGGTTTAGATTCACAATTTGAATAATAATTTTCATCAAAAAAATTATTAAAAAAAGTTTGAAATTTTCAAATTAAAGACGTGTAGACAGGACAACGTCTGTCGGGTCCGCTAGTTATATATAGAAGAAGAAGATAGATGTAAAAATATTCTAAATTTAAAAAACCTTTAAAAAATACCGATTTCCCGGCATTAAGATGTAAAAAATAACTACTACTGACACCGACTTGGAAAATATCCGATTAGGTATCTATTCTAAATGAAAACCCCCGTTTAGTTATTCTTTACATTTTGTGCCTGGAAGTCGGTTTTTTTTTTAAGTTTTTTTTTAAGAAGAAAGTTTTTTGATAACATATTCGATTAAACAATATATTTAAAAAAAATTTTATTGTTGATTTTTGAAAAAACCGCTCGATCGATTTCGATAAAATTTATATGAGACCACCTGGGAAGTATACCCTTTGAAACAAAATAATTTTTTTCCAAATCGGTTCAGGCGTCTTCGAGTAATCGGTGAACATACATAAAAAAAAAGATTCCGACGAATTGAGAACCTTGTCCTTTTTGGAAGCCGGTTAAAAAGGCTTATAATATAAATTAATTTTGTAGCAACTACAAAACAACACAACTCAAATGAACAAAACCACATAATTTCCGTTAAGAAACCTTTCAAGATCCTTGATATATGATTTATGTAACATAAAATTTATGCGTATGATGATGATGATGTGTTGTTTATAATTGACACTTGCAAGGACACTGGTTCGATTCTTTGCTAGAGCTGAAAAGATAATCTGTTTTTAACTATAACAATACATAAACATTAAAATTTATACATATAATAAAATTCTAAGTCAAATCTGTACGTACATTAAACTTATTGAAATAGTCATTATTATCAATACAGAGGCGGAATCCATAGTATTTAGAATTTTCGTCTGACTGTCTGTCTGTCTGGGAACACATCACGATAAAACTACTGGACAGATTTTGATGAGGTATGATGATAGCTGGTTATCCGAGTCAACATATAGGATATTTTCACTAAAATTTAAAACGTAACTAGGGACGAACCGAAGCGGAGCGAGGGTGAGTCGCTAGTATATATATAAATAGACAAAGACAAAACAGTTCAGTATATTTTCCTCCTCTGTTTGTAAACCGATTTTCTTTTTTGTTCAGTACCTTATATAGATATGTAAATTAAAATCATATTTGTTTTCCAAAAATTTGTAAGAATGCATTTTTTATTTATGAAACTAAAAAACAACAAATCATCACGAACATCGCGTCATACAAAGAAAACTATAGTAAAAAAATATGTAATATATAAATATCTAATATATAAATATCTCGTGTCACGGTGTTTGTGGTCGCATTCCTCCGAAACGGCTCGACCGATATTGATGAATTTTTTTTTGTACATTTGGTACGTATGAGAATAGCTCGTAAAGTATTTTTCAACCTCCTACCCCCCAGCCCCACTTTTAATCGCAATTTTAATATTTTTGTATGAAAAATATTATATAAATACATAGGTACTTGTGTATTCAGCCCTTTTTGACGTCCCACTGCTGGGCACGGGCCTCCCTTCAATACGAGGGGGATCAGGCCATAGTCCACCACGCTGGCCAAGTGCGGGTTGGCGGACTTCACATGTCTTTCGAAAACTTGCTAGGTTCTCTCAGACATGCAGGTTTCCTCACGATGTTTTCCTTCACTGTAAGGCAAGTGGTAATCATGTTAGAAAATGATTCGCACATGAAAATATCAGAGGTGCGAGACCCGGGATTTGAACCCGCTTCACTCGGTTTCCCAAGCGAGAGCGTTACCACTGGGCTACCACTGCCTTAATACTGTGTTTATAGGTACTTATATACCGTATAATTTAAAGCCAAAGAGATTTTTTTTGTAGATTGAACGCGGGCGTAGCCGCGGGTTCTGCTAGTATATCTATACTTGGTGCTTAAAAAAGTGTACAGGAAGTTAGTCGTCTATAGCGAATTATTAGTTTAGTCTAAATATTATCTTTTACATGTTATTATGTTAAAAATTATATGAATATTTTCCAAAGACATGTGTTTCGTTTTCACGCTATAATTAGATTTCACAGTATGTATTTAGTATTAAATAAGTACACTTTGAGGTCAAATACCGCTTGGAAAACGTTTTTCAATAGAAATGTTACAATAATAATATTAATAAAAGAAAAGGCAATGGTAGCCCAGTGGTAACGCGCGTACTTGGGAAACCGAGTGGAGCGGGTTCAAATCCCGGGTCTCGCAACTGTGATATTTTCATGTGCGAATCATTTCCAACATGATTGCCACTTGTTTTTCTTAACGTAAATTATCAAAAACATGTGAAGTCCGCCAAGTCGCACTTGGCCAGCGTGGTGGACTATGGCCTGATCGCTCTCGTATTGAAGGGAGGCCCGCGCCCAGCAGTGGGACGTTAAAAAGGGCTGAATATATACATATATACAATATACATACAAAAGAAATTAAATTATCAATGATGTATGTATACATATGTGTAAAGAGTATCACGTAATTCTTACTAATCAATCTATACATCTATACAGATAAATAAAATTGAAGTGTCTGTGTGTAATGTCAAAATAACAGCTTTTTACTGAATGCATACATATGAAATTATATACGGTACTTATAAGTAAAACTTTATTATTAAAATTTTTGTCAATTTGTTCCGGCTAATCTTCGAAACGCCTGGACTGATTTTGACGGGACTTTCACGGGCAGATAGCTGATGTTATGAGGAGTAACATAGACTACTTTTATTTTAGAAACAGAATTATGGTTCCGCGATTTTAATGACATTTTCAGGCAATCTTCAGATTAGTCAAGCGGGTGATCCTGTAGAGTTTGCCGGACGCGTGCGAAGCCGCGGCTAGTATCTTATAATATTTATTGAGCTATTCTTATATATTATGTTTGTACCTATATAAAAATAAAAAATTATATATAGGTATCTTTTTTATATTATAGGTATATGTATTTTTTCTGAATAAACGCAATTTTTATATCTAACTAGCAGTACCCGCGGCTTCGCCCGCGTTCAAACTACTAAAAAAAAACTCTTTGGCTATATGTTACAAATAATAATAATTTGATGACACACCGACTGCAGCGCCACCTACAGGCTCCAATTGTACTTTCAAACTATCCAGGAACCCATTGCAATATACACACAAAATTTCATCATAATCGGTCCAGCCGTTAGGTGACTAACACACGTACAGAAGAAATATATATATATATATATATATATATATATATATATATATATATATATATATATATATATATATATATATATATATAATAACGCCCAGGTATTTTTTCTTAAGCTTGACGCCTTGTTTACGAGACTAAAGACTATTCTTCACAAGCACAATATGCTTGTACTAAACATAAAAACTTTCCGGAAGAAAATCCATTGCGTAGTTTAGAAGAAGTAAACAAACAGACAGACGCGAATAACAACTATGTATGATTCATACTATTTGAAATATAAATAATATGTTTCTCTTACTTTTACGCAGCAATGATTTAGCGATTGTAACTTTAGTGAATCACTATACAATATACATATATGTACGTACATATACTATAAAATAATGTTTCGTCGCGCTAAGTTTGTCTGTTCGGGCTAATCTCAGAAACTACTGTACGGATTTTCATAAGGTTTTCACTAATAGAAAAAAAGTTTTCTAGGAAGGTTGTAGACTATAACTTTTAACATATTACATAACGATATTTTTAAATTAAGTCGCAAAAAATCAGTCCTTCTGAGAACTTCCGGATCATTATAAATGAAAAGGTTAAAGGGCATCTAGGGTCACTAGTAGGTAGTAGTAACTTGCCTAATGAGTATGTATGTACGTATGCAGCCCTTTTTAACGTCCCACTGCTGGGCACGGGCCTCTTTCAATACGAGGGAGATCAGACCATAGTCCACCACGCTGGCCAAGTGCGGGCGGACTGAGCATGTCTTTCGAAAACAACCGAATGAGTGCCTTTATTTATTCTGTGCAAGATTTTTTTAAACAGATTTGTTTTTAATCAATAGGGTGTCTACACAGACTCAACTAATGATGGAACAATGCGAGCTCTCGCTGCAGCTGCTAAATTGGTGCCATACGATAGTGCGCTATTCGTTGTCACTGATAAGGGGGCTGGAGATCCTCAGAGACTGCCATTGGCGTTACGAGCTTTGGTTGAGAAGAGATTGAAGGTATAAAACAATTATTACTTTAAGTTATTATAATTATAAATGACTATAGTTTTAGAAAATTAAAATAACAACGCTTTTAACCACCTGTAATGTATGGGAATCGTCAAAGCAAATGTGACAAAATTCCAAAAACTCCTTAAAATTTACAATATCCTTCAAGATTTGGGCCATTATTAAAAGTGTTTTTAAAGTATCATTAAGTAGAAAATAAACTTGTACCTTGCGAGGAATTTGATTTTGATTGCAGGTTATGGAAAATGCTATGCAAAACTAACCACATATATAAATATATTGATCATAACTTTATTTCCAGGTCTACACAATTTGGACTGATCCAAACCATCCATCACCAGAATCCGAATTAGCTCTTCAGGACTTGAGAAATGTATCATCTCACACTGAAGGCGAAGTTTTGCCATATTCTTTACAAATCATGGTAAATATTTCCATACGTCATTGCCATTCAAAAATTCGATGATAGATATTTAAAGTAAAGTTATGTTACATATCATATGAATCCAGATGGCGGCAAAATTTTCATATGACATACAGATTAAAGACTTTTCTACCAGAAGGTCTCCAATTGATTAGTCCCATCTTTAAAACAACTTCCTAAGACGTGTAATAGTCAAAATTCAACGTTAGATCCAAAGATTAATATAATATATCAATTTCCAGGACGTGGACAGCTCTAGCAACCTTGCTTCAGATTCAGTCGAGGAACTGCCCCAGTGGCAACCCTCTGCCGAACCTCGACGTGCGAGACTGAATGAGCAGCCCGATATGGATATATTTGATGTAAGATAAAAATCTTTCATAAAAGTCAAGTCAGTTTCAGTTTTTTAAATAAAACTATCTTTTCTATCTTTTTATTAGAGACTCTCTCAGTCAGTCAGTCAGTCTTTCCTGTGAAAATAAATCCGCAAAAAAAATCCGAAAAGATAGTTTTATTGAAAATAATATTCGCGTAAATTTAAGAAAGTATTATAGAAATGATCTATTCTCACCAAAATAGAACTGATAATTTAGTTACTACCCAATGAACAGGAAATTCTGATCTTAATGATCATCTCATTTCTATTTGTTCTTTAGTAAAGTTTAATATAAAAGGTTAGTTACATATTGACGAGTAAATCACGTCTAAAAACTTACACCCTTACGCATAAATTCAATAATTTATATTTCTTAAATCTTAATTTTGGCTTTAAATATTATTTCTTTCCACAGACGCTACTGGTAAAAAGGGGCGCTGGAGAAGCTATAACTCTTGGGATTCCAGTCGAGAATGGAGTGACAACTTTGAGGATTTTAATTGAAGGAGCTGTTGATCATGCTGTTATATATCCTCCTAATGATGGTATGTAAATGAATTTTGAATGTTTTGGAATCTCGCTAGCAATCATGTCATTCCTGTTCAAATTTTGGTAGCATTTCCTAAATTATTATAGGGAATATAAAGGAATCCCATATTTCTTACTCTTTCTTATTCATTATGTTCTATGTTTTTTCTTCTTTTTTCTGAAGTTTTTTTTTACTAGAGATAGAAAAATGACAAGAATTTCTCGCTAGTAAAGAAGACCAAACAGATTGTTGGGAAGTGCCATAAATCTTTCTTGGTTACAACAATGGTGTGGACAACACAGGGGCGGAACGCTAGTGCATATGTTATGGTATTTTATCCCACACTTATGATATAAATTATGTAAACAATGAGCAATTTTCCTCGGACGGACAATACGACAAATTGTTATCATTATAGACAATTATTTAATAATGCAAGGTTAGCAAACGATTTTAAACAATAAGCGCACACTGTAGAATTTTGCGACAAGTATCAATACGAAAACGATAGCTTTATGTTTTAGGTACAGAATAGCAAGCCGTTGGTTCGATTTTCATTCGGGCTGAAGATTGTATGTAAAATACGAATAATTCTAATGGTCTGGTTATTGAAAATCGCATGTGTAATTGATGAAAAATGATTCCCATAAAAGCGTTAACAATGACAATATCGTACTAATGGTATCGAATAATACTCATCAAAATAAATCAAAATTCTAAAAGCTATGTAATAAATAAAAAAAATTCAAATTTAAAAGTTGGTTTTATTTAAAAAAGAATGATTGAAATTAGTTAAGAAATAACAAAAAAATCGCACAACATATGTACAAAAATCCTCACTTGCGTGGTAGAATATGGTCTGATCCCCCTCGTATATCCCGTGCCCAGCAGTGGGACGTTAAAAAGGGCTGAAGACATACAAGTATACAGATAGACTATAAGCTGGAGTATCACAATGACTACTGTTGGGCAGTTAGGGACGAACCCGAGCAACGCCAGAGTAAACGCTAGTAATAGATCTATAATGTGCGCATACTCTTACTGCAATGGGAACCCATCACTTTGTTAACAAGTACATGTAGTTCATTAAATTTTAATGGTGATAAAGTATAGACAATATTTAAACTGCGAAATAACAAATTCGATTCTGATTCATAGTAAAAAAGATAATTATGGAAAAAAACACATCGTGGGTGCCTTTTTCTTAATGTGTTTGGCATATTTATTTATTTCTACACCAGTGACTCGCCCTCGCTCCGATCGGGTTCGTCCCTAATTAAGATTTAACGTTTAGTATAGATTTCATAGAGATAAGATATTTTCCCGCAGTAAAAATGTTGACTCGGATAACCAGCTACCATTAATACCAAATTTCATCGAAAACTGTCCAGTGGTTTTCTCGTGATGCGTTTCCAGACAGACAGACAGAGAGACAAAAATTCTAAAATCTATAGATTCGGTCTCTGTATCGATTATAGTGTTTATTTCAATAAGATTTTCCAAAAAATATCTAATGTACAGATTGGGCTTAGTTACAATTTTATTATATGTATAAAAAAGTACATCAATATAAGGTTTAAGTAAAATAAAAAGGCAAATAGCCAAATCACAAGCAATAGGCAAACATAAAACAGCTCAGTACCTTTTCTCCTCTGTTTGTCAACCTACTTTTTTTTATATAGTAGCTATTGACGAGCTTTAGTGTTATCAATAAAAAAAAATGCTCAAATTTTGGCCTAATTATAAAAAAAAGGACAGTGATAACGACATAAGCAAAGCGAATGCGAGTTTTGAAGCATTTAGTACAAGAACACATGATCTCCATAAAAAATGAGAACAACATTCTTCATTTAACCTACAATATTCAAGGTGACCTCAATACTGCCTTTTAAGGGAATACCGCTTATACAGCGACAACAAAAGAACGTATACGATGCGTGTGCGCACGTATGCCCTATATCAGAGTAAGTGAGTTCGAATCTTACTTAGAACAAAAAAAAATCTTAACTTTTTATCACAATCTGTGCGTAGCGTGCTGGGATTGAAATAGAGATGGTTTAGAACAGCGGTTCCCAATTTTTGTGGCCACGGAACCTTAATTGATCATAATTCTTTTAACGGATCCCCATTTTGATAATAACTAAACCGATTGTGTTGTAGTTTAAAACAATTCGGGAACCGCTGGTTTAGAAGAGGCGTTAGACTACTTTTATAAATGTAGAAATTTGTTTGTGTGTATAAGTAGGAGTAACAACTCACACTGAAAGGGCTGGTGTGACTTGCATGAAATACACAGATGATATATGACCTGGACTAAGACATACCCAAGCGCAGTGAGGGTAACGAATATATACAAAAAATGCCTTTTTAGGGTTACGTACCTCAAAAGGTAAAAAAAGGAACTCTTATAAGATCACTCTGTTGTCCGTCTGTCTGTCCGTGTGTCACCACCGATTTTTTTAGAAACGGGTCGACCTAGCGAGTTGAAATTTATACCAGATATTGAGATCTATAGTCCCTATTAGGTGTATAAAAATCAAGGTCTTGAATCAAGCAAGACGATAAAAAAATATGGGCAAATTTAAATTTTCGTGAAAACTTGTAAGTACCAAAATATACCTTAATTTTTAACTTTTTTTAATTTTCGGAATTTTCCCTTTACTTGTGCTGTAAAAACTTGCTTTTAACCAAAATTGACAATTCTAGGTCAACCGGAAGTACCCTATAGGTTTTGGGTCGAAAACCTATATGGTAGTTCCCGTTGACCTAGAACCACGAAATTTGGCAAAAAGCAAGGTTTTACAGCACAAATAAAGGAAATATTCCAAAAAATAAAAAAAAAATGAAAATTAAACAGCTTTTCTAAATTTGTACGGAACCCTCGGTGGACGAGTCCGACTCGCACTTGTCCGTGACTTTTTTCTTTGTTTATAACGTATACTTTTCACTTATAATCAACGTAATCTATACAACTTAAACAATGTACCTGTATCAATTTACACTAAGAAAAGCTCGGGATGATTGCTAGTTATTAGTTAAAAGTGTTAAACATCTAATTTGTCTACAGGACCCCAAATTGACCTCTACAACCAGACATCAGTGAAGATGTTCTCTCCAGCATCTGGAACTGGGAGCGTTACGCCACGGGATGTATTCCTTGTGTTTCCTGGGGCTACCCTGGACTTCGAAATGTAAGTTCTTCTCAAATCAAAAAGATACAACCAATTTTTATTGACACAATTGATGACACGTTTAGCTCAGTTTGTAGTGATTCTACTTGCTGCGCCAGCGGTCGTGGGTTAGAGTCCCGCTGGGGGCATTTATTTTTGTGATGAGCACGAATTGTGAAACCTTACTCTTGAATCATTCTATCTATTGCTGAAAACTGCATTAAAATCCATTGAGAGATAAAAGATCTAAGCGAACAGACAGCGGAAGCGACTTCATTTTATACTATGTAAAGATGAGTAATGAGTATGTATTTAAAGTTATATACGTGTAGTGTATCAACTATCTGGTATCCATAACACAAGCCTCGTAGCTTACCATGGAACTAGATGGTGCTGTGTGTTAATGTCCCAACATATTTATTATTTATTTAATGCTACATCGATTTGAATCATATTTTGCAACACTGTTATTTTCACCCATGTTTAATATTTGGGATATCCCATAAAATAAAACTCCCATATCCCATGAGTTTCCATTGAAAGTATTGGTTAATGTCGTATCAATTTCATTTTAACACCATGTAGACTTCGAAATTTTATAATTTACCCGCCAATGGTAACGGAAACAATGTCAAGTTTACTGTTCGTTTTAAATTTATTTTAATTACAGGCTCTCAGTTCTACCAGCGACATTGGTCGACTCATCGTTGGTGGGTATGTGGCATCTGAGCGTAAGATGTGAAACCTGCGACTACCGTCTGACTGTCAGTGCGAGGACCGATCTACATTTTAAAGCTGACGTTGAACCTAGAGGTTTGTCCATTATCATTTTCATTATCTAATATATAAATATCTCGTTTCACGGTGTTTGTGGTCGCACTCCTCCGAAACGGCTCGATCGATTTTAATGTTTTTTTCTTTATTTTGTTGGTATGAGAATAGGTCGTATAGTATTTTTCACACCCCCACCCCATTTTTCAAGTAATTTTAATTTTTCAACTAGTATTTATATATAAATTAATGATTCGATCTTAAAATGAAGCCTGTAACCTGTAATAAGTTACCTGTAAGACTTACGAAAATCTATACAGCCATTTCTGAGATTAGACCGAATAAATACTTACGGACTCTTCATTATTTTCAACATTCATTTGTTATAAACCTAATGATTTACATCTTAAGTTTCATCTGAACGGGTGCGCAACTTAGACCAGCTTGGCAACTGGCTTCCCTCAAGGCGGCGGATCCCTTGACTCGAGCACTTATTTTAATTAACCACGGAATAACGTTGTCTTACGGTGAAGGAAAACATCAAGCATGTCTGAGAAGACCTAGCAAGTTTTCGAAAGACATGTGAAGTTCGCCAACCCGTACTTGGCCAGCGAGGTAGACTATGAGCTGATCCCCCTCGTATTGAAGAGGCCCGTGCCCAGCAGTGGGACGTTAAAAAGGGCTGAATTTCGTTGCTTTTGTTTGCAAAAATTGTGTCGCAGCGTGAATTTTGCATGAAATAGTTTCGTAAAATATGAATAACCCTATGTCATTTGCCATTGTCTTCTATACATATAATAAAATTCTAACTGAGTCGAATCTGTACATTAAATATTTTTTAGAAAATCTTATTGAAATAGTTCTTATTATAGATACAGAGGCCGAATCTATAGTTTTTAGAACTTTTGTCAGTCTGTTACCGCATGACGGGAAAACCACTGGAGGGATTTGGATGAAATTTGATATGATGATAGCTGGTTATCCGGGTCAACATATAGGATACATTTTATTGCGGGAAAATATCTCATCTCTGAGAAATTTATACTAAAAGTTTGAACCCGAGCGGAACGAGGGTGAGTCACTAGTTAAGAAATATAGCGTGAAGCTGTCGACGGGTTATTAAAAAAACGTGTAGTTCTTTTTCAACGTGTAATGTTTTTAACATGAAGTCCAAACCTCCAAACGGGATCCAGTAAAAAGTACAGTTCAATTACCTATTCGTACAACAATATAATCATATGTAATTATCAACCTTATTTCACATGTAATACGTATTATAATCGAGTGGGTTTATTACCAAAAATTTACCTATAAGATGACACGGTTAAGGCATTTTGTACTCAATGACATGATCGATAAGGTTTGGAATGATTAAATTTAGATTATACATCATGTTTCAAATAAAAAAAAATTATGCAAGGAGATATCGCTTGTGATATTTTATTTTAAGATAAAAATGTATTAAAAAGACAATTTACGGTTTTTGAGGTATAGTAAAAAATATATACATACGTCATACATACACAAAAATAAGTTGATGAGAACGTATGCGCAGTTGGCTGGTCTCAGTGAGATTGCCATACCATTTTTAAGTCGCACATTAGGTCCAAAACTATTTTTGACCGACTTCATAAAAATAGAGGTTGAATACCATGTATTCGAGTGTACGCTCTTAATGAATCTTACTAATATTATTAATGTAAAAGTTTGTGAGTATGTATGAATGTTTGTTACTCTTTCACGCCAGAACGGCTGAACGGATCTAGATGTTTGGCACAGAGATAGACTTTAAGCTGGAGTAACACACAGGTTACGGTTAGGCACCCGAACGAAGTAGAGAATAAGTCGGTAATATGTATGATATATTTGTATTTTATAAAACACCATTTATCACCATACCAAATTTCATCAAAATCCCTAAAGGGCTCTTTCCGTGATGCGGTAACACAGACATACAGACAAACAGACAGAAAGGCAAAAATTCTAAAAAATATAGATTCGGCCAATAATAATGTCTATAATTTCAATAAGATTTTCGCAAAAATATTTAATGTACATATTCGGCTTAATTACAACTTTATTATATGTATAGATATCGTGACTTACATTTTACAACACACCACAGATTTCCGTATAAATATATACACATATTGGTAAAATAGATTATTTATATATATATAATACAATAATAATAATTACCCCCGCTTTTAAAGGTCATAGCCTAATGTGAGATAGCCTATAACCTTCCTCAATAAATAAGCTATAAAATAAAGTTAAAAAAAAGTTCCAGTGATAAGCGCGTACAAATAAAAAAACTGTTCAGTTTTATAACATATCTCTACAGATAAACAAAATTGGTATGTCTGTTTGTAATGTCAGAAAAACAGCTTTTTATTAAATATTTATGAAATTATATACTGCACTTGTAAAAAAAAAACAATTTTAAATTTTTTGTATGTCTGTTTGTTCCGACTAATCTCCGAAACGACTAGACCGATTTCTACGGGACTTGCACTGGCAGATAGGTGATGTTATAAGGAGTAACTTAGGCTACTTTTATTTTAGAAAAAGAATTAAGGTTCCGCGCAAAACAATTAAAACCCTTGAAATTGCGAACAAAATCCACGTACTCACACGAGCGAAGCGAAGGTAAGTCGCTAGTTATAAATAAATATCGATAAGATTATGAATATAAATAAAAATTATTAATCTATCTAAATGCTAATCTTATCATAATGGAATTCAGGTCATTGATAGTTCACATTTTGGAATGAGCTCCAAACTCCCATACCAACCTTCAAACTAAATGTAAACAAACAAAACCGCATGCAAAAACCAATAGGTACCTATACGTATAGATTAATATGGATTCAAAAAAATAAAAATCCAATAACAAAACAACTAAAGCCATTCGACCCGTATTTATCCTTTGATCATGTCCCTGTTAATATCAAAGATCATTAACATCAAAGAACTTGTTGGGGCTGAGTAGGAATACTGTACAAATTATACCTACTAACTGGTGTTCGCCCAGTGGTTGAAATCCGTCTACTATAATAATTATCGAAAATTTATAATTTGAAAAATATAATTTTAACGACACGTTTGGCTCAGTTTGTGACTCTACTTGCTGTGCCAGCAGTCGCGGGTTCGAGTACCGCTAGGGACATTTGTTTGTGTGATGAGCACGAATGTTTGTACTCTAGTCATGGATGTTTATATTTATAATATGTATGTATTTAAAGTTATATATGTGTAGTGTATCAACTATCTGGTATCCATAACACAAGCCTCGTAGCTTACCATGGAACTAGATGGTGTTGTGTGTTAATGTAACAACATATTTATAAAGAAACATTGCCCGCGGCTCCGCCAGCGGTCAGATGACCAAAAACCAAACTATTTGGTTTTACATATTAGTATACTCTTACATTGCAGTTTTTGCATTTTATCTCAGAAATGAGATATTTTCCCGCGGTAAAAAGTATCCTATATGTTGACCTGGATCACCATACCAAATTTCATTAAAATCTCTCCAGTGGTTTTTATGTGATGCGGTAACAGGCAGACAGACAAACAAAAATTCTAACAAACTATAGATTCGGGCCCTGCATCGATAATAATGCTTATTTCAATAAGATTTTTCACAAAATATTTAATGTACAGATTCGACTTAGTTACAGTTTTATTATATGTATAGGTAATACTAATCTGTTTTGTTCTTAAGCATCTTATACTAGCGAAGTTACTCTCGCTTCACTTCGGGTTCGTCTAAGCAAAAATAAATCTATCCCACGGGAACCGTACACTATTCCGGGATGATATATAGATGCCTATAGCCTTCCTAAGCGGGCCATCTAAATGCAAAAAGAGTTTTTCAAAATAAGATTAGCGCGTTCAAACACACAAACTAACTAACAAACGCTGCCTCTTTATAATATTAGTATAGATTACGTTCTTTTTTTTTATATTCATAACACTAAAGCTCGTCAATAACTACTAAACAAAAAAAACCGGTCGACAAACAGAAGAGATAACAGTACCTACGAGTACTAAACTGTTTTGTCTTTGGTTTTTTTTTAAATTTTACTGAGTGCCTCGTTTGTCTAGTGGCTAGCATGCATAGCTGTTGGTTCGACTCCAGAAATACTCAAAATTTTAAAAAAATATTAAAAAAAAATATCCACACATTTCTCCGAAACTAGTGATCGGATAGTGATCATTCTTTTTTTATTTGCAATACATGTACATATATGTATATATATCTAGTATATTTTTAGCACTATATTGTCCGCTGACATCTTCCACATCCAGGGGTTGACTGGAAGGGATCTCTTTTAGAGATAAGTCCACCTTTGTGAACTATGTTTATTGTTCTTTTTCTGTATCACATTTTAAGTGCAATAAAGAATATAGATATTAAGATACCCAGCGATGCAGTCACTGAATTATTATAATTATAATTTTCGAAATATGACCCCCATTTTAAATGAGATTGCATAGAAAATTCGATCAAAAACAAGCCAATTATCATGTCAAAATACTTTTTTAATGAGATTATGCAACTAGCATAAATCTAGTCCATTTTAAGAGATTATGACAGTGCTAGAAAGGTTTTTGATTTACGATACGACAGATATTAGAATATATGTAATATGTAAATATATTAGTTTGATTGATTCTTATGACTCAATTATTAATTAACAATTCTTACTTATTATATTAACTTATATATACTAGCGACTCACCCTCGCTTCGCTCGGGTTCGTCCTAGGTTGATTCCCCATACAAACTTTCATCCCCATTTTCACCTCTTTAAGGAATGATTTCCAGGATAAAAAGTATCCTATGTCCTTTCCAGGGTGTCAAACTATCTTTTTACTAAATTTCATCTAAATCGGTTTAGTAGATCCAGAGATTACCCCCTACAACGTCACAAACTCACAATTCACAAACTTTACCTCTTTATAATATTAAGTATAGATATGTACGTACGAAAAACAAAAACAAATCTATCCCACGGGAACCGTACATTTTTCAGAGATAAAAAGTTACCTATGTGCTATACCATACTACGCTATTTCTGTACCAAACTTCCTCCAGATCCGTTCAGTCGTTCTGGCAAGATTGAGTAACAAACATCCATCCATCCAAACTTTCGCATTTATATAGGTGATTCTATAAATTAACATAACTTTTTTATCTACTGATAGTAGTAATTCTAGTTATGTTAAAACTATCACATAAAAAATATCTATATAAAAAGATTTACATGCCCACTAAAAAATAATAAAAAAACAAAGCATGCTGTAATGTATTAAATAAAAAAAAAACAACCTTTCTACGCTGACAGGCGGCCATCTTCCAAAATGGCGACGCACTCTTTGTGGGTCAAGGGCACGTTCACATAATATTTAAATGTCATTTTTTTTAATATCATCATAGATAATCACGTTATTTGTTGTTGTTATTTATTTAAACAGCCTAATGTATTTTTTATTTCATATTTTATATTTACTTCTCTATTTGTTTTCAGTATTATTGTATTCCAATGGACATTATTAGATTTTCTAAAGAATATACTTAGATGTATAAATTATTATCGGGGTAATTAGTTTTTGAAAGAACTTTGTTTACAATTTGTCTAATATTAAGATAAGGTTTTTTCACAAAACAACAGAATTACATCGCACAAAAACAATTTTACAAAGCATATTACTATAATCACTTTTTTACATTCAGAGATCATTTGTCATCATTTCATTATAAAAAATATTTTACTTATATCCGTATTCACTGCAAAAAACGTCCTCTACGAGATATAGACGAAACAAAAAAGCTAAAATTAAAAAAAAACTGCTGTCAAACCAAAACCCGCCAAAATTTCGCGCCACAGACTATAATATGTACCGTTATTCTTGGCAATGACCGCGGGATCACTTTATGAAACACTTGACGCTTAATCGAGGTCTAATAACAAACTATCATATTTACATATATGTTTTGTTTTTGATCTATTGTAATAATATGATAATATAGTTGAGTTTGTCTGTTGTATGATTATTGGGGCGTATTTATTTGATACATGTTTTGATTTTTACTTATATTTATAACTGTACAAACATTTTTGGGTTAATATATTTAAGTAAAGAATTTAGTTATACAAAAACTTATCCATATTATACTAATTGAAATTTCATCAAAATCCATACAGCCATTTCAATGTGGAGGAGTAACAAACATTCACACACCCATACAAACATTCGCAATTATGATAGTAGTTTGATGAATGTATGTTCGTATCTCGACAAAGCCACATGGCCACTCTAATCATGGCTGACGAAAATCGTGATGAGGTATTTAATTCATTGAAGGCTAATATAATGATACCTACCATATAAATATGATTTCTTAAATCACAGTTAGAAGCTAATTAGCAATACTACACCAAAAAAAGTTTTGGCTTTTAAATAAAGCTATCTTTTCGGATTATTTAGCGGATTTATTTTGATTTTTGGTTCCCGACGTTTCGAATGCTTTACAGCAATCATGTTCACGGGAGAGTAAGGTTTTAGACGTCTAAAGGGCGTTATATACTTGTTACATACAGTTTACAAATTGATTTCATAAATTCAAATAAATATTAATAACTAATTATTAAAAATTAAGAAAGTATTAAGAGTTTTGGAAGAATCCTTATAAGATTTCCAACAAGCGTAAACGGAAATAATACTGGCAAGACCTTGGGATTCCCCTGTTCACATGTAGAGATCCTTTAAAATAAAAACAATTTTGAACCGGATGTACATTCTCTTTGATGTCCTCTAATAAAGCGGAAATCACGATTGACAAACGCTCTAAATGACATTACCTTTACAATATATATTACACAACGTGTATCTATAAAACATACCTGATTATAGACTTAATTGAAAAATAAAACAAAATGAGTACCTAAATTAAAAAATTAATTTTGCGGAAAACATACATATATATATGAATATAATTTACCTATCTATTAAAAAAAAACTGTGTCCAAAATTTTTCATTGATAAGATAAGCGACAAAAAAAAGAAAATCGTTTGATAAAAGACGAGAAAAGATACTTAACTGTTTTGTCTTTGCCTATTTATATATAGAGATATAACATCAATTATTAATTTTCGAAGGCAAAGACAAATTGCAATAGTAGTAAATTTTTTATCTATGACAGCTATTCCATAGTTTATCTGTACGTATATACTATATAATTAATAGCCGACTCTCATTGATAGCTGACGTAATCGAGTTTTACGCAAATAGATAGCTTCAAAATATTTATCTAATTGTTATTTAAATGGTATTTTTTTTAGGACAATTAGTGGTGGGATACTGTCGACAATCTGGAATTTAGGAACAGTCTCTAAGATATTAATCTTTACATCTTTGCACAAGTATTGGATCACTGCTCTGCCCGCTTATTTCTAAAAAAAAAATATCGGATTTTCAAACAAACTTCTAACCCTTCTAACCTCTTTAGAGTTGCAGTTTGCAAAAATCCTACCTCAGTGAAAATCTCCCTATCCTGATCCTACCTGAGTAACTTCAAGTTTGTAGCATTTATACTTTAAAATTTTGTAATTAGTCAGTGAGTGATGAATATTTATCGACTTTTAAACAATACTGTTTTAGATGTAGTAGAAGTAATATACGATTGTTTAATTTGTTGCCTATCTATTTATCCATACATACCTCAAGAACCTTCACTTTCCTTGTACTGTACTTGTACTTATTTTGCATTTACTTTTAACTGTCACGTTAATTTGAAATTATAAAGCTGTATGTGATAATTACATGTAAACACTATAACCTGATACTATCGAACAGATCTAACTATGGAACCGAAAAATTGAGTCCCTATTTTCCAATTACAGAGCATAATACCACACTTTGGCGCACAAACACGAACAACGGGAAAAAACACTTCTTACATTTTCTGCTACTGAGTTGGTTGGTCACGCCAAAGCAGTATTTTTCAAAGTGCTCGATTGCGCGGAGCGTTGTTGTAGTTGAAAAATTCGAAGTTGAGCATTATGCCGCATAATGCGCTTCAATTGCTACTAGTAACAGCTTCGTATTTGGACTTCTTTGATTCAATACCACGTATATTAAAATTAATCAAAAACATATTTTTTTAGTTCCTGCAAACTATAATTGCTATACAGGCAAAAGTGTTAAAAAATATTGCTGTAAATATTCAAAACTGCAAGATAAAATTTAGACACAAAAATCTAAAGAGTAGACACTTTTAATGCCATAGTTACGAATATTTCATTTGAACGAGGAAGTTCATATTAGGTTATCTCTGTGACATACCGCTTAGTCGATAAGAAATAAGTATAAGCTGTAGTAAATGATAGTTGCAAATATAAAAAACAATGACGCATAATGATTGTACATTAATTTACTAAAATGCAGTGGTGGCAAAGTTGGTATTCTTGGAAAACCAAAGTGATGAGAGTGCAAACCCCGAGTATCGCATCTCTAATTTCTTTTTCACCATCTTGCGCTTTATGGTAAAGGCCAACATTGCGAGAAAACCTGTATATCTGACCTAACTAGTTTTCAAAAGATATGCTCAGTCCGCCCGCACTCGGCCAGCGTGGTGGAGTATGACCTTCTTCTCTCTTCGTCTTCGCATTGAAAGGAGGTGTTAGATAGCCTATATCATTCCTTAATTAGGCTTTAAAAAAAACTTAAATCGGTCTGCATACTTCCAAAAATTAGCCCATTCAATGAAAGAACAAACTCTTTATATATTAACTAGCAGAACTCGCGGCTTCGCTCGCGTTAAAATTCATCCCCTATTTTACACCCCCTCCCCCTCCCCCTTAAGTTTTACGTAATTCTGATCATAAATATTTTTTTTAGTTGTATTATAGCGTGTTTTCCCGTGGGAATGGAATAATCTCCTGCGATAAGCAGCCTATGCACTCTCCAGCCCTTCAACCATCTCCATACAAAAAATCACGCCAATCCGTCAATTCGTTTCGACGTGAAAGAAGGACAAACAAACACACTTTCACATTTATAATATTAAGTATGAATATAAATATTTCGTTAACACTTGTTTTATTTTTCAGATATACTAAAGCTACGTGTGACAGGCACTGTATCTAGCGTGCGCGAGTCATCCCTTGTGGACGAGCATGGAGTGGAACTTGCAAAACTATCCTTTAGGTAACATTTTTTTACATATACCAATATAAAATATAATTGGGTAACTTTATAACCTATACTTATGTATATTCAAAAAATTACCTTACATTCCTTGAGTTAAAATCACTTTAAAAGTAATTACATCTTTCAACCTTAGAGATACATTTTTTTCTTGCATTTTAACATCCCATAAAAAAATCCTAATAGGTACTTAAAATCATCGCCGTTATTTAGAAACTACATAAAGAAGGGATCATGAATATAATGTAAGAAAAATAATTCGTCCCTTTTTAATTAACGTCCTACTGCACTCGGGCACTTCCTTCAATACAAAGAGGATCAGGTCATAGTCCAAAACGCTAATCTCGTGCAGACTTCTTATGTCTTTTGAAAACTGGTGAGGTTCTTTAGACATCGTCTCATACAGTAATAGTAATTGTTTTAACTATTTAAAATCTAATTTTTAGCTATCAACCAATGTCGGAAACCGACCGTGACATGAATGGAGCCATGGCCAATATATACGCTGACGTCCCAATGCCTAGGGTCACCAGCTCTACTATATACGTGAAGATCATAGGAAGAGACACAAAAGGTACGACGGTTGTCAAAACATCCGGCAATTTCAAGTAAAAATTTTATAAACAAGCAAACTAGCCCAATCATTTGGTAGTTTTGCCTGAAAAGTTTTGAAATTCAAATGTTTTTACCGGAAAATTAGTCGGAATAAAGATATTGTCAAAAACTGCCATAAGGCGCCATTTTTCCAATATGGCGGCGCGAGCAGCAAAGATACGACGTGGCAAAATTAGAATTGGAAAAGAGCACATCGAAATCTATAAAATCACCTATTTTCAAAACTTCCGGACAAATACAAATAACAAAATAGCAAAAAAACGACAGGGAGTTTCCCTACAAAATTCCAGTATTATTTTTTCCTTTTTTATATGTGGACCTTTAAATAATTTGAATTATTATCTTTACTAATTTTATAAAGAGGACAAAATTTGTTTTTTGTTCTTAATGAAAATTTTATTAAATAATAAGCGATTTTTATTGTCTGGCTCAAGTACGGATGGAAGATATTTGATCAGAAAACCTACCTTTATTTCAGGAGAACCATTCGTCCGTTTATCTAGACCCATTAGCCAACAATCCGAAGTTAGGATGGGCAGATCAGCATCCATCACTTTCCCGGAAACCATCAACGACTTGGAGGAAATTGATGAGTTCAACCCTAGCTTATATAATGAAAAGCTGCAATATAATGATAGCAATTACTTGCCTTATGGACAGGCTACTTCACAGGTAACGCATATGAGATGTACAAGTAAACATATTATGAAACTTTTGCCAAGCATCTGATATTCCACAGGAGATATCTCTTGGTGTCTGGATAAAAAGTCTAGTCTAATTTTACTCTGTGTAACTTTAGCGAGACGCCTCGTGGGTGTATTTCATTTGAACTTAAGTTCTAAATATTGTTACATTTAATAAAGAGTATTCCATAAAGTATCAGTGGCTTCAATTTAATAGTCTAAAATTCCTTTTTGAATGCAGCAACTGGGTCATTTATCATAACGTTTTGCTGCATAGAACTTTATAGTAGTAGTAGTAGTAGAGCTCAGCTATTTTTTTTAATATCCCCATGCTGGGCATAGGCCTCTCTTCAATACGAGGGGATCGGGTCATAATCCACCACGCTGGTGGGTGTGTGAGTTGTGGGACTTCACATGCCTTTCGGAAACTTGTTAGGTTATATCAGAGCTCATGTGCTGTAAAGTAATATAGGCCACTTTTGAGCGATACACTTAAGAGTTCTAGAGATATACATATAATCTGTTCCATAAAGTTTCTTATATAAGTGAAGTGATGTTTAAGATTATCAATAATAAAATATGGTCCAAAATGAAACATGATGCAAATAGATTTTTTTAATTCCGCAGCTTCTAAATCAAAGGGGTGCGATTCTAACATCAGTTCAAATCGGGCTAAGTACAAGGTTGTATGGAGCTCCGGGAAGTCGCTTGCAGGTAAGCAAAACACTATCAAAATTAGTCCTTTTAAGGGTTTACATATATTCATTGAATAAAATATAATTTATATTATAAAAAGGAAAAATTTGTTTTTTTGTTTGTTTGCATCGAATAGGCTCCAAAACTATTGAACCGATTTAGATGAAATTTAGTAAGATAGTTTGAGACCCTAGAAAGGACATAGGATAGTTTTATCCCGGAAATCATCCCTTGAGGGGATGAAAATGGGGGTGAAAGTTTGTATGGGGAAGCAACCTAGGGACGAACCCGAACCCGCAATCGTGGCAAACCCTTGCCAGACACTCTTTTCATGAAATCATAATTCTACTTACGTTATAGTATAAAAGCTGATTTTTATATATAATACTTGGGTATAAACCATCAAAAATAAAGTCAATTCTTAGCGCTTCAAATTTGGTGACCATTTGCAACATTTTCTTAAAAATGCCTCCCAACTTGTTTGGAACATTTTTCATGGTGTGTAATAAATGCTATGCTAGCAGTCTTATAAATCATCTAATTATTACCCAAGTATTATATATAAAAATCAGCTTTTATACTATAACGTCAGTAGACTTATGATTTCATGAAAAGGGTGTCTGGCAAGGGTTTGCAACGATGTTAAGTGTCTGGCATTGAATGACGAGATTTTTAATAATATTCTGAAGGTAATGCCAAAAAATCACACTTTATTATTTGACGAATTTAGATCGGTATTTTACACACCTTTAGTACCGTGTACCTGCCAAAGCCACCATAGCCTGAACTTCATAATGGTCCATCGTTCTTATCTGTGTTGGGAGCATGCGCTGACAAACTTTCAGCCTTTATAAAATGGCGAAGGTCTGGCATTCACGGGCTCTTACTCTATAATACTTCTATAAATTTACGCGAATATTTGACATTTTAAAATAAAACAATCTTTTCGGACGTTTTCGCGGATTTATTATGATTTTTGGTTCCCGACGTCTCGAATGTCGATTAGTCTAAAACCGTACGTCTCTCCCGTGAACATGTGCGCTGTAAAGCATTCGAAACTTCAAAACTTGGAAATCAAAAATCAAAATAAATCCGCGAAAAAATCCGAATAGATGGTTTATTTTAAAATTAATAATATCTTTTTTTTGCTATAAAGTAATACTTTATAAATAAAATTAATAGAAATCAAATAAAGTTTTATTTATGTCCATGTTAAACCTCATTTTTCTACATTTTAGCTACATTTCGAAGTTACAAACTTCAGAGAGCAGTCTGTTAGATTTTTATTCCAAGCTGTCGGCGAACTGAGATTTTTAACCGGCATTGACCCAACATCGTAAGTATCGGAATATTTTATTTATTTTATAACAAGCAACCCGCCCTGACTTTATTCAAGCATAAAACTTAATTACGAAATATATATATATATATATATATATATATATATATATTTCAATTTATATAAATATATTTTGTTTCCATTTTCTTGCTAATGTCTGAATGTACCGACTGGGTACTTCCCCGGATCACAACTCTCTACTCATTATATTTTTCTAATATATTAATTATCATAGAAATCATTTTATGGGTGTAGATGGGATAGGAACCCATAAAAGGGTACTTTTAGAATCAAAATTCCCCACAAAAAAAAAAACAAATAAATCAGTTGCTTCGGTTTATTTATTACTTCTATAAAAACGACAGTTTGTATGTATGTTTGTGTATGTTATTCCTTCACGCTGAAACGGCTGGACAGATTAGGATGAAATTTAGTACAAAGATAGATATAGCTGGATTGACAAATAGGCCACTGTTAGTAATAAAATTTGTCAAATCGCTACCTGTCATATTATAAATACGTAAGGCATCTAGGACGTACGAGCAAACTGAGGAAAGTCGCTAGTTTTTAATATAGATTTATCTATTTACAGACAAACGGTAGCATCAGGACAGACAGCTACCGTCATAGTTAGTTTGCTTATCAATCAAAATGCACAGCCAGGGGCACGGGACCTGATTACCTTTTCTGCCATTGGTAAATATATATATAAAAAAAGTTATATTTATAAAAAACAAAGATTAGAGATGTACGAGGCTCGTGAAGAATCATATGTGCCTAAGCCCGAAGGTTTCACTAGAAACCATTAAAGAGTTCCTTCACTTCAGGGCTCAGAAGGAAATAAATAATTATATTGCCATCCAATTCAAATAGAGTTATAAACCACTACAATTAGACATTGATCAAAATCAACTTATAAGACTTGGTTTCATAATAACAAATGTTATTTAATTTTATTTACTTTTTTATTTGGATCATCATAACAATAAACGCATGCCACATATTACTAAAAGTATTTTTAGTAATTTTTGGACATAAGGATTTACACCCTTATCAAAGGACTATTAAAGAGTTCCACTATGCGTGACTTCATAATCACATCCTCATCATCTATTGGAGTGTACTGAACTCTTAGAAACAAAACAAATGAAAACCAAATTCGAGTTTTTCTAGAGTCTACAGATTATAATCAGAAAAAGACGTTCCTAAAAAGAGCAATATGGTTTTTTGTAATGATTTTTATTTAAGCTTTACAATTTCCACTTCTATGTGTAAATTAAAAAATATTACCTATAGTATAGATATTCAAAATATTACCTTTTTACAGTAGCATCTCTCGGACTAAGACGTTTAGGATTACTGGTATTTACTTTAACACCATTTAACAAAGGAGTGATCATGTCCATACAATGCACCCATTCTATACGCCTTATAAACTGTCATACTGCTAGGGATGAGCCTCTTTTTACTACAAGGGGGATCAGGCCACAGTCCACCACGCTGTCACAACACATTTGTCTAAAACTAGACCATCCAACCCTTAGTGATGGAAATTTTTAGTTTTAAGGTTAAAAATTTGGCTTAAAATGCAATTATGTCCAATGCAGATCAGTCTACACAGCAACGAGCATCCATGTCAGCGTACGTATACGTTTTGAACCAAGGGGAGTCGATTCAAGATAACACCGCACCTAATGTCAGACACAGTTTCTTGGGCTCTTGCATTGGGAGGCAGGGATCGGATTGTGCGGAGCATATCTGGTCTGCGAATTTCGTCGCCAGGGACACTGGAGGTATTCGTTTGTTTTAAAATTTATTAACGTTTATCAGATTCCCTACCGACATTCTCTACTGAGAAATTGCTTTCGCTTCCCTTACATCCTCGCCCAGCACTTTCTTCAGTAACTTTCTAATATATATTTGCCTATGGAATTTTTTGAATAGAACATTTTTTCTTTTGCTGTCTCAATATTGAGTAGTTTCAAAAATTGCAATAAATACCGCTCTGATTATAATTATGGCCACAGTGACCAATCTCACGAAGATATAGTGTATACGTGTGCGCAAGCGCAAATGCAACCCTTCCTCTACCAATTTGGTAAGATGACAATTGGACACTTGCGACATCATGGCAAAATTAAGGACTAACACCGACAACTTTAGAATAACATAATGAAAAATCCCAATTACATTTGAGAAGACAATCTATACATATAATAAAATTGTAACTAAGCAGAATCTGTACATTAAATAGTTTTTGGAAAATCTAATTGAAATAAACATTATTATTGATACAGACGCCGAATCTATACTCGTGCTATTTAGAATTTTTGTCTGTCTATCTGTCTGTCCCTCTGTAACTCATCACAGAAAAACCACTGGAGGGATTTTGATGAAATTTGGTATGGTGATAGATGGCTATCCGGGTCAACATATAAGACATTTTTTAACGCGGGAAAATATCTCATTTCTGAGAAAAAAATCAAAAACTGCAATGTAAGAGTATACTAATATGTAAAACCTAAGAATTTGCTTTTTGGTCATCTGAACGCGGGCGGAGCCGCGGGCAGTACTAGTACTAAATATGTGCCTCCTGCTTCTATTGTGAGTTTACTTCAAACAGTCACGATCGATGCTTTACACACAAGACTTCAAATTATTTTTAAAATAAAAGTACCGCAGATTTTGGACTTAGTCATTTTTACGTTAGTACCCAATTAATGCGGACAAGGATGTAACTTTTTATTAAAGAAAATAAAACTTGACAAGACAAATAAAAAAGCAGGATCTAATGATACACTCATGTCGAAAAATAAACACTTGCTTTAATATTCAATATCAAATAAAACCCACTCTTGGCAGTTTTTTCTTACTAAAAACGGGTTCTTACATATAAACGTCACACTATGCTGTTAGGTACTATACGTAATAAATTTATTTGCGTAGAAATCTGGCTTTTGCGCGTTAATATTAATATGTACATTGTGCATATTAATATTAATAAATTTAAAAGTCACCGATGGAATTTCACATCGACAACATAAATAGAACATTATACATCTATACATATAATAAAATTCTGAGTCGAATCTGTACATTAAATATTTTTTGGAAAGTCATATTGAAATTGTCATTATTATCGATACAGAGGCCATATCTATAGTTTTTAGACATTTTGTCTGTCTGCCTGTCTGTCTGGGAACGCATCACGAGAAAACCACTGGACAGATTTGTATGAAATTTGGTATGATGATAGCTGGGTATCCGGGTCAACATATGTATAGGACACTTTTTACTGCGGGAAAATGTAATCTCTGAGAAATCTATACTAAACGTGAAAGCGTAACTAGGGACAAACCCGAGCGGAGCAAGGATGAGTTGCCAGTCTATAAAGTTTTATATTCTGCAATCAAGTTACGAAAAATAAAAAATAAGGGTGGCCATACAAGTTACTAAGTGGTGAAAAAAATTAAGCCTACTTTAGTATGTAGGGTATCTCTGAATAGGTCTTTAAAATTGAGACGGATGATTTGTCACTTTTTAGTTCAAGCCAACAGTTACCGAGTTATGTGGCTAAAATTGTAAACATCCATCCATTAAACCGTGAAGCTATAGAAATTATTTTATTTTCCATAGGTCTCCTGCGCTTTGTATCAGCACCAATAGGCCTGGTATACGAGACGAATTTCATATCTGGCACGAGAGAGGAAGTTCAAGCATCATATAGGGCAAATTGTTGCAATCCCAGAGTTACAGTGATAGCAGTGGACGCATTTGGGAATACTAATAGCTATACGGTAGATATAACAAGTAAGTATCTCTTCTTATCAAGAGATGACGATTGCTGACCATTTTGTCATTTTAAGATATATTTTTCAATGTATTTGATTCATCATCAGACTTATTTTCAAAATTATCCTTCCTTTATTATGATCCTATTATATATAGTATCCATACTTATTTTTTAATATTGTAAATGTGAAAGTATGTTTGTTTGTTTTTCCTTCTTTCACTTAGACGTGAGAGACAGAGATTTTTGTATGGAGATAGTTGGAGGGTTAGAGAGTGACATAAGATACTTTTTTACCGCGAGAGATTATCTCATTCCCACGGGAAAACACGTTAGAATACAACCCACAACAACTCATGATACCTATATATATATATATATATATATATAAATATAATATAGTCTATCTATTCTATACTAACCGTTAAAACGTGGCTAGGCTGAGTTTTTGTTTGTTCAGGATGATTTCAGAAAATATTGGATGGATTTTTATATGGTTTTCACCGATAATATGAGCCATTATAAACATTCTGCGAAAATAAGCTACTGATGTGATCATATTTGTGAATTAAGTTTCATTGTGATATTTTCCGACTTAATTTTTATAACTTGTGACTAGGATTTGTGATATCTAGTCTATAGAAAAACAGGATAAGAAATAATTTTTTTTTATTTTTCAGATTATATAAATGAAGCTGGGATAGCCGCTATAGTGCTGGGGGTTCTTCTATTAATAATAATCATTATTTTGACTATTCTACTTATATATTGGTGTGTGAAGCGCAGAAAGGAGTCTAGGGAACTACCTTCATATGGCTCTAGAAATGTTAGTTAAGCTACTATTTTATAACTTATGGAGGGTAGAACTAAGGAGAACCAACTTATATGGTAAAACAAGTTGAAAAAGTGTCCAGTGGTGAGCAGCAAATTGTAATTCAAAAACTCACTGATATAGCGCTAGCGTAGCAAGTAGATGTGATGTGAAGTTAGCAGTTTTAAACGGAGTGAAGTGTGTTAAATTATTATTACTTGAAAATAATATGTAAATATATTATATATCGGTGTTTGCCTATGTTAGAACTATTTTGAAAAGTGCGTCACAACAAAGCGGAAATCTTTCTTTCCTTGTTTAATTCACCATCTACTCTTATGGCTTCTGGCGCTATGTTTTAAATTCGTCTACTTATTTTCTGTGGCGCCACCAATTTGATGCTTGTCAGCGGTCACTTTTTATACGAGAAATAGTTCTCCTTAGTTCTACCCTCCATATTAATACCGTAAAAAGATGTTGACAGTTATCTTTATAAAAAAAACAAAGCAACGAAATATTATAGACAGCCTAAACTGATTTTTGAAAACAAAATGTTGTTTTCTATATAACATTCCAGTTATTGACTTAATTTGTTTTTTTAGTACTTAAATTATTGAACTTATTGTTAGACAAGCATTTTTAATTTTCTTTAATGTATTTTTTAATTAAAAAAAATATATATTTTTTTTTTTATTTACGTCAAATGAATTTGTTACATATAAGTTACCTTTACCTTTACTAAATAAATGTATTATTTAATGTTTAGTTTAAGTTATTTTTTTAATAATTTTCTTTATTTTAATATAAGCTAATAATAATAATATTAATATATTTATTACTTTCTTCAATATTGATGGTTCTTCAGTAATCTATACACATAAATAAAATTGAAGTGTCTGTGTTTAATGTCAAAATATGTAACAGCTTTTTACTAAACGCATAAGAAATTATGTATATACGCAACCTGTAAGAAGAACACAACTTTTAAAAATTTTATCTGTCTGTCTGTTTATTCCGGCTAATCTCCAAAACGACTGATTTTGACGGCTTTAGCTGGCAGATAGCTGATGTTATAAGGAGTAACTTAAGGCTACTTTTATTTTAGAAAAAGAATAAGGTTTCCACTCAAAAAAATTAAAACGTACCTACCTAAGGACGCACCCGAGCGAAATGAGGGTAAGTGGCTAGTAATATATAAGTACAAAACTAACTATTTTTATATTATTATTTAAAAGTTTAATCATTTAGTCTCAGATTAATTCAGAAAACATGTACGTAATTATTGTAACTGGTGTACCTACACCAAATTAGGCCAGGGATTTTTATATGACATAACCCCTAACTTTTTCATATTATGTTGTTTTATATTTATAATCAACTAGTGCCCATTCGTGGAAATTCGACTATAATCATTTTTTGAAGTAAAACTTCTTTGCGCGTATGAGAGTAAAATTTCAAGGTCGCATCACGAGGAACCGTCATGGTTGCCAGAGTAACCGCTTGCATTAGGTTGCCATAGTAAACGATGTTATTGTCTGAAAAATGATATTCGTATGTATATATTCTTTCCGTTACTATTTTCAAACATTACTTACTACTTTTACTAATTTATTTTCAAATATGCTTGCATATTTAAATAACGGCTCACTTTCGCCTCGCTCGGGTTCGTCCCATATGAGTATACGCGATAGATGTACGAATCCGTCTAGATAGAAACAGATAGAATATCATTTTCTCCTCTTTGTGTGATATTCGCTAGAGTCATATTTTTGTATTTAGAGTTATATATTAAAAGTCTGTATTAATTTATTAATCTTACAATATAAATAATCAATGAAGTTTCACTTCTGACATGTTTCCATAGAAACTTGTTTTTTTTTTTTATTGATAACACTAAAGGTCATCAGCTACTAAACAAAAAAAGAAAATCGGTTATCAAACAGAGAAAAAAAACTGTTTTGTCTTTGTCTATTTATATTGTATAGATAAATAATACCATATTGATTGGTGCAATTAATAGAACTGTAACTCAATATTGCAATAATTTTAAATCTGAACTACAATATGTAAGAAAATTAATTTCTATTTTAAAGTTGTGTCAATACCGAAATATAATATTGTTTCTTGCATATATTAATACTAGCAACTCGCCCTCGCTTCGCTCGGGTTCGTCCCTAGCTTGATTCCCCATACAAACTTTCATCCCCATTTTCATCCCCTTAGGGAATGATATCCGGGATAAAAAGTATCCTATGTCCTTCCCAGGGTCTCAAAATATCTTCTTGCCAAATTTCATCTAAATTAATTCAATAGATCCAGAGATAACCTCCTACAACGTAACAAACTAACAATCTCACAAACGTTACCTCTTTATAATATTAGTATAGATATGCTTATTTACGAACCATCAATATCACAAGTCATCACCTTAGTAATTACTTGTTCAAACCACCAATACTTGTTGTACTTTACAATAGAATTATTTCCTCTATTTTAAAAACAAACCTTTATTTCTAAGATTTGTATACATAAATAGATAAAAATCATCGATAAAAAAAATTACTAGATAAACAAAGATTCCCATGCAAAAGTTTTCTTGAAACTGTCACCAATTGTGTTTAGGTAATTATTCTAGTTGAAATAAATACAACAATGTAAATTTAACCTTAAATGCACTGCTTAAAGTTGTTTTCACAAAAAATAAATTAAAAGCGCGCTCAAATATCAAATGAGCGCTCATTCAATGAGAACATTTTTTGGCGCTGATTGTGTATCTAGTAGTTTTTTGATTGATGGATAAAATACTTCTGTTTGACTTTTTTAAATTAAAATGTGCATATAAGACCAATGGAATTGACATATAAAAGTCAATAATTCTGTAGTAAAAACTCTAAACTGCCTCGGTGGTGCAGTGGCTAGCATGTACGGCTGCACATCCGGGGGTCCTGGGTTCGAGTCCCAGGTCGGGCCAAGTTTAGTTATTGAGTCTTCCTGTATAATAAGTCTCAGTAACAGCCCGGAGTTGGGAAGTTGGCAGTGTAAAGCCGTCGTTCCTGCGCCTTAACTCTCACCGGTCGTGTCGAGTGGTCGTCCCACCGGAGTATGAGAGTGATAGGAATAGAGAGTGCACTTGTGTCTGCGCGTACACTTGAGCACTATAATATCTCCTGCGCAGTTGGCTAATCTCATTGAGATTGGCCGCCGTGGCCGGAATCGGCTAGGAGAACATTATCATCATTAAAAACTCTACGGTAAATTGGTTGTTTGGACAAATAAGCACTGAGACCACAAAGTGTCTAATAAAATTACAAGACAGATGTAGAAACATAAATGAAATGTAATTTGAAGTAAATGTTATTCAAATTAATGTCTTCTTACTCTTTTTAAAGTAAGCAATGTAACATAAAAAAATGATAATTAATAGCTTTCTGAACATTTGGAGAAAGTTTTGTGTAAAAACAGTTCACAAATTATGAAGTTAATTTCTCTTATGCACCTAATTTAGTAAAACTTGGCATGCTGATACCTTATATTGGCAGTCAAACAACAGGTTACTTTTTATCCCGGAAAAATGAACGGTTCCCGTGGGATAGTTCTGTTTGTACTTTTCTAGAGGCGAACCCGAGCAAAACGAGTGTGTGCCGCTAGTTTTATATACAAATGTAATTAAAAAAGAAATAATTCAAGGTTTTTATATTTTATGACTTAGATTTGAATAATTTTAAAGTATTAAGTGTTGCACCGGCTTTACTGCTGTCTTATTATTTTTTCCAATTAAAGAATGCTAAAAAATCGGTCAAACGCGAGTCGAATTCGCACACGAAGGGTTCCGTATGTTTGTACGATGGGTACAAACATACGGAATTACATTAATTTAAATGATTGATTACGAACGTTAGAAAAACTGTTACTTGTATACTTATTTTTATCTTTTGTTGCTATAGCGGCAATAGACATACATACTCTCTGAAAATTTCAACTATCTACCTATTACGGTTCATGAGATACAGCCCTCTGACAGACGGGCATCTTGGCACCCATCGGGTACGAAACCCTAAAAAGCTTTTTTAGCTCTAATTGCATATACTGTTGTAAAAGGCACTCCAGAATTACAGCTAGATTCTTTCATTTATTGTTTCCTTCAACACTATCCGTATTTATTATTAATAATATAAATGTGAAAGTTTGTGAGTATGGATGTTTGTTACTCTTTCACACCAGAACGGCTAAACGGATCTGGATGAAATTTGGCACTAAGATAGATATAGTTTGGAATAACACATGCGCTACTTTTATCCCGGAAAAATGTACGGTTCCCGTGGGATAGGTTTGTTTTTGTTTATCTAGAGGCAAACCCGACTGAAGCGAGGGTGAGCCGTTGGTCTTGTATAATTTTATTTTATTAAAACGGGTAGTACAATGATAGAGCTAAATAAAATTCTTAGTTTGTAAGTATTCAGCCATACTTGACTAATTAATTTTTTATTTTATTGTCAATAAATTATATGTATTAATGACTTTTTTATTACAATCCTGTTTCCACTAATATATGCATATATGTTACTAATATATGTATTACGTTTTAACATTAAGTATAGATTTCTCAGAGATATTTTCCAGCTGTACAAAGTATCCTATATATTGACCCGAATAATCAGATATTATCATTCCAAATTTCATCAAAATCTGTCCAGTGATTTTCTCGTAATGCCTTCCTAGACAGATAGACAGACAAAAAATCTAATACATATTTCAATAAGATTTTCCAAAAAATATTTAAAGTACAGATTTGACCCTGTTAGAATTTTATTATATGAATAGATAAGGTTATGTTCCAAGTTTTAGTTTATTTTAATACCCTTGGACACTTAGATGTGGCACTTAGAGACTGCAATTTGATTCTAGGTCAAGAAAAAATATTAAAAAAAATATTAAGGGCTAAGTGAAAACACACAAACCACTAAAAATTTATGTAAATATCACAAAATGTAAAATTTTACCAGGAAACCAAGCAAAACTGGTGTTATTGTATGATATGTTTATGTTTTTAAAAGTTGTCAATGCAATATTATCAACATTATGAAGACAAACATGAAAATTAAAATCAGTTTTTTTTTTTATTGAAATAAAGTTAACATAATATTAGTTTATCAATGAACATTTTAGTCTTTAATATTAGTATACAAGAAAACAACCCTTTTGAGAATGTAATAATATTTAGGTATTTTTATGAAAAACAATATATGTTCATAATTTTATACTAATAAAAGGTAAATTTATTGATTGTTATGCAACTTCAATTGATTGACATAAAAATATCATTGAAAGAAATTATTAGATATATTATGCAATATTAAATATAATACTAATATTTATTTTTATTGAATAATTGTTCTATGAACGAATGTATTTTTCAAAATAAACTTACAAAATTTTTGAATATTTTTTCAATATTTTTATAGATGGAACATGAAAACAAGTCAAAGTTAGGCACAAATCCACTTTGAAAAGGTGGAGTTTTATAAGTTCTATATAAAAATGAAGACATTATCTATATTTTTACACAAAACAAGAAAAAAAAATATCTTCTATTATATTTTACACTATTTCACTTCTATAACATATATAAAGATCGGTGCTATTAGAAAACATAGCAAAACGCGCACGAATATAATAAAAACTGACAGGAGACGTGCAAAAACTACAGGCAATGTCTATTTCACTTTCACACCAAGGTCACCCAAATACCAATGTTATAAGACCATTCATGGATTAAAATAGCACTAACCTTGTCGTACAATCAGTTCCTGGCTGGGAACTGCAGGTAACAACACTGCATTGTGCGTCAAATCTTCAATGGAGAGGCCAGTGACTGCGGTTGACAACAATGGATTTTTCACTATGTTCCTGTTTGTGTAATCACCAAAACTTTTATCAGACATTTTGTCGTGTTGCAAATAATCGGCACATGTGAAATTTTCACTAAATTATCACATTTGGAGGTCACAAAAAGAAAATTTAATTATGTGAAATTACGTGTCACTTGATGTTTTGATTTGACATTGACAATTGACATATTGTGTTCCGTTCTGTAATTGCACTTTTATTGAGTGCTTCCGTCATACATCCGTATCCTATACCTCTAATAGTATCAAAATGGTCTGACCCAACAAAGCGGCCTAGTGTTTCAGCTAGTGACTGTTCAACAGTCTTAGACCTTAGTAGTCAGTCAAGGGTGTCGTGAGGTGAGCTCGTGAGCTTCTCCTTTATTATGCAGATTGAGCACTTCCACCATTGCAAAAAATGGCTCTCGCACGCCACTCTGGATGGCCAATGAAGGCAAGCCTGAGACGGGATACAGATATTGTTTAGCCACTGTTCAGCAGCTTGCTATTCGCTACCCTGCGATTTTATTATTATTATTAATGCATCTCTTTAGAATTCACGGACTCAAAGAAGCCCGGTCCTTTGAAAGGTGCAACACCACCAACAGCTCGTTACAAGTTGCTCTGTTAGCTTAGTAATACTATCTTTACGAAACATGTTAGTATTCAATAGGGTTAATGAATCATTTAATTAATTACCTAGTATTACATTGAATTCATTTTGTTCTCTTTAATGTGATTAATATATAATAATCAAACTACTTATATTAATACTGTTAAATAATTCTATTTCTTTTTAATAATTTATATATATTAATTTATCCAATAATATATTTCAGCTTTTAATTCCTTATTATCCTTTCATTTATTAAACTGATTGTTTTCTTTTGTTTCTACGCATGTTGTGATTAGCTCTAAAAAGAAATACAATTATACTGTGTTTAATGTATTATGTAAATTATATTTGTATTATTGTTGTCATTTTTGTTGGTAATCTTAATAAATAAATAAATATATATATAAGTCAAGTCCTTATATTTTGTCAGACTTAGTTATAAAATTATAATATAAACTTTTGATGTATTTGTTATGCAAACATTTCTAAAGTAATCATCCGCATATTACGAAACCTTGTTAGTTTAAAACATAGATGTATAAGGGTTTAAATTACCTACTTTAGATAGTAATTCTTTGTATCAACATTTTTATAAACGTTATACGTTTTGTTGTTTGTTTGTTGTTGTACAAGCTACTTTATAGACTAATGCATTATACAAAATGCAAATTAAATAGCGACTTCATAAGACAAAATTAGCTCTGCTACTTGCCGGTAGGCAAAGAAATGCATAGGGAGGTGGCCCACTTCGGTGAGCGGTGCGAGGCGGCCCACTTTGATAGGCGGTGCACCATGCGGGTTGCTCCTGGTACTTCTCTGATAGCAGAGTGGACTGTGTAGCAACCCCATGGTTGTTGTGGTCTGCTTTGGCAGACCTGCCGTTGGGGCGTCGTGTCGTCGTAGTTGAGCGCGTAAGTGATCCTGCGACGCCCCATTATGACGGGGGTGGTTTTGTTGGGTTTTAGTGGGTAGTACTGGTTTTTCTAGCCGGTACATTCCCACATAACCACCTGTATATCTACAGGTGGTATGCGTAAATGCATTTCCCAACATTAAAAAAAAATATTATTTTTTTTGCGAATTTGCTATGACAACGATTGGAACAAAATAATAGTTATCTGTAAGCAAAATAAAATTGCTCTCAAATCTCAATTGTCAAAACGAACATTTCATATTTGTTGTGAAACAAAACAAATCGTTTTTCTAGCCATTTAAAAACAATATTAAATCGTATTATCTAGTTTTTTTCTAATTTAATCTCTGTAAACTATGAACTGTAATTAGTGCAATAAGTATAAATTACATATTACAAAATGTCGGATCCACCTGTGAAGCGTTATAGACGAGATGCGAGGTCTTCAGAGTCGGAAGAAGATATTGATAATTACGAACCCTATGTACCAGTAAAAGAACGTATGAAACAAAAATTATTAAAGTTAGGACGGTTAGGCCAAGTTGCGGCTGAAGCGTCAGCGGAAACCAAAAGTTCAAGTGATAATGATCCTGATGATGATGGTATATAGCCAATTCTTAGACATAAACTATTTTCTTTTATTGTTTCAGTGTGTATTTAGATTTAATGAATCTTATATTTTCTTATATTCATGATATATAGCTTTCTATCTAATGTTATCTATACTAACATTATAAAATTGCAGAGTTTGTTTGTTTGAACACGCTAATCTCAGGAACTACTAATCCGATTTGAAAAATTCCTTATGCATTAGATAGCCTGTTTATTGAAGAAGGCTGTAGCTTAATATAATATATAGTCCATCTATTTCATACTAACCATTAAAACTTACTTAGGGACAAACCTGAGGGAAGCGAGGGTGAGTCGCTAATAAAATATAATATATAATATGTTTTAATTGACAAGGATAGCCTTTATAATCTAATTTTTAACTACATTTGTGGAAGGAAGGAAGTGGCAAATTAATAATTTTTATTTTTAGCTTCTCAAGAGGAATGGGGTCGTAAATACAATGTATCACTATTAGACCAGCATAGTGAACTAAAAAGGATTGCAGAAGCCCGTGCCTTATCTGCTGCAGAAAGACAGGCCAAGGAAGAAGAACATATTCTAGAGAGTGTTGCACAGAGTAAAGCATTGATGGGTGTTGCAGAATTGGCTAAGGGTATTAATTTTTTTTTATTTTGTATTTTAAACTGATGTTACCTTTTTAAATAATCAAGACTAATAATATGTGTATAGAGGGAAAAGTATGAGTCATAAGAAAAGAAAGTTTTTTTTTTAATTTAAGTGTTCACATAACATCATTCTAAGATCGAAGTGGTGCACTAAAACATCAACAAACATGCCATGGAAAAAAAACCTCTTTATTTTTTAAGTTGTACTTCTTTTGGCACATTTGGCAAAATTATGAGTGTAAAATTTTTACGACGCGCGCGCACACTGACAGCCGCACACTGAAAGCAACGTAATAAAGTTAGCTTAAAGCGACATGATGAAGTTAGCTGCATTCCTTTTACAAGCAGACAGTTGTGACACACGGGATGAAATCTCTAGGTGTTTTTGTATTGTTATGCCAATGAAGTATAAATTTTTAGATGCTTATATAAGTACACACACACATTTTTTATATTAAGCTCTTTTTAAAGTCCCACTGCTGGGCAAATGCAAGAGTGGTCAGGCTATAGTCCACTATGATGGCCGGGTGTAGATTGGCAGATTCCACATGTCTTTAGAAATCTATTGTTGGTTTCTATTGTGCAAGCAGGTTTCCTCAACAAAATTTTTACTTCACTATTAGCTATCATATTGAAAATAATTTACGCTTGAGAATATCAGAGAGGCCTGGGATAGGAACCTATTTCATTTGAATTTATCTATACAGATAAATTGAAGTATTTGTTTGTAATTTCAAAATAACATCTTTTTACTGAATGCATATGAAATTTTTTATAGTACTTAAAAGTATAAAACTATTTTTTAAATTCATGTCTGTCTGTCAGTTTGTTCCGGATAATCTTAAAAACGGCTGGACCTATTTTGACGGGACTTTCACTGGCAGATAGCTGATGTTATAAGGAGTAACTTCAGCTGCTTTTATTTAAGAAATAGAATTTAATTTGTGCCTAAAAAATATAAAAATTACCTAGGAACGCACTCGAGCAGAGCGAGAGTATCTTGCTAGTCCATACTATAACTACATCATTTTTGTTACAGGAATTCAATACTTAGAACCAATAAAAACATCATGGAAGCCACCTAGACGTATATTGGAGTTGCCAGAGGCAAGGCACGAGAGAGTGAGACAGCAGTTAAGAATATTAGTAGAGGGTGAGGATGTGCCTCCTCCGATCCTAACATTCCAGCATATGAAGTTTCCTAAGGGTATGGACCTTTAATTCTCTCTTTATATTGTTACTTAAAGCCAGTTGTATTAAGCAAGTCAAAATTAATATATCCATGTCAACATATTTGTGCTAACATATCAATGTTATCCATCAATCAAAAAAGTACTAGATACACAATCTGCGTCAAAAAATGTCCTCACCGAATGAGCTCTCATTTCAACATTTGAATGTGCTTTTAACTTAATGTTTTTTGTGACAACACCTTTAATAATTGCATTTAAAGTTCAATTTACATTGCTGTATATTTATTTCAACTAGAACAATTACCACAACACAATCGGTGACAGTTTTAAGAGAACTTTTGCATGGGATTTTATATCTAGTACTTTTTTTAACAATGGTGTCAACTTATCCATTTGGATGGTCCTGAAAGAAAAGGCATTTTATTTTTAGTGAAAATATGGTTCAAGATGATGAAAAAAAAACTGGTAAAGTTTCAGCTCTTAATATCAATATTAATTACCTATTTACATAACACTGGAATTTTTTTGAATTAAATCTTATTTAGGCATGACTGAAGGGAAGTCAGTACATTGGCAAAATGAATGTTGTGTAAGTGAGAGTGTTTATTATTAATAATTTAAAAAAATATTATATTTATATTTTTATAATAATTATTAGTTATACAAATGTATATTTTATTTATTATTAATAATTTTATAATTAGTATTACTTATAATAATGAATATTTATTTCTAATATTATTATATGCATAGATAATTTTTATTATATATTTTATTATATGATAATTTATATTTTGATTTGTTTTGCCAAAGAAGTTTTACTTCAACCATGCGAAAAGGTTACGCACTCTGTGTTTTTTTTTATTTGGAATTTTATTACGTTTTAACGAATTAGCGTATTGTAAAAATCAATACATATTCTCATAGGAAATTGTACGATCTACAAAAAAGGTCTGAGATGATTTTTCGCTAAATTGACTGATTTAAAAGCTATTGAAGGTTTAAAGTTCAACCTTAAATGATATATGATGGCTTCCACAATTTTTTTATATATTATCATGGAGCAATAATTATTTTAAAGTAAAAAAAATCATATATTTCATGAAGTTCATCGAGAATTCTTTGATAAAACATTAAAATTTTTGCGAAATACTAATAATGGTAAGGAAAATTGATATTTTTCTATATCAACTTTTATCTAATGATGTATTTTCTTTTTTTTTCAGACATCCTTCGAGGTTTAGAAGTGAAAGGCATAAAGAAGCCCACACCAATTCAAGTCCAAGGTATACCAGCGGTGCTCAGTGGCAGGGACATGATAGGTATAGCCTTCACTGGCTCTGGAAAGACCCTGGTCTTCACTCTCCCCATCATCATGTTCTGTTTGGAGCAGGAGGTGAAGATGCCTTTCATCAGGTGAGGGTTATATTATGTTTTATGGATTTTTGAAGTTATACTTCTATTAGGACGTTTGGAAAAAATTATGAGAGTAAAATTTTTGCGATACGCGCGCACACCGACAGCCAAAAAGCGACATGATGAAGTTAGCTGCATTCCTTTTACAAACAGAGAGTCGTGACATACGGGATGAAATCTTTAGTTATTATTTTTCTGTTACGCCAAAGAAGTATAACTTCTTACGTGCATACATAAGTACACACACACGTTTTTTTTGTAATTATAATACAAATAGAGTTTTATACTATACTCATAATTATTACAAACCCACACAATTATAGAAATATACAATGAAAAAATGGCACACAAGTATATTATATTAGTGTAATAGTCCAGGACTCCGGGTCCATTTTTACAATTGTTTAGTATCAAGCTAATTTTCCGTGAGTAGCTTCGTTTTGATGAGACGCCCGACTTTTTCTCTTACAAAAATTCCCGATTGTGGTAGCTAACAGGAGTGACAGGGATAAAATATGTCGATTTGACGATTCTCAAAAATTTATTACTAACTGTGGGTTTTTTTTATTAAATCTTAAGATAATTATTAACATTATTAAAAAATGTTTGTCCTACAAAATGTATGATTTGATCTAAAAGGGTCTCTTGGGGACTCTTTTAACATGTTTCGATAATGAGGTCATCAAAAATTATTTCTAACTAACTGATTTTTTTACTATTGCTTAGTTAATATTTATATAATTTAACAGCTTCATTGTCCTACAAATTGCGTGGTACGTGGTATTGTGTTTAGGTGATTATTCTAGTTGAAATAAATATACAACAATGTAAATTGAACCTTAAATGTAATGCTTAAAGTTGTTTTCACAAAAAAAAAAAGAATTAAATGAGCGCTCATTCGGTAAGGACATTTTTTATCGCTGATTGTGTGTGTGTGTGTGTGTGTGTGTCTAGTACTTTTTTGATCACTACATTTAAAACAATTTTTTTTTACAGAAACGAAGGGCCATACGGACTTATAATTTGCCCATCCAGAGAACTTGCAAAACAAACTCATGATATAATACAGCATTTTATTAAACAATTAAGGATGAGTGGCAACCCTGAAATTAGAAGTTGCTTGGCCATTGGAGGTGAGACTTTGTTTATTTGTTCAATTCATTTCGATTATCTTGTTTTCTTTTTATAAGTAAGTCTAACACACACAGATATGCGTCCATGCTTTTTTTTGAGCTATATTTTATTTTATTTGACATAGGTTCAGGTGTGTACAATTTCAGAATCAAAATTTTGATTGATTCAATTCTCTTGTTAATGACTCCAAAGCGAGCCAGTTGAGCACAGATTACTTTGACAATCTATACAGATAAATAAAATTGAAGTGTCTGTGTGTAATGTGTAAATAACAGCTTTTTACTTAATGCATATGAAAGTATATACAGTATATAAGTAACATTTTTTATTTTTTTGTCTGTTTGTTCCGGCTAATCTCCGAAACGGCTGGAACGATTTTGAAGGGACTTTCACTGGCAGATAGCTGATATAATAAAGAATAACTTGGCTACTTTTATTTTAAAACACAATTAATATTACTTTTAAATCAACACTATTATAAATAATTAGGACTACAGAAATAAAATATTGTATGTTTTAAATAGGGGTAGCAGTATCAGAATGTATGGAAGTGGTGCAAAGAGGTGTTCACATCATGGTGGCCACCCCTGGCAGGCTCATGGATATGTTGGATAAGAAAATGGTATGTATTTAAAAAAAAAATTATAAACATATATTATGAAACAAAAAACCTGACTGTGAACTAAAAACATGAAAACAAGTTGACAAAAGAGTATAGTATTATGTATTTTAAAAAAAGTCTATTGTTTTTGAGTCTTTATGCGACATTCCAATTTTTTCTTAATTAAACATAATACAAATCTATCCCGCGGGAACCGTACATTTTTCGAGATAAAAGTAGCCTTAATAATCTATCTCTGTGCCGAATTTCATCCAGATCCGTTCAGCCGTTCTGGCGTGATTGAGTAACAAACATCCAAACATACTCACAAACTTTCACATGTATAATATTAGTAGGAATAATGCGATAAATACAACGGTACCTAGCCCAATTATTTATTACTGTATATTTAAAAAATATAGCCCATGGGTTACACTGACGTATTATTATAAGTTTTATCAAAATCCGTTCAGCCGTTTTTACTTAAAAAAATAACAAACATCCAACTATCCTCACAAACTTTAACGTTTATAATATTAGTAGGACGTGACATTATTTTTTTTTTTAAATTTATATGATCATCCCATTCGGGATTCGAATCCCAACCCCGCAGGTGCGACTGAATGTATGCAGATATTTATGTATGGACGAAGCGGACAGGATGATAGATATGGGATTCGAAGAGGATGTTAGAACTATATTCTCATACTTCGCGGGCCAACGACAGACCTTGCTCTTCAGCGCCACTATGCCGAGGAAAATACAGAATTTTGCTAGGTGAGTGCGGGTTCGATTCTTTTGAGGAAGATGGGGATAAAGGGGTTTGAATATTTTTCCACAAAAGCTTTTAACCATTTTTTAAACCATTTTTTTTTAAATAGAAGCACGATTTGAATGGATAGGATCACGTTTGGCTCACTTGATGTGCCAGCGGTCGTGGGTTTGAATCCCGCTGAGGGCGTTCATTTGTGTGATGAGCATGAGTGTTTGTACTCCAGTCATGAGTGTTTATATTTATAATGTGTATGTATTTAAAGTTATATATGTGTAGTGTATCAACTATCTGGTATCCACAACACAAGCCTCGTAGCTTACCATGGAACTAGATGGTGCTGTGTGCTAACGTCTCCCTCCCCGCAGGTCCGCGCTGGTGAAGCCGGTGACGGTGAACGTGGGGCGCGCGGGCGCCGCGTCCCTCACCGTGCGCCAGGAGCTGGAGCTGGTGCAGGCGGAGGCGCGCACCGTGCACCTGCTGCAGTGCCTGCAGAAGACTCCGCCCCCCGTGTTGGTGTTCGCTGAGAGGAAGCAGCACGTGGACGCCATACATGAGTATCTGCTCCTGAAGGGTGAGTTGGGGATGGTTGGCCTATGAGGTTATTCACCCTTTTTAGTCAGTAGGAGTTTCACAGTACCCTGCCTATTGACGGTCGGCAGGGTCCCTATGATGGACTTTCCCAGCGTCAAAAAATATGGTGTTGACTCTCAGGTCTCTGAAACCCAAAGAATCTGTCTGTCTGTCGAGACCTTTTTTCTCAGGAAAGCGTGGAGATATCAAATTAAAATTAATATCAAATACTCAGATCTGCAATCCTTTGAAATTGTGAAAACACAAAACTTCTAAAGTCAACACAATCAAAAGATACGGCCGTGTATGTCGCATATGTTGACACTCTCAAGGGAATCAAAACCTGAAGGGTACTTCCCTTCCCCCCTTACTTCGTCTATTTCAATAAGATTTAAAAAAAAATAATGTACAGATTCGGATCAGTTAAAATTTTATTATACATACTAGCGACTCACCTCCACTTCGCTCGGGTTCGTCCCTGGGTGATTTATGAACCGATTAAAATAAAACACGCTTACCACAATACATAAGTAACAATCGCACCCAAATCGGTTAAGCCGTATCTGAGATTAGCGCGCACAAACGCTCAGACAAACGGACAAACCAAAATGGAGAAGGGTCATCCCCCAAGGGATATTGTTTTGGGAGTTATTGTTGTGGACACTTGGTTCAGAAATTAAAATAAAAAAAAATTAAAAAGTTAATTATTGTTTATTTTAAAATATTAGTTTTAAACTTTGTTTTTTAAGAACATTTATAACTCAAAAAAATTAATTATAAACATTTTTAACATTTCGGTCTGTAACACAATTGCCCTTTTCCAGGAGTCGAAGCCGTGGCCATCCATGGCGGGAAGGACCAGGACGAGCGCTCCCGTGCAGTGGAAGCCTTCCGACGTGGGGAGAAAGACGTGTTAGTTGCTACCGATGTTGCCAGCAAAGGTGAGTTGGATTTGTAGAAGGTTCGAAAATTAACATCGAAATTTTTAGTGCGAAAAGGCAATCTAATAAAAAGGAATTTGCGTGGATTTTTTACATTTTTTATATAATAGCTTACATAATTATATAATTGTAAAAAAAATATCTATCATATAAAAATATAAAAATATCTCCAGAAAACTAAAATTTAGTAAAAAAAAAGTTTTTAAATATCATACCGATACGGATACTTGTAATAATTTAATGCTGAATAAAATATTTTGAATATATTCATGAGATTTTTAACAATATCCCCCGTCCCCGTCGCTCCAGGTCTGGACTTCCAGAACATCCAGCACGTGATCAACTACGACATGCCGGAGGACATCGAGAACTACGTGCACCGCATCGGGCGCACCGGCCGCGCCGGCGGCGGCGGCGTCGCCACCACGCTGCTGGGCCGCGCCGCCGACTGCAGCGTGCTGCGCGACCTCGCGCACCTCCTCACCGAGGCGGGGCAGCGGGTGAGGCCCGGGGGGTTATGTTGGGAAGTGGGAGATTAGGGGGATTATGTTGGGAAGTGGGAGATTAGGGGGGTTATGTTGGGAAGTGGGAGATTAGGGGGATCATGTTGGGAAGTGGGAGATTAGGGGGGTTATGTTGGGAAGTGGGAGATTAGGGGGATTATGTTGGGAAGTGGGAAATTAGGGGGTTTATGTTGGGAAGTGGGAGATTAGGGGGTTTATGTTGGGAAGTGGGAGATTAGGGGGATTATGTTGGGAAGTGGGAGATTAGGGGCATTATGTTGGGAAGTGGAAGATTAGGTGGAGTGATGTTGGGACGTGACAGGTTTGGGGGGATGGTGTTGGAGAGTCGAAGACTTGTCTATGAGTTGGAGTAACACGTAGGATATTCCTCTTGGGATGTTATTGTTAACAATACTAACGCTAACGGCATTCATTTGTGTGATGAGCACGAATGTTTGTACTCCAGTCGTGAGTGTTTATATTTATAATATGTATGTATGTATTTAAAGTTATATATGTGTAGTGTATCAACTATCCGGTATCCATAACATAGGCCTCGTAGCTTATCATGGTACTAGATGGTGATGTGTGTTAATGTACCGACATATTTATATTAAAAATATATTTTTGTACAGGTACCCGCATTCCTGTTGGAGATGATCGGGGAGCCCGACGTGCCGGTGGCGGCGGGGCCGGGCTGCTCCTACTGCGGGGGCCTTGGACACAGGATCACCGGTACATGGCTTTATATATTTATTTATTTTTTATTTTAGGGAAACAATTAACAAAGAATGATATAATCCATCAAAATAATAAAAAAACTTAAAACATTCACTCACCAGCAAAATGTCCACTTATAAATATGTCACAGGTAGAATAAACGTGATAATTAGTTTAAACTTTAAAAACATAAAATATAATTAAAAAAAAATAACAGAAAATTACTACAAAATAAAAACACTATAAAATGGACAACAAAAAAATGACTTAAGTTTAATTATAAAAATTTAAAAAATTAACTTATCAAAATCAAAGAAAGAAAGATCAAAACTTAAACTTGAACAGAACATAATAAGGATAGGCGAATCAATTATAATAACCTCAACTAAAATTTGACATATGTCTTCAACAATTTTATTTTATATATTTAATATTATTTTCCAGAATGTCCAAAACTCGAGGCGGTTCAAAACAAGCAAGCGTCGAATATTGGAAGGAGGGATTATTTGGCGAATACTGCAGCGGATTATTAGTTTTGTATGGATCATACAAATGTTATTTTTGTATGGTGACGTCACTAGTATATGTTTATTGTTTAAATATCATTATCCATTGTTGTAATTCCACTATTCATACTAATTTTATAAATATGAAAATTTGTGAGGATGGATGTTTGTTACGCTTTCACGCCAGAACGGCCGAACGGATCTGGATGAAATTTGGCACAGAGATAGATTATAGTCTGGAATAGGACATAGGTTTCTTTTTATCCCGGAAAAATATACTGTTCCCGTGGGATATCCATGCTAATCGTTAAAACGTACCTAGGGATGAACTCTAGTGAGGCGAGTGTAAGTCGCTAGTATTTTATTTAATTATACTATTTCTTGTTGGTTATTTAAATTGGCAACACTCGTGGGAAAGAGATAGTGCATGTCTTTTATTTGTGTTTCTCACTCTCGAATATTGTAATAATTAAAACAGTACATCGTGCATTAAATTAATTAAACAGACCTATACTTCTTATTTATTTAATAAAACAAAATTTATATATGAAACTCTGCCTAATATTTATGCCTGTGTTACTCCATCTCATAGTGTGTGTACTAAGTTTCATACAAATATGTATAGCTGTTTCGGCGGGAAAGAGTAACAAACATACATACATACAAACCATTTATAATACAGCCAGTATGATTTGCTACTCACATTAATTGGAGTGTTATTTCCAGTTTTTTTTATATATCAGACAATGCGTTTCAAATGCTAGTGGCGCCATCTCTTATCGGTTTTAATGAAACGACAATCTGTTAAAATTGTACATTTTGTTTTGTTTGTTCATTGTATATAATTGTAAATAAATAATTATTGAGAAATTTGGTTTTATTTATATTACATTAATTTGCTTATTTAGGATTTTGGAGATTAATATACGAAAATATTTAATATTTTTTTTATAGGTAGTAACATCTCGATTAAAATATTTCACTTCGAGTCGAAAGATTGTAAAGACAGACAAACGCTTCTGCATTTCTAATGTTAGTAAGAATTAAGTATGTAGTATTAATTGCATCTGAAAATTTACAATTAAATTTAAAATTATTAAGGATTGTATAATTGTTATGAAATTGAATTAAGTATTTCCATAATTACAAATAGAAATATGCTAAATAAAATTTATTTCAATAAGGAATTTTGTATCGTTTGTAACCATGGTACAAAATCATACACTTTTGATGGAGCTATTTTATAGCGCCATCTATGAACAAGCAGAACAAACTAATGCTTAATTTTTTCCATTGCCAGTAAAATGATAGATATTTGATTGAAGAACATATTTTTTTTATATTCTCTTTATTAATATTTAATTTCTGTAAAAGTAAAATAAATTTGGGATCTGTTTTAAATTTTTATTAATTTAATATTTACAAACACAAATTGCAAATCAATACATATAACGCCATGTATTGATCATCATCATCTCCCTGCCCATTTCTCAATCACTAGGGGTCAGCGCAGTACATCTTCCGTACGGCTAATATAATTCGGCAAAAGTTTAATGACCTAGTATATTATAGTATTTACTAGCATTGTCCGCGGCTCCGCCCGCGTTCAGATGACCAAAAACCAAATTCTTTGGTTTTACAGATTAGTATACTTTTACATTGCAGTTTTTTCATTTATTTTCTAAGAAATGAGATATTTTCCCGCAGTTAAAAGTATCCTATATGTTGACCCGGATAACCAGCTATCACCATACCAAATTTCATCAAAATCCCTCCAGTGGTTTTTCTGTGCTGCGGTAACAGACAGACAGACAAAAATTCTAAAAACTATAGATTCGGCCTCTGTATCGATAATAATGTTTATTTCAATAAGATTTTCCAAAAAATATTTAATGTACAGAATCGGCTTAGTTACAATTTTATCATATGTATATTATGTGTATTTTATTTATTTATGAACCCATTGAATTAAAACAGATACTAAATATCAGGGTTCGAACGATAATTATCATGATAAATATGGGTTGATAATTATCTTTGATAAATATGATTGAAAATATTTAATTTGTAACTCATCAAATTGTCGATCAGCTAACTGAACTCTCTCAATCAGCTCAAAAAACTCAATCAGCAAACTGAGTTAATGCATATTGAGGAGAATGAGGATGATAACCCACTCATTAAGTAGTCTGCTCACTACACCGTTTCATACCATGGGAGTGCTATGAACGTATCAGGCACGGAAACAAGCGACACGGACTACTATGAGCTTTAGAACGTATCATTCGCGTGTCATATCCGTATAGTTCCCGTTTTCTCAGTCGTAGTAGTTCACCTGTGTTTTCGCGTGAGGCAGTCGCGTCAAGAAGAGCGAATGAATATTATTGTTGTATAGTCTTGGTCGGTGATGGAACGGTCTATGTGCATAGTCTCATACTTTTCAATACAAAGATTTTTTTGCCTAACACGGTCCTGTTATGGTCCTAGCACGGTCATGGTATGAGACGGTATAGCGGGCAGACACCTTTAATTTAATTGAATAGTACTATTTAAGTAGTTAAAATTCTATTTTTATTTCATAGTTTGTACACGTCAAAATCATGAAAAAACAATAATAATAAAAGATTACCTTGATTGTTAAGTGTATAATTTATTCTAACGTAAATTATGATAGGCAAATTAGTCAAGTACCAATACCTACACAAGGATTGCTAAGTTTATATCTATTTGATAATTATCGGATAATTATCTTGATAATTATCGCGATAATTATCAAAAGATATATTTATCTTGATAATTTTATACCCTGCATTTAGCAGGGTATAAAATTATCAAGATAAGCTTACCATAATACATTAGTGAAAGCCGCGCCCAAATCGGTTAAGCCGTTTCTAACTTGGTTTGTTTGAACGCGCTCATCGCGATCTCAGGAACTACTAATCTGACTTGAAAGTTTCTTTTTTCATTAGATAGCCCGTTTATTGAGGAAAGTTATAGGCTATATATCATCATGCCAGGAGAGCAAAAAATAACAATAACTAACATATTGCGCACGAGATATAGACACCAAAACAAGTTATTAAAATGGTTTGTCTGTTTGTCTGTACACCTACGACATACAAAATCTACTGAACCGATTTATTGATTGAATAATATAATTTAACAATAATTATTCTTATAATACAAACCAATATTAAAACTATACTAGAAAAATAAAACTCAACACATACTTTTAACCATATTTATTCACCACGAACAATTCACGTATCGATTGTTAGGTACAATATAAGACATTTATAATAAACGATATAGCGAACTAAAAACAAATAACTAAGGCATCACGCGATTAAAAAAAAAGTGAAAAAAAAAATATATTTACGTGACAAAATCATATCCTAGATATTTTTTATTTTTTCTTCTGACTCTCGCAGCTTTTTTATCATCATAATCTTCTGACGTGTCTTGATCGTATACACTGTTATCGATAACCCAGTCTTCTTCCAGCTCCGACTTGATTTCTTGCTTCACTTTTATCTCCCGAACGCTCGGTGACATCTTCTTTTTTCTCTTCTTCGCTGGATCCGAGTCCCTTGATCTCTTTCTTGGTCTCTCCTCTAACACTAGATGTGGGTACTCCTCCACTATAAAGTTTTCTGGTTCATAGCTTGTAGTAATTTCCACTCCCACCGAAGGATCAACGTCCGGCAGAATATAATAATTCTCATAATCCCCTTGTAGTGTTATTTCATTCATTTCTGCTGTAAAATGTCGTTTTTTCTTGCCAGTGTTACAATGCTTTATATATGCATATTTTGGTTTCGAATCGTCCGGCAGTATGTTGACAGTCCACTCTCTGTTCGTTCCGGGTATCTCTTTAACCTCCTCCATAGTAATTTCTTGTTCTTCTGCTATCTCATATATAAAATTGTCTGATATATTGCCATCTTCCATTATGTGTAGAACTTCATTTTGATTTTCCAGAGTTTCTGATGTAGATGTTTGGGGCACGATCTGGAAAATTTTATTTATTCCATATTATTTATTATTTTATACTATATACAAAAACATATCTATCCCACGGAAAACGTACTTTTTACGGGATAAAAAGTGACCTATGTGCTATTCCAGACTATAATCTATATCTGTGCCAAATTTCATCCAGATCCGTTCAGCCGTTGTGGAGTGATTGAGTAACAAACATCCAAACATCCACACAAACTTTCACATTTATAATAATAATATAATATTCTTTATTTGTAGTAAAAAATCGGGTTACAAAAATATACTATACATAACTGTTTCGCTTAAGACAATAATATAAGATTATCCAGTAAGTGCTCAGGAGCTCGTACTAGCAAAACCTGTCTTACGAGCACCGTTACCTTCCTGTAGATTTACAATATATGGACCAAAAATTGTTTTTTTAATATTAGTATGGATGATATAATTTCTAAAGACATTTTTAATGTTTATTATTTATAGCCTCTTAATATAGTTAATTCTTTTTTATTCTTCTTAATAATTAAGTCAAGCTAATATTAAAACAATTTCAACACATTACAGTTATTCAACAGTGTTTATTTTTTTATTTTTAATATTATATAGTGATAATATATATATATGTAAGTTACAGGTATTTCTACGTTATTAGCCCTTACGTCCCACTGTTGGGAGTGGGCCCTCAATACTCAGTGGATCTGGCCACAGTCCCCCACGTCGGCCCAGTGCGGGCGGACTGAGCAGACAACTTGCTAGGTTCTCTTAGACTTTCCTTACGATGTTCTCCTTCACCATAAAACAACTGGTCATCATGTTGGAAATAACTCACAAATAAGAATATCAGAGATGCAAAGACTCAGGATTTGAACGCTTCACTCTCCCATGCGAGCTACCACTGAACTACCACTGCCTGCATCATATGTATATTAAACATTATATATTTACCTCAATAATCTGTTTGGGGTCAGGCATCTTGGTGATAACCTGCTCGGACTGAGTGATGGAAGCCTCTGCTTTGTCCGTTTCCACTTTCACCACCCACAGTTGTTTCTTTTGCAATTTCTTCAGTGACCTGCATGTAATATAACATGTTATGAATATTCATTTAGAAATAACTACAAAACTAGAAATATATGGAAAAAAAATTAAAATTTATTTTTTTGTAGTATGACTTGTAACAATTGTTGTGTATGTATGTATTTATACATTTATTTATATACCAAACAAATTAGTAATAAAATGTATAGATATTTGACCAGATAAAAAGATATATATGTATATATATATATAAATATGATAAAAATGTATGTATATATATATATATATATATATATATATATATACATATATATATATACATATATATATATATATATAGTGTGTATGTATATATGTATGTATATAAAAAATAAGGGGCAACACGTACAAGTATCCGAGTGTGTCGACGAGCTGCCGCACGTTGAGCCGCGACACGTTCTCGTGCGTCTCCCGCACCGGCTCCGCGCTGTAGTTGTGGTCCATGCGGACGATGTCGGCCACTGGACGGACAGACGGACAGAGATTATTACATAATATTATCAATGTTAAAGTTTGTTTGATTGTTCTTCTTTCAAGTCGAAACAGAATGAAAAAAAAAACGCGTGATCGTGTAAGAATTGACATTTATAGTCAATTAAAACATAAAAAAAAATTAAAATTAATTATTTTAAAAATCAGTGGGCCACTTCAAAATGTTGAGTATATGTTTTTTTTTACTACACTAGAAATTCTACTCCCAAGCTAAGAAAAAGAAAAATTTTTATTCGCTTTACTCTAATATACATAATATAGTGAATCTATTTCATACTAACAGTTGCAATGTACCTTGGGACGAACCAGAGCGAAGCGAGAGGAGGTAGGATAAGGAGGGGAGGGGAGAGCGAGCGAAGCGAGGGTGCCCACCCTCGCTTCGCTCTGGATAGGGTGAGTCGCTAGTGTAGCTATATTTCCGTTAAAATCAAACGCAATCGATGAACTTTTATACTGTCTATTACGAATACGATGGCTGCTTCGTGAAAGAATTTGACAATTTTTACGTACGCTTTATTTCAAAGGTTTTTACGCATATTTTAAGATATTTTGGACGTTTAATAAGAGTTTTTCCTCACTGGCGTAAGTTACTTAAGCGCTATATAAAATATGTACCGAATTTTGAATTTTTGTTATATAAGACAATTTTGCGTTGATGGCTTTCCAATATAGTCAGAGAGACGATTGTTATATTTTACTTCCTGATATAAATTGTAGGGTGACCAAAAATATAAAGATTTAACTTAATATTTACAAATAACAATCTTTAAAAAAATGCGTGTATGTGTAATGCACACGGTAGAAGTGAAACTTCAGAAAAGTATCCTACGAGAGAGTGAGATGAATATAGAGTATCAGGAGTAGGATAATAATTATAAGGTTTAGTTTTTTTATAATATTTTTACCACCTTTAAAAATTATTTAACATTTTATTTGACATAAACATACATTACATATTATTCAGTAATTAATATTATTTTTTACTTCCTGTTCACTATACTATCTCAAATAACGACGGTTACCATGGCAACACGGCAATGTATTCCATCTCACTCTCTCGCCGGCTTAATCCTATATGTTTATGTGTCCTATACATTTCCGTTTCATCGAATTTCAAATCACAACTATTCTAAAGAAGTTTCACTTAAAAAAAATAATTTTGACAATAATTCGTATTTAATCATTAAAATATATCAACAATATATGACTAATTAAATACTATATACTTAAGTAAATATATCTGTTAGTTAAGAACCAATAACGAAAACGTCTAAGCCGATTTTGATTAAATCAAAACTGGAAGATAAGTTAAACGGGTGGTATAAGATAGTTTTAAGAAAATACAAACTGTGTACCTCGTGTGTTCGAAGCAAACTTTACGAAACAATCTTGGTACGTTTCACGGGCCGCGCCTGGAAAGCAGACCGGCCCTTTATTTCTATATATGAAATGATCTATCTATTCTCGTTTCACTTCCTAACAACAAAACAACTACATTTTTACTACAAAGATAAAATAATTTGAATTTACGATATATAAAAAAAAAACATATATATTAAATATCCGTTTAAGAGTATATTAATTTAAATTTTATAAGAAACAACTATTTTATTATATTTATTCCGAGTAATAATTATGTATTTTCATATTAGCCTATACGTTACACCAGCTCTTAGTCTAGCCGTTTCCACGTAAAGGTGTAACAAATACACACACAAACACACGCACATACATACGAAGTTTCGCGATATATAGATTTGGTCACCCTACGAATCAAGTTTTTTTTTATAAAATACACTTAAAGTTCATAACTATACATAATAATAATGTCCTCTACCGATTTCGTCCACGGCGGCCAATCTCATTGAGACTAGCCAGCGCAGGAGATATTATAGTGCAATGTGTGGGAGCGAGAGAGAGTCAATGTGTGGGAGCGAGAGAGAGTGCACTTTCTATTCCTGTAACTCTTATATTCCCGGTGGGACAACACAAGACACTCGCGGTGAGAGTGCCGGCGCAGGACCGACGGCTTTACGTGAGAGCCGAGGCACGGGGGTGACACACCGCCAACTTCCCAACTCCGGGCTGATATTGAGGCTTGCTATACAGAAAGACTCAGTATCTAAACTTGGCCCGACCCGGGACTCGAACCCAGGACCTGCAGTAGTGCAGCCATTCAGGCAGTTTTAGTTTTATTACAATATTATAGTAATGATTTATTTAAAAAAATCAGTGGGCCACCTCAAAAAATGTTAAGTAAAAAAATTGTTTTTTTTTTTCAAAAAAAATATTTTTTATATGCGTTAAATTCTACCACTAAGACCAAAAATATTTTTTTTTCACTCTACCCTAATGTCTATCAGGAAAAGATCTAACGGGCTTGACGGTCCCTTGTACCTAAAGAGATTTGAAAGAATAAAAAGGAGGGGGGAAAGGGGGCAGGGAGGAGGTGCTAAATGACCATCCCCCCCAACGTGCGTTCACCTTGTCGTGGTGGGGGGGCTCAGTAGTAGTAACGAAGCTAAGAAACGCACAGGGAGGTTGCCCACTTCGGTGGGCGGTGGGAGGTGGCCCTCTTCGGGGGGCGGAATGGAACCCATGCATGTTGGCTCCTGATACTTCTCTGATAGCAGAGTGGACTGTGGAGCAACCCCATGATGTGGTGGTCTGCTTCGGCAGACCTGCCGTCGGCGTCGTAGTTGAATGCGATTAGCGATCCTGCGACGCGCTATTATAGTGCTCAAGACGCGGGAAGGGTTTTAGTGGTAGTACTGGCTGTATTACGCCGGTGAGTCCCACACGTCGTGCGTAAATGCATTTCCCAACGTTAAAAAAAAAAAAAAAAAAAGGTGCTAAATGACCATGGAGGGGATATGATAATACCACTAAGTTATCGTACCTTTTTTATCAGCAGCAGTCTGTTGCATTGGCGCCGCCGTCTCCTGAGGAGTGAGGAGTTCGGGGAGCATCGGGGAATCGATCCAGAGCCCTTGGGCGTCGAGTTCGAAGTGGTACCTGATAGGGAAGATATTGGTCAGAATGGAACCCTTACATGATAACATCCCTATATAAACTAAACTCAATAAATATAAATATGTTGGGAAATTAACACACAGCACCATCTAGTTCCATGGTAAGCTACGAGGCTTGTGTTATGGATACCAGATAGTTGATACACTACACATATATAAATTTAAATACATAATTAATATAAATATAAACACCCACGACTGGAGTACAAACATTCGTGCTCATCACACAAATGAATGCCCCCCAGCGGAACTCGAACCCGCGACCGCTGGCACATCAAGTATTGTCACTACAAACTGAGCGAAACATGTTTTCATACAACCACGCAACAATACGATACGGGATTTTTGATTGCAGATTTTCTTCCTCCAAAAAGGGGCAAAAAAGAGGCTACTGGATATCTCCACCTTCTAAGATCCGATTTCGATAGTTTTTTTTTATTTGAAAAGCAGTAACTTAAAGTTGGTCTTTTAAAAATTTGGTGAAGTTCAGATGAGGATCTTCAAGGAACAGCTCCTCAAAATGCAGTTTCTACTCGAGAGGTCTACTGTTCGCATTACTACTAGTTTAGGTACGGTATGTTGACAACGTCAAACGTACTAATCTCGATCGTGTCGTACATTGGCGAAGTAAATTATGCTGCATCGACGCCTAAAAGCCATAAAACCAATAGAATCAACAATCTCAGGGCGAGTGCTTCACGCTCTAAAGAATGCGGTCGTATGAAGCTTTGTCTCTATTAATATTTATTCAAGTGGTACATTAGTTTGTAGAAGGCAAAAAGTGTTTATTTTTGCATTGATAACCTCTTGTTCATCTATCTATAGCTGTATGACACATGTCTGTATGTTTGTATGTTTTAACGACATTACAGGTATTGGTTGGACATCCTAATCTGATTACAACAATTTGGATGCCGAGTAAGACTATCCCATAGAACTATATTGTCTTGGTAAAAAAAAACTGGAATTTACAGGCACAGACTCATTAAAATGGCACAGTAAAAATACCATTTACAGGTGTTATGCTGAATTGAAACAAACATTCAACATAATATTAATATATTATCTTAATTAAATAAAATATCAATTTTTCTGCTAGAAAAAAAAGAAACAAGGGAATTCTTATAAACATTTGAGAATTGCCTGGTAGAGTATATACCCTGAAGGTCACAGGTTCGAGGCCCTGCTAGAACAATTATTTAACCATTAGCAGCTAATGGGACCTGTTGAATGTATGACATTGGTATTTTTCAAATATATGTATGTATAATTACCCGCATAATTGCAGGCTAACATGTCTCCAGAGGCACTCGCTCTCCTCATGCATAGCACCTTCGATCCAATTTTGTCTTTTGTCATCGCAGTCTGCTGATGTGTTCACACTGAAAAAAAGTTATTATGAAACTCTGTCTTAACGCGCTAACCTCAGGAACTATAATCCGATTTGAAAAATTATTTTTGAATCAGATCAGCCCATTTATTGAGTATGGCTGTAGGTTATATATCATCCCGGTAAAATGTACGATTTCCGTGGGACAGATTTGTTTTCGTCTAGGGATAAACCCGAACCGAACCGAGGGTGAGTCGCTAGTGAATGTATACAATACATATCAAAAAAAATGTTTATTCACCTTTATTTTTAAACACGCTATAAAATATATTATAACTATTGACATTACTTTAATGAATGAATAGCTTCTTTTTAATATAATACTCTGCAAAAAAATATAATATCGATTGTCTAAGGGCAATAATACGAGGTTTCTATTAAAGCTAAAAAAGATGATTTTTCTGTAAATATGAAATTTTGACCCTTTCTTAACCCTCACTATCAGAAGTTTACTCAATAATTTAGCCCTGGAAATTTAGTCAATTGGGAAAATTTAGTCTGGATATTGATGACGTTGTCAGTTAGCCTCAATTTGCAATAATTATAACTTACTAAATATAAAAAACCGAAAGCTTGGATGGATGTTTGTTACTCAATCACACCAGAACGGCTGAAAAGATGAATGAAATTTGGCACAGAAATAGTCTGGAATAGCACATAGGTTACTTTTTATTCCATAAAAATGTTCCCGTGGGATAGATTAAGATAATAAATGTAAATGTAGTTCTATTTGTCTATTTGAATTTTCACACTCAAACTGCTGAACAGATTTCAATTAAATTTAACCAGGACATAGATTGCACCATGGGGAAGGACATAAGCCATGCACTCTGGATTCCTATCCAGCAAACAAACTGAACTACAAACGACATCTAGTTTTAAATATATAAAAAAAAGAACGAATAAAAATTATCTAAAGCTGGCAGTCTTAAGTCATTAATTCATAATTATAGCTCTGATTTTTTATTTGTAACAGTATAGTTATGTAAGAAATATGTATACATACATAAAACATTGTACATATAACTTAATCTATTAATCTTAAGATCTCAAGAAATAATACTTGTGTTGTAAGAACTTGAAATATTGCTCAAGATCAACTTATATGCAAAATCTACATTTACATAATCACTTCATATAAATTTCTTTATGTGTATCTTTTATTATTGTACATTCAAGCCAACAGGTTTCTTTAGTTATTAAACAAAAAAGTTTAAGTTTCATTATATATATGTCTAATAAATGATATATTGAGAGAACAGATTTATACAGAGTATTATATGTTAACTCATTTTATACAATACATATACATATATATATATATATATATATATATATATAGATATATATTATATATATATATATATATATATATACAAACACAAATTTTATTAGTTATAAGTGTTTATAGTACGATACTATGATATAGTAGTATATGATGTAGTCACTATGAGTTTAAATTTAATTGTTAAAATGTCATAAGAACTTGTTTATTTGAATGCAGAACAGGTAAATTAATGCAGTGACTAACATTTTATAAAAATAAACAAAATGAAAGTAAAAATAAACAAAGTAAAATTTTTATTAACAAAATGTAATTGTTTTGATAATGATTTTTCAACACAAAATTTTTATTTAAAACAATAAGTAGTCTAATAAGCATTATTTAATAAACATGGGTGATAACTTTGATAAGCCCTGTTATATTGAATTCCGGCCGAAGTTTAATAGAGGGAAATTATAAGCACCTAATTATAATATATTGTTTTTATACAAATTTTACCCTATATTCAACAAATTAGAATAATTGAAAGGCTAAATAGATGTAAGAAAACAGTCAATAAAAAACGTAAACATCCAATAGGATTACAAATCTTTGTTCGCTCGTCTACGTAAAAATCGTAAGCGTCGAGGTCACGGGGCGTCGTACCTGCATCTAGCCACCCCCCGTACTGATATATAATTAAAGGGTTGTAAAAGCGGGAAAACAACTTACTTGTAAAAGGAAAAGCTGCAAACCACATCGTATTCGAGATTACAGCCTTCTACAACACACTTTTGAGCACTCATTATGGGAACCTAAGCTGCGACCTCCAAATATGGAATCCTTGTTATCACATCTTCGTTATAATGTAAAAATTATAAAATAATATGATTTAGCGCCTAAACTAACTTTCAAACAAACTAATTTGATGGATCTTTAGAAAATTATCAATCAAATGTCGAAAATGACATGCTGTCACGAAAAGTCGAAGTCCCAAATGCGTGCCATGAAATGGTGATGTAATGTTCAATGGGATGTGGATGTGGCAACATCGAATGTTGCTATCGATTTATATAATTATAGCCTAATCGATTCTAATATGTTTACATGATTAACGAATAAACGAATTAAATATTTTTACTATTTTTATTTTGCTGCAATTCTATTAATGGCATAGTATTTTTGTTCATATCATATTTATAATATAATTACTTCACATTTAACTTACATAGAGTGATGCAACAATGGTTTTTAAAAGAAATAGATCGATTTACCAAAAATTACCTTAGACGACATCTTTTTGATATTATATTTATTTAAATAAATATAACACAAACCTATAATAAATAAGAGTGTTTCATACTTATTTAAATAAATGTATTAAAATCAATAATTTGATTATCAAAATGAAAAAAAAATGTTATCGTTTCAAATGCTTTAATTAACAGACATCTTCATATTTTATATAAAATCTCGACATTTAATGTAAATAAAATACGAAGATTTTGAATATAACACATTCACAAAACTCTTACATTTGAACTAAAGCGAATGATTATTTAAAATCGATTCCGACTGACTGATATTGCCATATATGAAAATTGTAGCCATAAACAACTGCATAAACATTTTTATCTTATGACGCTATGTTTTAACGCGAAACAGCCAGACACTTTTAAACGAATTAAAAATTATTTATAAAGATTTCTTCCATTTAATCAAATCCTAACTACTTATCTAACCGCTATATACCAATTTTCATAACAACACACATTTTATGAAGCGTTTATAACAAATTTAATATCTAAGCCAAACCATAGACAATAAAATAAGACGCATATCGATCGCGCCCATTTTACGCTACTTCCGGTGGAATGGTTATTTTAGGAATAACCTTTCAGATACATTAATTAGTGTTAGATAAACAGAAAACAGCAAAACCAATTAATATTGATGTATGTATACATAAAAATTGACATTGTCACAATTTCTCTGACAATTTTGTCAAATTTACCATGTCATTATTTGTCAGCTTGTCAATTGTTTGTCCCCCTCAATTTATGTAATCAAAATTAATATATTCATTTAGCGGATTTATTGAGACGTTCTTCATATATACATATATGTAGTTATTCCAACCTGTTGATAGCAAACAAATGGTATAATATGTGACCTAGATTATTAAATCTAGATTTTGCACACGTCTTTGTTCAGATCTGTAAAATAAATTACCTAAGTACTTTTATAAATGACCTATTTTTTGGATAAAAGAGCGTTTATTGCTTGAAAGTTGTAAGCAATGCGTCTGTTATTTCCTAAGAGCGTTGATTATTCAAGCGTGAATGTTCTAGAAAGATTCACTTTCAGTACTAACGTGCATGTTAGTAAAATATACCTCAGACTAAGGAATAATATAGCCAGTCTTAGAAATAATTATGTTTTAAAATAATATAAGATAAATGCTCAGACCAATAAAAAAGTTTTTTATTGGTCTGAGGATAAATGATAATGTTTTAAAACAATACAAAATTAAAATAAGTAATAGGTACTCTTTACTGTGTTAAATAAATCTTATTAATAAAAATAGTTGACAGATTTTATTATTTATGCCAGTAAATAATAAAATCTGTCAACTATTTTTGCCCGCGGTTCCGCCTGCATTCAGATGAACCAAAGTCTTAGGTTTTACATATTATATATATAGTATACCTACTCTTACATTGCAGTTTTGTATTTTTTTTTCTCAGGAATGAGATATTTTCCGGCGGTAAAAAGTATCCTATATGTTGACCCGGATAACCAGCTATCACCATACCAAATTTCATCAAAATCCCTCCAGTGGTTTTCCGTGATGCGGTAACAGACAGACAGACAAAAATTTTAAAAATTTAAGATTCGGCCTCTGTATCGATAATAATGACTATTTCTATAAGATTTTCCAAAAATTATTTAATGTACAGATTCGGCTTAGTTACAATTTTATTATATGTTTAGATAAGGTTTTGCTTTTGTATAGTCTTTTCTAAAAAAAAGCAATTTTGCAATCAATGAAACGTACAATCACATTGAGTAACCCTTCTTTTTGGAAGTCGGTTAAGATTGAGGCGTAACCAACACTAACTATAAAACACGCGAGTCATCATTCTGTCGCGTTTTTATACATAGAACGGTACATGCACGAGTTCAATACCCAATAGAAAAACTTTCATTGATCTATTCCATACAAAATAATTATGTCCATCACGAAAAAGAAATTTTGTCTTTAGGTACATATAATAAAATTCTGAGTCGAATTTGTGCAGAATTTTTTTTTTTGGAAAATCTTATTGAAATACTATATTATCGATACAGAAGCCGAATCTATAGTTTTTAGAATTTTTGTCTTTCTGTGTTCCCACACATAACACGTATCACGAGAAAACCAGTCGACTGATTTTGATGAAATTTGGTATGATGATAGCTGGTTATGCGGGTCAACATATAGGACGCTTTATACTGCAGGAAAATATGTCATCTCTGAGAAATCTACACACATATTTATTCTATATAAAAGAAAGTCTGGTTAGTTAAAACATTTAAAACTCAAGAACGGCGGGACCGATTTTCATAATTTTTGTTTTGTGCCAGCTGTAGCGGGTTCGAGTACCGCTGAGGGCATTCATTTGTGTGATGAGCACGGATGCTTGTATTCCAGTCATGAGTGCTTATATTTATAATATGCACGTATTTAAAGTTATATTTCTCGTGTTATCCATTTACTACGAACATAATCTTTATTGGTTACTCATCTTGTGGGCGTTATCAGGGCTCAAATAATAAAATCATGAACGAGTGGTTAATTCGTTCATGAATAAAATATTCAATGCTCAATACACAATTTAATCAGGGAAATCACAATGTTATAATCTGGAAACGGTAATTCTAATGATTTAGAGCTAGCGGGTTCACAGTCACCGATCATCGACTTCCAACTACAATATCAAAACATGATGATGATGATGTTCTCCTAGCCGATTCCGGCTACGGCGGCCAATCTCTTTGAGATTAGCCAACTGCGCAGGAGATATTATAGTGCACAAGTGTACGTGCAGACACAAGTGCACTCTCTATTCCTATCACTCATACTCCGGTGGGACGACCACTCGACACGACCAGTGAGAGTTAAGGCGCAGGACCGACGGCTTTACGTGCTCTCCGGACTCCTAGGTACGGGGGTGAAACACCGCCAACTTCCCAACTTCGGGCTGTTACTGAGACTTACTATACAGAAAGACTCAATAACTAAATTTGGCCCGACCCGGGACTCGAACCCAGGACCACCGGTGCTCCTCCTCTGTGATCCACCATGATCAACCAACGTTACTAAGCCACGTATCTCTAAAGATTGTCTAGAATGAGACTTAAATCTCTGCTCTAAAATCAAAATAACTTTAAAAGCAATATAAAGTAAACTAAATAACATAGTGACTAAACAATAGTAAGGTTTCATAGCAGAAAAAGGTAACTAAATCCTCCTCCGTCATATGTATTATGTAGTGTATCCAACATATGAAAATAAATATACGGTACTAATAAGAAAAACACATTTTTTTAATGTGTACTGTGTCAGTTTGTCCCGGCTAAGCTCCGAAACGCCTGGACTGATTTTGACGGTACTTTCACTGGCAGATAGCTGATGTTATAAGGAGTAACTTAAGCTACCTTTATTTTAGAAAAATATAATTAAAAGAAATTAACTAAAAAGGTTTAAAATAGCAAAAAAGTGAAGACTTGCCAGTGGTATAAGTAACCACCGACACGAAATATATAACTCTAAAAATTAAAAAAAAACAAGATAACTTTTTAAAAGTAACCCATTAATGATGATGAGTGTTGCCGCGTTCAAGAACCGCTAATACTTTATCATCATCAATCTTTTTATATTTATTCTGGTTTTAATTTTATTTACTTAGCGGTCTAAGAACCATCGCCAAGAAACTATCTTTCTAATAAAAAAACCGCATCCAAATCGGTTCACCCGTTTAAGAGCTACGGTGCCACAGACAGACACACATAGCGGCTTATAACATCCGTCTTTTTGCGTCGAGGATTAAAAATTAAATACACATTGTTTTTTATTATTAATTTATTTATCAATATAATAATATGTATATAATGTATAACTTACAGCCTTAAAGAGCGTCAATCGGGTGATTCAGAATGCCAAAACCCATTTCCAATTGAAATATGTGAAAATTTAAGAAAAATTACACCAAATTTTTCACAAGGGGGAAGAGGGGGAAGAGGGGGGGGAGCCGCGATCGACGCGTCAAAGCATCCTTACAAAACTTTTTTTTACTTACTTTATTAACTCATAATATACCTAATATTATTGACTATTGTGAAACAGTTCTATGCCTATATTACAACAACCAATTTTTTCATATTTTTTTATTATGTATTTTTAGCAAAAAATCAAAAAAAAAATAAAAGAATGTGGAGTCAACAAAAATTACGACTGGGTGTTGTTTTTACATTACAGCACTTACATTTAATAGCGAGTTATAATTTTTTTTTGTATTATTTTTGCATTTATACAATAATTCTAAATTTCCATGTTTTAGCACAATGTCGTCTCCTTTGGCGTTCTTACGAAAGAATTGCAACAAATTGAAAAAAAAAACTTAACAAAAACACAACGTCGTGGGGTTGCCATGTTTATGAATATACCAATAAATTAGGGCAAAACAAGAGGAAGTTAAACAAAAATTTCATAGAATTTAGAAATTTTTAAGCACATTACACCGAAATAAGTAATTTTTATTTACATCATAGCTTGGCAGGTTCAGAAACATGGCAACATCTCGGCTCGCGATCGCTTCGTATGCAAATTAAAACCATCCTTAAACTAAAACTACCTTTTAAAAGGGACGGTGTGGAGGGACAGCCGTTCATAGACAAAATACAAACTCTCATCCATTTTATAATTAGATGTTGCTAATATTATATAGATATTAAATATAAATTAAAAGCTATGTATAGAACATTTTATTTAACAATAATTAAAATAAAAAAGTTCTTTTTTCTTTAATCGATGTTAATCAAAAGTCCATGACCGACTGTTGAGGAGAAATTTCGTGACACAGAAATCGTAAAATCAAAACTGAAAGATTGAAAACATAATAATTACATTTGTATAATATATTTCGAGATTTTTAGGCTATAATTGCATGATTCTTTATATCTCATTTTGAAATATCTATTGTATTTCATAATATTCAAAGATACCCTTAGGAAATGACATATTCTAATAAAATCTTACCCAAACACCTCGAAATATGTATATATATATGTATATAAAAATTATTATTTCCAAAAAAATAATAACTAAAAATTCAGGAGAAAAGCTGAATGGAACGAACACTTACTTTTACTCTACCACTACAATTCCTGTGTCTAATTTGATATAATTGAAATTATTATATAAAATATATTAGGAACTATGTTTTATAATTAAGAAGCGACCTAGCGACGTGCAAACGTATTAAATTTTGTCTTACATACGAAATAGGGTGATATGTGGAACGCGTATGGCAACACAAAATAAAATATAGCTTAAATATTGCATTTCCAGATAGTGTTGTCATGTTTAAAATTAATAATATAATTTTTAATGATTTAAATTTCTTTGTTCAAGAAATGTGTAGAGTAATCACAGCGGTCCGACCACCTCATAAGTGACACATTTGTATATACATACATAAGTGTAAAAGTTCAATCATAATGGGTTTAGGCAAGAAAATACAACAGCCACACGCACCCCACATATGCGAATTATATTTTAAAAAGCATTCTTAAAACTAAGAAAAAAGAAAATTAAGAAAACACACCTTAACATATTATATATTTAGTGCACTATACAGATTTTGATTTTTGAAAAAAATTATCCAAAACAATTATATTATGTATACATATATTTTAATCGATTATAATCATTCGTATTGGATAATTTTATTTCATCAACGTCACATGTTCCAAAACAATACAGAAACATTAGTATTGAGCAAGTTAGGTAAACAAAAAAAAAAGATTCGCTTTCATTTTTAGTGTTTTCAGTGTAGCGACTGTAGTTTCACTAAACCGAGTACATCATTTGTGGTTTAAAAATCAAGAAAATTAACAATTATTTGATTTGTACATATAATAAAAATGTAACTGAGTGATCGCTGTCTGTACATGGAAGATATAATTTTGAGAAAAACTATTATTCGGGGGCTTTATTAACGCAATAGAACCCAAAACAATGAATTTTAGAATTTTTGTCTGTTTGTCTGTGAGTTTATGCGCTCTAATATCAGACACGACCTAACCGATTTGGATGCTGTTTTCCCTAATATATTATGGTAAGCTACACTTAACATTTAGTATTTGTTTTATTTCAATCATTTAATAAATAAAAAAGTTATAGCCAATTTAAAGAATCACCTAGGGACAAACCCGAGCGAAGCAAAGGAAAGTCGTTACTAATAAAATATAAATATTGTTTATAATATAACATATTAATTGAATATCACCATTTAAATCAGCTAAAGGTTTGAGATACTAAAACCACTTTTATCAATAGATATTTAACCAAAGTGAATAGTTGTGACCAAACAAACAATCAAACACACACACAAAAACACTAAACATGAAAACGTGACATCTAATCCCCTACCAAATGCCGGATTTATTATGTATACAATATTTTTTATATCTAAACAATAATAGCGACAAATTTTCCTTTGAAACAAATGCATATGATCATTTTCAACGGAGAAAATTTCATTTTATATATAAGTTAAGACATAGATTGAACACATTATAAATTGCCTAACATAGTTTATTTATGATACTCCATCTCTTTCTATCATTTAAATTTTTATGATGAAAGAGCGAGACAGATATATTATAAGTTTAGATAACCCAATGCATTTGTTTCAATCAGAGGTTATATTACTAAGTTTGTGTGCTCAGTTGTGTCAACATTATAAGTGGCAGTATTGAATGTAGACTTGATACACGACGAGTTTCATCACATTTGGTACAGTAAAAACTATTTTCAAAAAAACCCATTCATTATTATATAGCATTATTATTATATTCCCATTAAAATACGAACCCGACGTCACTCAATCTTAAATATCAAGTCCACAAGTACGCAGTCAGAAAAAAGTCCGTTCAAACAAAAAAAAAAGTGCTACCAGAAAAAAAAATCATTTACAATTCACTAAATATGCACATTTCCAGTCTTCTCGACGTTTTGACGCCATTCAAAGTTTTTTATTATTATTATTATTTAATTTTTTTTAATATCTTTTACATAACGGAATATCAACAACTGTACATATTTGCCACAAGATCACCATAAACCATAGCTATACGACGGGATTGATTAATTTGTATGTAAAAATTACCGAGATTGAAAAAAAAAATAGTCACAGATTATATATAATCTTATGAATTACGTATTATTTATATGTTAAGTTAAAAATTAATTATATATGTAATATGTATATATATGAAAAGCTGCAACTCCATATTTATATTGGCATTTTATCCTACTAACATTATAATTGTAATAGTTTAAATACATTTGTTTGTTTATCATTCAATTACGCATTAACTATTAAATGTATGATACCTTTTTGTTCCGTGACATATAGTGATTTCATTTTTTATTAAAGTCATTTAGGGATGTGCCTAAAAGCTAAACTTTTTGTCTTTACCAAAAAAAAAAAGAACAGTTCTAAAATCTCACACTTACCCATTACTTAGGAATAGGTTCTAACTTTAGATCCTATATATACATAAGTTTTATTCATTGCCATGTTAATTTATTTCATTAATATATTTAACTAACCGGACAGGATTTTTACATACGAATTATTCACTCCACTAAAACAAAACCTTAATGTTGCCATACCCTAATCTAGCAAGCATCATGCCACTACATGTTGTAGTTATATTTGGCAGTTGACATTTTTGAATGATCAAAGTCAATTTTACAGTATTCAGAAAAAAAACGTCATTTTTCGTTGCTTATTCGTTTTTTTTAATCTATAAAAACAATGAACCTACAACATGCAGTCGTTAAACTTATAATTAAATGATACAGACTAAAAGTCACTATTGTAGAGCTGTATTTAGTTTACATGTCAAAAATATATATAAATAGATATATAATATGTATGTATGTATGTTAGCAATCTTATGTCTACATGATCGTGGCGTCTATACCGCGTAGCATTTATTGTCGATGCGTACAAGCTGAAAAAAAAAACAAAAAAATTTTTAAATAAAAATTAACATTTTTTAATTTGTTATTTAATTTTTTTATTAATTTCATAAAAAAATCAATACCGAAAGCGATTAATGCAAAAAGAATTTTTCAAATCGGATTTGTAATTCCTGAGATTAGCACCTTCAAACACATAAACAAACAGACTCCTCTTCATAATAGGATAGATTAGTACTGTATCTGATAAATAAAATCGAAGTGTCAGTTTGTAATGTCGAAATAACAGCTTTTTACTAAATGCATATGAAATTATATATGGTACTTATAAGAAAAACACAATGATTTTTTTTTTATTTTTGTTTGTTTGTTCCGGCCAATCTCCAAAACGGCTTGATTGATTTTTACGGGACTTTCGTTGGCAGATAGCCAATGTTATAAGGAGTAACTTAGGTTACTTTTATTTTAGAAAAAGAATTAGGGTTGCGCTCAAAAAAATTAAAACATACATACATAGCGACGCACACCATATTCCCCATACATAATTTCGCCACCATTTTCATCCTCTTAAAGGATGATTTCTGGGATTAAAACTATCCTATGTCCTACCTAGGGTCTCAAATTACATCTAAATCTGTTCAGTAGTTTCGAAGCCTATTCGATACAAACAATCAAAAAACAAAATAAAGAACAAAATATGAAATCCCTTACCTAGGCTCCACATTTATTCAGCCTGCAACCCCGTAGCAACCTCCGGCAACCAGATGTAACAATGTAACCAGTTGTAACCGGTTATAACCATAACACAGATCGCACAACACTTCACACTGCACTTCACTTTTATTTTTATAGTTTTTTTTGTATTTATATATATAAAAATGCACTTTAGTCTAATAAGTAACAATGTTCGGTTGTTTATTGAGTTTTGGCCGCGACTGGCGCTTTCAGCTCGTTAGGCACGGATTCCTGTTTCGCCTTGGGTTTTGCTGTAAAGAAAATAAATTATTACTATGAGGTCCTTATATGTAGTAGACTCAAGACGTTTAGTAAAAAATTGTAATAATTTAATGCTGAATAAAATATTTTGAATTTGAATATGGAACAAAGAAAAATTAGTTAAAAAAATGGCGAGATGTTATCATTTGTATCTTATTTGATATAATAAAGAAAAAGAAATAAATTTCCAGAAATCGATGGTCTTCTGGATATGTATACAAATCGTATATGTCAATGTATCTGCTAAGATTAAAAGAGAAATTGTACATACGGCGTGGCCTGGCGTTGGCGATGACGCTCTGCGCGCCGCACGAGCCCGCGCGCCCGCGGTTGTTGTTCGAGCTGCCTGTGTTGCGGTTACTGTGGAACAGACGTACATACATTACATTCATATATACTAAAATACTATTACATACATAAATAGATATTTTTTTATTGGTAGGATCTTGTTCTTAATTTCACTTTTTTTAGCACTAACCCGAAATCTTTTTCTAAAATAAAAGTAGCCTAAGTTACTCCACACATTATAATCATTCATTCAACCACTAATAACGAAAACGGACAGAAATCTCTAGAAGCGATGCTAGGGCTAGTTTATAATAATTCAACTTCATTTCATTCATTCATTCTCTCAAACGTGGTTCTGGTTGGCAGTGACAGTTCTAGAGGTGTAAGCCCGGGGATTTAACCCGCTTCAAAGTCATCGACCAGTTATTTTAATTACTAATATACACACATTTAATTACTAAAAATATAATTATAATGAAATTCAACATAATCCATCCACTACCAACACCACGTGCGAAAAAAGCGCGTGTGTGTGCAATTCACTCAAGGTAGAACTGAAACTTAGTAGCCAACGAGAGAGTGAGATGAATAAAGAATATCAGGAGTAGTATAATGATAAGGTTCAGTTTTTGTAATAATATTTTTAACAAATTTAAGTTGTTTTACATTTTATTTGACATAAATATACATTACATATTTATTCATTCAGTATTATTTTTATTATTTATCACTTCGTGTGCAATGTATTCCATCTCATTCTCTCGCCGTCTTAATCCTGTATATTTATGTGTTTGTCTCTTTCCGTTTCATCGAGTTTCGAAAATCGCAACGATTCTAAAGAAGTTCCACTTTAAAAACAAAATAAATCCCTCAACACCCGGCGTCCCATACACGCACCCGTAGTGTCGCGGCGCGGGCGCGGAGCCGCCGGCGTGCGCGCGCGAGCGCTCGCTCTCGGACACGGAGCGGTGGCGGTCGTAGGGCCGCGCGTGGGGCCCGCGCCCGGCGCCCGCCGCGCCCTGGGACGCCAGCAGCTCGTTCAGTTGGGGCTGGGGGGTTAGGGTTTATTTTATTTATTTTTAAACAAACAGTGTTACAATAAAATATTTTCTTAGTTTTATGCGAATTTTGACATTTTAAATAAAACTAACTTTTCAGATTTTTTCGCGGATTTATTTTGATTTTTGGTTCCCGACGTTTCGAATGCTTTACAGCGATCATGATCACGGGAGAGATTAAGGTGTTAGATGTCTTAAAGGTATTGCATAGTTGTTACAGACACACAAATAACAAAAAACGAAACGTCGGGAACCAAAAATCTAAATTAATCCGCGAAAAAATCCAAAAACTAATTACAAACAAGATTAATCTATACTCAATTGGACCACAGACTTTTTACAAAAAACAAAAAGAGTGTATTATATGCGTGTGTGCACTACCGTGTACTTGACACACACACGCGTGTGTGCTTTTTTATTGTATTTTTTATGTATAATTTTTAAAAAAAGTTAGCAGTGCAGACACTTCTTCTCTATATAAATTATAAATGTGGGAAATTTCATACTCCTCCGTCCGTGCAATTTTCGTAAAAAGGGGTACAAATTTTTGCTTCACATATTAATATATAGAGTCTTTCAAAACAACTGAACCGATTTATATGAAATGTATTAAATGTATTAAACATACATATAGGCCACTCGGTACAGGAACATCTAAGCTAGTATAATATAAAAGCACTGACCATATGACCTACCTCCAAAACTCTAAAGTCCTCGATACTCTTGAACTTTGATAGGTGAGCTTGCAACTTGGGCTCCACCTGTAGGGCTCCTGCGTGCTTGTAGTATTTGAGGAACGCCCAGAACTTCTCCAGACCGTACAGCTGACCTGGCAATGTTAATATTTGTTAGTTTGTACGTTCGTCACTTCTATATTGCTATTTGAGTGTAAACCGAATAAGCACAGAGGTACGAGGTATGCCGATCAGTTATTTTGTAAAACAAAAAGGGTCATAAGTTTGGGTCCTTGTCATGGACCTTCCAAGAGCAAAAAATAAGTTATTGAAAAGTGTGATTTAGTTTAATCAGAGATATTGTTATTTAAATCCAAAAATTTAAAAAATAAGAAACTGATATTTAGCATTGAATTAAAAAATAATAATAGTACTGGTTTCTATTGTATGCTTAATAGCTTTATAAGTTAATATATCTTTTTTCAAATCCATTCTTTTCTAAACATTTGTATATTTGTAACTTTTTGTTTTAAAATTTGTACAATGAAGTATTAAATAAATAAACACGTTTATGTAAGTACATAATATGTATTCAGCCCTTTTTTTAACGTCTCACTGCTGGGCACGGGCCTCCCTTTAATAAGAGGGGGATCGGGCCATAGTCCATACACATATAGGGGTGTATACATATTATATGTATATATGTGTGTATGTCCATAAACACGAACCCTTTTCATAATCAGCGATGGTCTCCAACTGGAAGTGGTGGTAGAGCTCGGGGCGGAACTTGCGCTCGAGCCCGTACGAGTAGAAGCGGAAGAGACACTCGAGCCCGTACCGGAACCCGGCCGCGGCATCCTCGTTCGCTAAAGTTCTGGAAACATACACAAGAGTTAATATAAATAATATTACAAAACTTTTTATACTCTGTACTGAGAACTCAATATCTTAATGACGGCTGTAAACTCTCACCGAGACATCACAATACGGATCGATTAGTGTTTAAATGGCACTCTTGTCTCGCTCTCTCTCTCACTCATGTCGCTCTCTCTCTCTCTCTCTCTCTCACTCATCTCACTCTCTCTCTCTCTCTCTCTCTCTCACTCACTCATCTCGCTCTCTCTCTCTCTCACTCATCTCGCTCTCTCTCGGCATATACACACTCCTTTGTTTAGTCGCCTGCTAACTAAAGTAGTAACAATATCCAGATCCATCCATATTCATACGGTGAATGGTGTCCGTAGCTCGAAACTCGAGGTAAAAGTTTCTCAACGAGTATGTACAGCCGCAGTAGCGTGCATTAGGTGTCTTTGCACGCCAACATAGAAACTAAACTGCCAGTTTTTTATATCTTTAATCTATACATATAAAAAATTTGTAACTAAGCCGAATCTGTACATTAAATATTTTATTGAAATATCTTATTGAAATAAACATTATTATAGATACAGAGGCCGAATCTATGGTTTTTAGATTTTTTGTCTGTCTGTCTGTTACCGCGTCTCAGGAAAACCACTGGAGGTATTTTAATGAAATTTGGTATGATGATAGCTGGTTATCCGTGTCAACATATAGGATACTTTTTAACGCGGGAAAATAGATATTTTGAAAATGAGATCATTTCTGAGAAAAAATACAAAAACTGCAATGTAAGAGTGTACTAATATGTAAAACCTAAGAATTTGGTTTTTGGTCATTTGAACGCGGGCGGAGCCGCGGGCAAAGCTAGTTAATCATGAACGTCACTAAAATCATAAACAAAACAAAAAATAATAAACAAACATAATCACCTAAATTCGTTGTACATAGTCTGATTGAAGTGGTCCCGGAGGAAGAACGACCAGAATCTGAACAATGTGTTCATCTCTTGCGACTGTCCTATACCGAGCTTCTTGCGTTCTGAAATATAAAATATGTCAATATGATCATTAATGCATTAAGCCTTTTTAACGTCCCACTGCTGGGCGTGGGCCTCTCTTCAATACGAGGAGAATCAGTTCTTTCAAACTACAGGTCATCCGGTAGAAAAATTTGTATTATAATATTCCAATTGGAATTTGAGAGTAAAAGGAATAGAGAGTGCACTTGTGTCTGTGCGTACACTTGTACACTACAATATCTAACGCAGTCGTCTAGTCTCATTGAGATTAACCATCGTAACAGACACATCATGAGGGCACCGTCATCATCTGCCATCAATCAAAAAAGCACTAGATACCCATCAATCCACAATCCCATACAAAAGTTTACTTAAAACTGTCACCAATTGTGTTTAGGTGAATATTCTAGTTGAAATAAATATACAACAATGTAAAATTGAACCTTAAATGCAATGCTTAAAGTTGGTTTCACAAAAAATGTATACGACCGAGGCTCGCCGCTCATCGCCGAAATGACGCCACGCCGTCACAATGAATAAGTGTATTAATCACTCAATCATATGACTTCATTTAAAAAAAATTACAATGATTTCTTCACAAAATATGAAACTCCATACTTTTTTAGCGTCCTAGATGTGTGATTTTTGAAATTTTTAAACGAGCATCGAGTCATGTTTACCGTCGGAGCGTCCAAATGCTACAAAATTAAAAGCGCGCTCAAATATTCAAACGAGCGCTCATTGGGTGAGGACGTTTTCATTGGCATGTTCACGTTTTCATATCGTCATAAAGACTATTTTATGTTATTTATTATATTTGTTTTTATTTCACTTAGAAAAATCATCATTTTTTAAAGTAAATAGTGCTAAATGGTTCTATTTTGAGAACTAATATTATAATATAAAAATAAAAAACTATTTGTAATTTCAATGTAACACCTGTAATTTCAATACATACTTAATGAATCTACCAATTAAATTTTAGCTCTCTGAGATTATTATTCATAACAAGCACCGTCATACTTTCTTATATTTAAGCAAATATTAGACATTTTAAATAAAACTATCTCATTGGATTTTTTTCCTGAAGTTTCGAATGCTTTACAGCGATTATTGTCACGGGAGAGATGTCTCTATAAATTAAAAAAAAGTACGGAATATACCTTTGAGACACCTGGATTGGTACTTGTGGTAGGCCTGCTGTGTGAAGTGGTTCTCGCGGAGCAGGCCGTGGCTGGGGTGGTGGAAGGCGGGCAGCGCCTGCGGCACGGAGCCGCACGACGACCCCAGCGTGGGGGACGTGCCCAGCGACGAGCTGTGGACACGGAATGGTATTATATATGTATATAATTATATAATTTAAATAAAATATAATGTATATAAATCAATACTTGTTTGTAGTGACCCTACTTGCTGTGCCAGTGGTCGCGGATTCGAGTCCCGCTGGGGGCCTTAATTTGTCTGATGAGCACGAATGTTTGTACTCCAGTCATGGGTTTTTTTTATATATATATATAATAAAATTGTAACTGTATCGAATCTGTACATTAAATATTTCTTGGAAAATCTTTTTGAAATAGACATTATTATTTATTATCGAAACAGAGGCCGAATCTATAGTTTTTAGAATTTTTCTGTCTGTAACCCACTGAAAACCACTGGACAGATTTTAATGAAATTTAGTATGATGATAGCTAGTTATCCATATAATCAATGGGCCACCCCAAAATATTAAGTATTTATTTCATTATAATAATTTTGTTTGTATATAAGCTACAGATTCTACCCCCAGACTAACAAAAAAAAAAACATTTTTTTTTATTTTTCTCTCCACCCTAATGTATATGCGTGTATGTATGTTTGTTACACCTTAACTCCAAAACACCTGAACAGATTTGTATGAAACTCAGCACACAGATAGACTATGAGCTGGAGCAACACATAGGCTGTAATTAGATATCTAGGTTATATATATAAACTAGTAAGCTAGTGCACTAACCCGGCACTGTCACGATGGTGCCTGCGGTGCTCGCGCACGTCCATGATCCAGCCCACGTGGTGTTCCACCGGAGGGTTCAGGCTGTGGCGTGTTTTGTGCTTTCTGCTGCTACTGGAATTGACAAATTCATTTTAAATTATATATATTATTTATATCTATACTAATATTATAAAGAGGTAAAGTTTGTGAGTTTGTGACGTTGTAGGGGGTAATCTCTGGATCTACTGAACCAATTAAGATGAAATTTGGTTAGAAGATAGTTTGAAACCTTGGGGAGGGCATAGAATACCTTTTTATCTCGGAAATCATCCCTTAAGGGAGTGAAAATGGGGATGAAAGTTTGTATGGGGAATCAAGCTAGGGACGAACCCGAGCGAACAGAGGGTGAGACGCTAGTAGGCAATAAATATAGACTATAATAACGACTAAACTTAGCAAGTCAGATATGCAAATATGGTCGTGAAGGATCAAAGCATTCGAAAGTACGAAAACAAAAATATTTAATAAATCGCAACAAAAAAAAAAACGATTCAATTGATTTTAAACCTCTTTAGCAATAATTTAGTGTAATTTATACACATAGAGAACGTTGTTTCTATTTTGCGAGATATTACAATTTTGTTTTAAAGTTATTGTTTAGCTTCATGTTTAGTTCTATGAGACTGTTTAGTCTGAGATATTAGATAAACATATATACTAACATAAGATATTGGTAAGTTAAAATAGCACTTATTGCCAAAAAGCTAAAAAAAGCCGTACGACCATATCCTCTGAAGACCATCCGAGTTCTAGGCATCCCTGACCGTTTATAAGGAAGAAGACGACCACGCACCACTTAGTGGTCAAATATGCAGAAAGAGAAAAAACCTTAATACACAGACAAGCCAGAGTAGACTTCTATGGCGCTGGTATAGGACCTAATCCCAGTTAAACTGAGAAGAGGGTTGAAAGAAGAAGAGGGAGAGGGAGAAGAGGAGAAGAAGACGAAGAAGAAGGTTTACTAACATGACATCTGTGGCGTGTGGGTCCTTGTTGGCCGCATAGAAGCGTGCAGTGCGACGCGGTCGCTTCGCCTTGCCACCCGGCTCCGCCTGCTCCGTCTGTATGAACAATTAAATAGTTTATATAGCTAATTCCATTACCTTGTAAGGTGCATACCACATGCAATCTATGTTACAATAATAAATTAATATTATAATTTATAAAACATTAAACTCAATTTTATTTAAGTAATTTTTAATTGTGTAAATTAAAGTTTATTTTATTCAAAGTTCAATGTTACTGTTTGAATATAAAAACTGTATATATATATTAATGTTTGTCTGTCCGCATGTGTGTGTGTGTGTACCTTGGCGGCGGGCGGGGGCTGCGCGGGGTGCGGCGCGTGGTGCGCGGGCGGCGGCGGCGGCTCGCTGGGGTTGCGGTGGCGCTCCGCCGGCGCGGCCGCCTCGAACTGCTCGCGCGAGATCAGCGACACCGTGCGGTACTGCGGCGTGCTGCTGTACGACGACTGCGGGGGAACACACTTTTATTTACTAGATTGATTCTCCATACCAACTTTCATCCTTATCTTCACCCCCTTCAGGGATGATTTCCGGAATAAAAAATATGAGTCTCAAACTACCTTCTTACCAAAATTCCATCTAAATCGTTCTAGTAGTTTTCGAGTTTATTCATTACAAACATACAAAAACACAAGCCTTTTCTCTTTATAATAGTAGTGTAAATGTAGATATCACAAAATATACAAACAAAAAGAAACCTTTTTTTAAAATTCACGATAAAAAATAAATAATATAATTAACAAAAAAAAAAACAAAAAATACTTACAGATGAAAATTCATTCCATAGATCCTCTTCATAGCGTCTGAGACCATCCGTGATCACCTTTAAAGGAAAAAAAATGTTACATGTAACAATAATAAATGCATCATTTCGAACACTCGCATTTTATTTATTCCATACAAGTATTAAAACAGAATTAAACCGACCTATAAGGCAGCCTCAAGGGCACCGAGGCTATTACGAAATAATTGCGTTTGTTTGATCCCTTGCTGTATTGTTATTACTAAAACTATAATTATGCAATAATATGTAGGATATTTAAGGATTTATTCTATAAATCGTACACTTTAGAAACACGATCACTTGTAGTTTCCTCGATAGAATAGAAATCCAAAATTATCTCTAAAAAACAAAATAAACCCTCAGTGCGGCGTAAATAATTCAAGGAAGTTCATCAGTATTTTAATAATAACAAAACTACTTATACGTTTTCTATAACGTATAATACGTTACATTTTCAGAATGTGTATTTGTTTTAATAATACGAGGGAAATACCTAAATTCGCACGCGTTCCGTCCATCCTAGAATTTCAGTGCTGAATATTATAAGCAAACTAGGGACTCACCCTCAATTCGCTCGTGGTTCATCCCTAAACAAAAACAATACTATGCCACGGAAACTGTACAGTTTTCCTTTCAGCCTGTATTACAATGTTAATAATACTTGCTATAGCTAGTTGCCTGTGTGTATACGAGCCGTTCAGCCTGTACTAGAATGTTTGTCTATCCGTGTGTGTGTGTGCGTGCGTACCTGCTCCAGGTCCTGCGTGATCTTGGTCCTGGTGGCCCAGTCGCCCTGGCGGTCGTGGCCGTCGTGCTTGGGCGCGCGCGCCGCCGCCTGCGTCACGATCAGCAGCCGCCCGATGTCGCGGTCCGTGAACTCCGCGTCCGACTCCGAGTCGGACCTGACACGGACAATATAATCTATATATTACTTTATACGCTCATTTTCTTCCATTCTTAGAAGAAAAAAAAAAGATTATTTCTAATTCAATTACAAAAAAAACCATTTAGCTATAAGAACGTAAAGACGTATATCATCGATATATCTATTATATCTATAACTAGCAGAAACAGCGGCTTCGCTCGCGCTAAAACTACAAAAAAATCTTTGGTTTTATGTTATTAGTAATAATGTATGGAAGTTTGCTAAATTTGTTGCCATTTATGATTACTGCTCCGCTCTCTTAATGGGCTATCTAATGTAAAAAGATTTTTTCAAAACCGATTAGTAGTTCCTGAGATTAGCGCGTTCAATCAAACAAACAAACCCTGCCTCTTTATAATATTGTGTACACCAATAATAGTAATTAAAAATGGCACGTCTAGAAAATGTTTTATATATCCTAAAATTGTTGTCAAATGTCAATGTATGACAATTGCCAAACAGGAACAGTAAATCGTAAATTACCGTGTGTATCCGAGGAAAAAAATATTTTCCAGGTAGTAATTGAATTTACTAGAAAAGATACTAAATTTCGAATACTATAATGTCCTTTGTTTATTTATATAAAAAGACCTTCCGTATGTGGAGAGATCAATTAATTTTCGCAGTTAAAAGAAGACCGAGAAGAAATACGAAAAAGAGAGAAAAAGTGGAATAAGATCTTAGTTATTAATCTCTTTCCTCCCACTAACCCTCTACTCCCCCCACCCGCACTCACCACGCGTCAGTGAAGGTGTTGTGGCGCGGCGGCGGCAGGTCCAGCTCCTCGTCCAGCTGGAAGTGCAGCTCCTCGCGCGGCTCCTCCTGCGGCGGCGGCGCGCGCTCGCGGGACCCCGCCTTCGTGCGACGTTTCACCTGGAGACAACGGACAGATATACATATGTTTTGTTCTTTTTATACATTGTACAAGCAGTACAAACTTTACAGGATCACCCGTCAGGCTAACCTGATTGGCTAAAAATTTCATTAAAATCGCTCCAGCCGTTGAGTAGTCCCTAGGGAACATACATATACATATACATGTAGATTTTAGTGGCAAACTTTTGATTTTAACATTACCTTTATAAGTTTCATAATATAATTATTTCTCTAATACTTTCTCAGATTTACGCGAATATTTGAGATTTTAAATAAAACTATCTTTTCGGATTATTTCGCGGATTTATTTTGATTTTTGGTTCGGTTATTTTGGGAAAAGAAAAGATAGTTTTATTTAAAATGTAATTATTTATTGTATACAGTACTTGTACTGTATGTTTTCCTTGAAAAGCAAATCTTACTAATATTATAAATTTGAAAGTTTAGATGTTTAAATGGATGTTTGTTACTCAATCACGCCAAAACGGCTGAACGGATTTGGATGAAATTTGGCACAGAGATAGATTATAGTCTGGCATAGCACACAAGTTACTTTTTATCCCGGAAAAATGTATGGTTCCCGTGGGTAGGTTTGTTTTTATTTTAAATAAATATAATATTGTTTGTATTATTGGAATGGGCATCAAAGGTTTACAAATTAACTTTATTCGATTAGACTTATACATGTAAATAATACTTTTGATAAACCGTAAATATAATTTGGATATAGTAAATGTACTCGGTGAGGAATGTTGTGCCATAGACTCTGAAGGCAGTTCTGCTGAGAGTAGCCGAAGAGAAACTCAACAGTTGCTCTTTTAAAAACCGTTTTTCAGTATTCAATACAACAAATAAATGAAATGCTGGATGTTGGTTAGTCCATCACTTAAAAACCGCTTGACAGATTTGAATAATGACAATTTTAAAATGTTTGTAGTAGTTCAAGTAAGGTTTTACGGAAAAATTGCACATAAAAACATCTTTTAACTATTAATAGTGATTTATCAAGCATATATTTTACTATTAAATAATTTTTGTAGTGTCAACATTGCACCCATACGCCCCACAGACGGAAGCACCTGGAACGCCTATCGACTCACTTGCTGTGGCACTGTTCGCAGTAACCCCACCGGACACCCGAGTCCGGTGAAGTGGACATTCAGTGCTGAATATATCTATTTTAATTTTTATAAATAATATTTAAATAAAATATTAATGAATATATGTATAAATGTGTAATTTTTATTTTGAAGTAGTTAACTCGGCAAACATCATATCCTAATTTCATATATGATAAGTTACACAAAATTTTCTATTTTTCTGAACAATTTTTGCCATTTTTTTTTTGGTCAAATTTTGACATTTTTAACCTTTCAAGGTAAAAAAGTGGATAATAGTCGCTAGTACGTATTAATAATTTTAATTAAAATATTCACCTCAGTCCAAGCATCAGAATCGTTTTTTGCCGAATTAGGGCTCGCGGGCTGACCGCCATCTTGATTTTCAAGTTTCTCTGCATTTGGCTCCTCTGTAATTAAAAAAAAACTAAATTAGTTATTATAATACAAAAGAGAGTGTCATAGAACAAATAATGAAGCCAAATTATAAAAGTACTATTTTTATTTTCTTCTTATTCTATATTATATTATTTTATTCTTGGTTTTATTTAACTAATACAAAAATTGTTAGTTGAAGGTTATAGAACATGTCAAATCACGCTACTATTTTTGACATTTATTTTGGCGGATTCTGTCTATGTAATTCTTTAGTCTGAGGATTTGTTAGGTTTGAATAAATTACTTTCAAAGTAATTAACAGACTTCCAAAATGGGGGAAGTTTTCAATTCGTCGGAATCTTTTACTTGTTCGTAACAATTAATAATATAAATAATTATGTAAAAAAAACAGTGATAGACACATAATAAACACAAGGAATAGAAATAAATTTGTCACGCCTAGATTTCGATTCCAAAAGGTGAATAAATCCTTCATGGGCTTGAGTATACGCATATACATAATAAAATTCCACAAAATGTCCTAGATTTATCTTTCCAAAAATTTAAAGATAAAATTAAAAATATTTTATTGAGCAAGGCGTATTATACTGTTCAAGAGTTTCTTGTTGATGTAAATGTGTGGAATTGAGTGATATTGACTCATATGCGGGCTATCTATATTGTTATGTTAACAAAATAAATGTAACCTCTATATTTAAAAGTGCAACTGTTGTGTTTCTCGCCGGTTCTTCTCAGCAGAACTGCATTTCGAGCCGGTGGTAGCTTAATCGCGGACTGACTACACTGACGCTTTCATTAAATTGACGATTCAAAGCACTTGTAATAAGTCTAATTAAATAAAGTTTATTTCATTTCAAGTACTTTTTTAAACGTATCTACATGCGTTTTAATTTTGCCATCCGAAAACCGATGAACATAAGAGATTAGAAAAAAGCGCACAATTTCGAATTGTGCTCTCTTTTTGAGGACACTGTTGAGATGCTAATTGTGTATCTTGAGTTTTTGTATATCAATGATCGCACGGGCATCGAACTGGCGCTCACCTTGCCGCCGCGCCTGCGGCACGAACTCGGGCACGTCGGGGTTGAGGTGGTCGTGCAGCAGCGGCGACACGCCCGCGCGCCCCGTGCGGAACATTCTGGAAACATTCACATATTTATTTATATATTTTTTTGGGTTTTTGGAAAACGATTTGGGTGCGGGTTTCACTACCATATTATGGTAAGCTTCACTTAACACATAGTATTTGTTTTATATCAATCAGTTCATAAATAAAAAGTTATATCAATGTAAAGAATCAGCTAGGGACGAACCCGAGCGTAGCGAGGGTGAGTTGCTAGTCATTTATATTTTCATAAGAAATTTTATGTATTTGTAGTGTCAACATTGCACCCACACACCCCACAAACGGAAGCATTTGGAACGCCTACTGACTCACTGCTGTGGCACTGTTCGCAGTGACCCCACCTGACACCGAGTCCGGTGGAGTGGACATTCAGTGCAGAATATTATATATTCATTTGTTAATTTGTATTAGAATATCTCAGCAAAAGAAAAAAGTTGAATTAAGAGGATTTAAAAGATATATGTTTAAAGAGCCATTACTGTAATAATAAATTGGCAACCCTAAACATATTCAACCGACTTCAAGTAAAATAACTCATCTTTGAGAAATCTATACTGACCAAATATATGAAGACTGAATATAAATAAACATGATTATAAACAATTTGCATTTTTAATTATGTAGTAATAAAGTAAGAATATATTTTTAATACAATCTCATTTGAATAATAGAAGAATAAAATTTATTCTGTGGAACCGAGCTGTTTCGTATTGTCTCATTTTAAACTCAGTCTTGAATTTTAATGTTATGTAAATTATTATGTTTCATATATCGCCGACCATATCAAATTTTCATAATTTTATAGTTTTTCATATTCATAGATAGCGACTGCTATTATTTATTTGCCAATTAAATTAAAATAGAATTAGGGTTCCGTTGAAAAAAATGAAAACGTACCTAGGGACGAGCTAGTGATTCGCTAGTTATGATATACGAGTGTATGGAGCATGGAGCATGGAGTGCGTACCTGGGCAGCGGCGGCGGCGGCACGGCGCGCAGCAGGCTGGACACGGGCGCCACCAGCGGCCCGCCCATCGTGGCCAGCGGGAAGATGCCCACCATCTGCTTCTTGCGCCTGCGCGATTTGCATTTACATTTATCTATGCTTATATTATAAACAGGTAAGGTTTGTGACTTTGTGACATTGTAGGGGGTAATCTCTGCATCTACTCAACCGATTTGGATGAAGTTTGGTAAGAACATAGTTTGAGACCCTGGGAAGGACGTAGGATTTCTTAATTCGGAAATCGTCCCTTAAGGGGGTGAAAGTGAGGATGTAAGTTTGTATGGGGAATCAACTTAGTGACGAACCCGAGCGAAGCGAGAGTGAGTCGCTAGTATTATATATGAGTAAAAAGAATGTGCAAACATCATGTTTAATTATTGTTGAGTTATGCAGATTGAAAAGGCATTTAAGACATTATAAACTTCAATTTATACTTTTCTATTTTACACTGATACAGATTTATATGAAATTTTGTAGACCCTTGAGCAACGATTAAAGGACAACAATTTAAAAACAAATTGCTAGTATTTTTTTTTCCAAACGTGCCAAAAGAAGTATAACCACAAAAAGTATAAAAATAAATACCGTTTCTCCCCAGGCTTCTCTATCACGTCAGGCTGTAGCGGGGGGTCATCGTTGGAGTCTATCTTCTCACTTTGATCTCCATCTTTCTCTTCATCTCCTTCTTTCTTCTCCGTTTTCTCTTCACTTTCCGCTTTCTCTTCGTTCTCTTTCTCGTCCTCCTGTTCCTGTACATCTGATTTAGTTGCCGGGATTTCTGGTTGCGTGGTTGCTGGTTCGGCTCTTCTTACTTCCATTGGTTCTTCTGGTTCGATTTCTGGTGGTTTTTGCTGTAAATTAAATATATTTTTAGATTTAGAATATGATACCTCTTACATAATTAATACTAGCATTCATCTATAGCAATACTTCAATTGCTTCAATATGTTGATGAAAAAGCTCACATAGCAAGCATTAAAATCGAAAAAAATTCGATCTCAATATGGTAATCTTAAATAAAAAAACTTTTAAAACTCATATATTAGAGAAAAGAAACGATTTCGACGATATATTCCTAAGATAACCGTTTTACAAAAAAGTCTTTATAAAAAAATGCTTACATATATATAACTTTTACTATTATCCCAAAATAAAAAAAAAACAACAGGAAATTTAAAATCAAAATAATAATCTTATATATTATAAATGCGAAAGTTTGGACGGATAGATGTTTGTCACTCAATCACGCCAGAACTGCTGAATAGTATGGTATGGAATAGCACATAGGCTAATTTTATCCCGGAAAAATGTACAGTTACCGTCGTGGCATAGATTTGTTCTATCTGTATCTATTCCACACTAACCGTTAAAAATTATAAATTTTAAACTTTTACTTGAATATAAACAAAACAGATAATATCACACTCTTAATAAAAGATTTTTGACTTTCTCAAAACTAACCTCAAATTCCACACTCTTCTCGTCACTCTCCTTCTCCGCACTATCGCTTTTCTCTATACTCTCCGCACTCTCCTCTGCGGGTCTCTCCGACTTCTCCTCCTTTTCCTTATCAGTTTCTTCGTTATTGGTCCCTGTGTTTATGTCGAGTATTGGCCATTTCGTTGGCTCGAAGGCAGTTCGCACCTGTAACACAATGAAAATATGATTATTTTAAACGTATTGTATATGTATTTAAAACTTTTGTCTGTATATTTGTTTTATATTATTTAATGTTTTATATGTCGTCATCTCAATGCTTATTTATCCAAACAACAGATTTACCGAAAAAGATTATAATACAGAATTATTGACTTTTAAATGTCAATTCTATTGATAATTTCAAAAAATAACCAAGTATTTTTTCATACACATTTTACTTTTAACAAAGCCAAAAATATTTTCTCTAATATACATATGTATATAAATATTAAAAACAAATCTATGCTTTGAAAATAGAGACAAAATTCTCTCTACTGTAAAGTAAAACAAGTATTGGCTGTACGAACAAATAAGCACTCAGGCGAAGATTGTGGTAGTTTTAATTCTAGACAAACTCCTCCTATCCTCATCCCAGGATACCAACCTTGAACCCGCTAACGAGCTCCAACCTATCCGAGTCCCGGATGGCGTCGAGCACGAGCTGCACGTCCGCCGTCAGCGCCCGCACGCGGTGGAAGGACGCTATCAGTGTGACGGGGATGGTGCCGTCCGCGCTCATCTTGCGCCGGAGGAAGAAGTCGCGGGCTAGGTTGTCCGGGCTGAAGTAGTACTCGCTGGGAAGAAAAGGAGGGTTTCGTTGGGATAAATCTATATATAATTACTTTCTTAGATGCTCGGTACTATAAATGCATCGAGAGGTTCTAGGTTCGAGTCCCGGGTCGGCCAAGTTTAGTTATTGAGTCATTTTGTATAGTAAGTCGTTTCACCCCCGTGCCTCGGGGAGCACGTATCGCGTCGATCCTGCGCGTTAACTCTCACCGGACGTGTCTCGTGTCGTCCCACTGGACTATGAGAGTTAGTTTTACCCGCTTTCCCTTGAGAAATACCTTATATCCCGGTATAGTAATTATCTATTACTATATTAAACTTTTAATTGTATTAAATACATAATATAAAACCAACCAGCAATTAACAACACTCAATGTTACAACCAACAGAAAAAGATAATTATATAGTATCTTTATTTATATTACCCACATTTGTCTCTTATAAACATGATTAAAAAAATATTTGAACACATCCATCTCTCTGTCCCTCTCTTTCTTTCTCTCCTTCTCTTTTTCTCCAAAATACATCTGCTTCTTCATAATTATATATATGTCTCCCTCTCTTCCCCCATAAAAAATACTCACATTTGCTTCTTAATGAGATCCTTCAGTGTGCTCTGGTCTAGTGTAACCCCATACGCCCCCGTGCCGTAGTAGAAGGCCTGCATGGGGGCCACGGGCAGGGCGCCGAGCCCGTACCGGAGCACCACCTGGGGCATCGCGGGCTGAACTCGGAGCTAGGGGGACGGGGATTATTGTTTGTTTGTGTGTATGTATGTATGTGTGTGTGCGGATGTTTGTTTTGTTGCTTGGGAATGTTTGGTAGCCATTTTCTTTTTGTTTTAGAAAATTAATATATTTGTTTTATATTTAAACAGTTATTACAGTTACATACATTTTTATAATATATAAAAGAAAAAAAATATTTATGTTAGCTTCAGAAATATGTATTACAGAAAATGAAAAATTAAGTATATCAAATACTTTAGTTTGTTTTTGTTCTCTGATATTTACATTTTTATAAATACATCTTTCTAATTTTAACAAAATACTATATTATACTTACTATATTCAAAAAAAAAAGAAAACAAAAAAAGATGGCTACCTCTCCATTTATGACTCAAAAAAGAATAAATACAACATCCACACACTCTTTAATGACACCATGAGAATGATACACCATTTGTTAGTTAAAAATAATAATCAAAATCTAAAACCTTTGCACACCATCCTAAAGACCAGGAGTTCCCAACCAAAGTGGCGTAGAGAGTATATTTTGTATAACATAAAATAAAAATAAATAAAAATCGTAAAAATAAATGTAAGTTTTATTATAATAAAAAAAATATATAGAGGGGGGCATCAAAATATTTTTTATAATCTGCGGACGCTCAACAGAAGAAAGGTTGGGAAGCCCTGCTATAGACTGTTATGAAAAGCTTTCCATACGTAAACCCATACATTATAAGTATAGGGTATACAAATCAAAGCCGATGCAAAGCAAATCTAATATATTTCGATACATAAAATACATCACAGATTGATGTATAATATTTTAACTATATTAGAGTTCATACATACATTTACCTATTAGATATTAATAATATCTTAAAATATTGTCGGCTGGCACCTACTTCGAAAATATCTGATTAGGTTTCTAAATGAAAATTCTAAATGAAAACCCCCGTTTAGTTATTTTTTACATTTTAGAAAACAAAATAAACACCGACTTCCAGGCAAGTCAGTTATTTTTTTAGTTTTTATTTCTCCATTTTTAGTGTAGAGTGTAGACGTAATAAGCAAGTAATTTGTAAGAAGAAAGTTTTTTAATAACATACTCATTCGATTAAGCAATTTATATAAAAAAATAACTTAATGCAGCTTTTTTAAAATACCGCTCAACCGATTTAGATAAAATTTAAGCGGGACCACCTGGGAAGTATATATACTCTTCGAAACAAAAAAAAAAATCAAAAACATCCAAATCGATTCAGGCGTCTTCGAGTAATCGGTGAACATACATAAAAAAAGATCTGAATTAAGAACCTCTCGTATAACATATTATACATTATACATGGTGTACTTTTCTATTGATTATAACCATTGCAACTTGTCTAAGAAGGCTAACTTAATATAAAGCAGAAAAGCTAAAAATTAATTTACTTTACTTATTGCAGATATTGTCTTCTTTATTAGTCCGCATGTAAGGTATAAAGGCAAAAGTGACTAAGACCACAATTGGTATCTATTAGATAGGACAATTATGTACAATTTTAGTACAAAGTACACTTTGGCTATATACCGCCACCCACACTATATAACCCAAAATAACCGGTAAAGCATGAATTACACGAATATAACCTTGAAAAAAATCATAATAAATTACTGCTTTTTATGAAACTTTTCACATTAAATATATACAAAAACAAAAAAAAGGTGACAAAAAAAGGCTGTACATTAAATATGTTTTTAGTAAATTCTAATTCTAAATTTGCCAAATCTAGTTTTTAGAATTTTTGTCTGTTTGGGAACGCATCACGAGAAAACCACTGGACAGATTTTGATGAAATTTGGTATGGTGATAGCTGGTTATTCGGGTCAATATATAGGATACCTTTTACAGCGGGAAAATATCACATCTCTAAGAAATCTATACTAACCGTTAAAACCATATATGTTACATACATAATAATTGCTAAAAGCAGTTAATTTTATTTTTTTTCTGTAAAATAACTAATATGCCATCATATTTAACAATTGTATCGTATTAATTCCTATATAGCAAATGCAAGATGAAATAAAACCAAACCCATGTTACTCCAATATAAAAAAAACATAATAAATGATATAATTTAAAAAAAATAAGCAATATGATTTCATATGAAATTGTATGAAAGAAAGGGATGGGGAAAAGGTTTAAAGCATCGAAGTATCACAAACCCTTCGCGATGTGAAAAGTTGTGATACCACAGACTATATCGCCTGGTTTAAAAAAAATAAAAAGAGTAATCATGTGACAAAAAAAACTTAAAAAAAATTTCAAAAAGCTTATATACATGTGCTTAGTTTAACAAAAAAAATTATGACACAGAAAAAAATATATAAAATTAATATACATAAGAAATTTAGTGTGGAGATGGCAAGTGTTTCTTTTTTAATTTACTTATACAAATATTTGTGAGCGTGCATTTAGTGCTTAAATATTTATTTCTTTAAATATAAAAAAAAACTATTTCCGTAAATATGCTTAGTTTAAACAAAAAAATAATGACAAAAAATTTATTAAAAAAACAAAGGATTTTTTGTGGAAAATAGTTGCTTTTTGTATATGAAATACAATCAAATGTGTTTGTATGTATGCGTGTGTTTTTATGTATTGCGTGCATATTATCATGTTATAAAGCCATAAACTTATAAGATCAAATCTACCATTAAAATACCTTTCAACTTGCATATATAACTATAAATATTAATATAATATTTACCGAATAATTTATAAATTATAGTATTTAGACTAAATATATTGTCTAGACAAAAAAAAACACTAAAAACAACAAAAAGGCTAAATCCAAAAAAACAAATTGTTTGCCTAACCCACATTTTGTACAATTTAAAAATAACTACATAATAACACAAGTGACACTATATAATATATTTAATTTAATTATCATCTATTAGAAAGATGCAAGACATTCTCAAAAAAAATAATTAAATAAGGCCTGTTTCACACGAACCACTCCAACAATCCACACATACAAACACTAACCTGAGGTATATCATGGTGTGCCACGTCGGGGTGGTACAGGGGGTGGGCGTGGGGGTGGAGGGAAGCGCGTGTGCTCGCCCTCCTCGCACCGCGGCCTCGGAGCGAGCCGCGGCCTCGGCCCGACCCGCGGCCTCTAGTGTCCTCGCCGTTGAGGGACACCGTGTCTGAGGATAGGATCATTCAAATGACTATTAATAAGCGGACTGTGACTTTATCCTCATCATATTGATGGCCCATGTCCAGTGGGACGTTAAAAAGGACTGAATATAATATATACATCATATAATTTGGTGATAAATCTGTCTTTAAAATTATAATTATAATTTTGATACATTAAAAAGGAAATGTTAGGGTTCTATTCGTGATATAAATATTTCTCATAACAAAATTATTTTATTTTTATAATTTATAATTCGATATATTTAATCAGTTTAGTCAGATTTAGATTCAGCTATAAACTTTTAAGCAGGTAATGCACAATATTAACACCGTTTTAGTGCATGTTATGTTTCCCAGAAATTGGTGGTAAATTTTAAACACTGTCTAAAGAGCTTCCATTTTTTTGTATATTTATATTATGTACTTCTGTTCAAGATCCTTAATAAATAAATAAAATGAAAAATATAATTATATGGAACAACACGTAAATCGCAAAGGCCACACAATCATTAGCAAAAAAAAAACTATCAACAATCTTTTTTTAAAACAAAAACTTTATAGTAAATTGTATCATTTTATACAAATAAAAGACCTAACAATAAATCTATAAACGTTAATTATACTTATAATTTATAAATAAAATGTTCTCCTCATAATATATTAGGATTTTATTAAAAAAAAACCTAAATAATTTCACAAAGAGGTTTTACTTTACCCGTATTGCGTAACCCAGTATCTCTATTGAGTCAGAGATTAGAGGCCTAAATTACGGGCTATTTGGATTTTTAAGTTTTAACCGACTTCCAATTCTTAAAAGGAGGAGGTTCTCAATTCGTCGGAATCTTTTTTTATTTACGTATGTTCACCGATTACTCGAAGACGCCTGAACCGATTTGAATTTTTTTATTTATGTCACCTGTTGTGGCCCTTGCTTTAAATGAAAAGAGAACCTTTTTGGCATTGTTCCGCCATTTTTGTTTAAGCTAGCGGCGCACTATAAAACTGGAATATATGGATAGAAAACACTTAGATAAATATAAATGTATCGGTAATATAATGCCCTAAAGTGTCACGTTTCCGAGATTTAACCGGAGGTAAAGATAACCATACGAAAACTATTACAATAAATAAAAATCAACTCATTAACAACGTGTTAATGAGTTAATTTGTGTCAGTTGTATTAAAAATAACATCGACCAAACATATAACCTTCTCTTTTCGGTCATTTAAAATATCAAAATATCTCAAAAACGTGATACTTTAGGGCACCATATTGCCGATATTAATTGTTGGCATAAGTGTTCGCTATCCATATGCCAGTATGACTCCGCGTCACTACTTTGAAATAAAATTAAAATGGCTGCATGTTGCAAATACCAGCTTCCATACAAAAATGTTCTAATCTCTTTTATCTATACAGATAAATAAAGTTGAAGTGTTTGTTTGTAATGTGAAAATAACAGCTTATTACTAAATGCGTATAAAATTATAAGAAAAAAACTATTTTTAAAATATTTATCGGTCTGTCTGTTTGTTTCGGCTAATCTCCGGAACAGCTGGACCGATTCGGACGGTACTTTCAATGGCAGATAGCTGATGTTATAAGGAGTAACTAAGGCTACTTTTATTTAAGAAAAATAATCAGGGTTTCGCGCAAAGAACTAAAACCCATATAATTGTGACAAAAATCCAAATACCTAGTAATCGATGTACTCGAACAAAGCCAGGGTAAATAATCGATAGTATAATGATTAAAAAAGTAAGATAATCAACAATTTTAATGTCATAATCCCAATACATATTGCAAATAATAATTATAAGCTGACATTTTCTGAGATGTCAAGTACAATCAAGCTAAATAAAAAAAAAATTAAATGATACAGTAGAGCTTTATAGAACTACTTTTTAAATGGACGCTTCTTTTAATGTAGATATGTATGTATGTATGTATGTATGTATGTATGTATGTATGTATGTATGTATGTATGCATGCACATAATATGCACGTTAAATGTAACTCTTTAAGCTGTCATGGTGACTGACAATATTCTTATGAAGTAAAACAGGATGTTTACCACGTTTTTCATATACTTTTCATCATGACGTGTTCGACGCCACGTTTGGCTCGTTTGTAGTGAACCTACTTGCTGTGCCAACGGTCGCGGGTTCGAGTCCCGCTGGGGGCATTCATTTGTGTGATGAGCACTAATGTTTGTACTCCAGTCATGGAGGTTTATATATCAACTATCTGGCATCCATAACACAGGCCTCGTAGCTTACCATGGAACTAGATGGTGCTGTGTGTTAAATGTACCAAAATATTATATATTTATATTATATTGTGATTCATCATAAAAATAAATACTTTGTATTCAAAAGTGTTTCTTTCTAAGCATTTTCTTTCAGCATTATGTATATATGTATGTATGTATGTAATCTCTTACCATCTTGCCTAGGCGCGTACTGAGGTCCATGTTTGGAGGGTCTGGCGGCTTTCACGTCGATGTCGAGAGGCACCCATTTGTGCTTACCCGATTTACTGCCACCTTTGCCAGCTGGAATGGGAATTAGAAATTGAATATTTTTTAACGAACATTTAGAAACTACTTGATTCATAGAAAATTAAAAGAGGAATTGTTATTAAAACAGATAATAAATAAATAAATTAAAAAAAAACGAAAAAATATAATTCAAGCAAAATGTAAAATATTCGCGTAAACCTAAGTTAAAGTATTATATTTAAAAAAAAGAATAGAATAGAACAATATACTCTTACTGAGGCAGTGGTAGCCGAGTGGTAGGTAACGCGCTCGCTTGGAAAACCGAGTGAAGCGGGTTCAAATCCCGGGTTTCGCACCGCTGATATTTTCATGTGCGAATCATTTCCAACCACGTGTCTTACGGTGAAGGAAAACATCGTGATGAAAACTGTATGTCTCAGAAAACCTAGCAAGTTTTCAAAAGACATGCTCAGTCCGCCCGCACTTGTCCAGCGTGGTGGACTAAAGCCTAAAGCCCACGTATTGAAAGGATGTCCACCCCCAGTAGTGGGACGTTAAAAAGAACTGAATAAATATTCTAACTCTAATCATACTCTCATAAACATAGCTTAAAACTATCATCTATAGATCCTTAAAATAATCTATATTTCTATTACCTGCAGATTTCGTTTTATCGTGTTGTGAATGTTTGTCGTTGTGGCCCTGGTGGTTCGGAGTTGGTTCCACCTTCTCCACCTTCACCTGCTGCTCCTCCAGAGGTTTTCGCTCTTGGTCCTGAAATTGAGAGGCATTAGATTAGGCATTGATTATCGCTAGTGGTTTTCAAAATTTCATTGATTCAACATTAGGGAACTATACCTATTTAACCTTAAAAATCACTAAATTCTTCATTGTGGACTATAGATACTTTTTTCTGGAAAATATTTATGGAGCCTTTAGTCATTCCTTTTTCATAATAATAACAATAAATATGTTGGTACATTAACACATAGCACCATCTAGTTCCATGGTAAGCTACGAGGCTTGTGTTATGGATACCGAATAGCTGTTGATACACTACATGTTTTTCTTTTTATACCCAAGGAATATAATTTTTAATCTACAATAATAATAAACAAACAATTATATCAAAATTGCATAAACTTTCAAATTATTTTTCACTTCAAAATACAAAAAAAAAAATTTATAAGACCATTACCACAAAAAATCTATACATTAAAAAAAACTATTAAAATCAATACACAATTAGCCTAGATATCGCGTAACATATGTACATACAATAAAATATTAGATACAGCTTCTTTTTGAAATCGGTCAAAGAGCATTTGACATTCGGACATTATCGTCCCTGACCCAATAACCTATACAAGAAATTGATGTTTTCAGAAGGTTAGAATTTCCCGCATTGCTCATGTTATAGACCTACCTACTTAAAAAAATGCATTGAATGATTGATGATGTACATACGTAATATATGACTAAAGACAAGGAAATGAAGACTTTTGTTTGATAAATTATAATGAATCTTCTAAACACTACATTTGAAAATTTTAATAAATAACATTATGTAATAATAAGAGCTCCGTTTTAACAAATTTTATGCCATTTCTATACATATAATAAAATTGTAACTAAGACGAATCTGTACATTAAATATTTTTTGGAAAATCTTATTGAAATAGACAGTAATATCGATACAGAGGCCGAATCTATAGTTTTTAGAATTTTTGTGTTTGTCTGTCTGTTACCGCATCACAGAAAAATCACTGGATGGATTTTGATGAAATTTGGTACGGTGATAGGTGGTTATACAGATCAACATATAAGATACTTTTTACCGCGGAAAACATCTTATTTCTGAGGAAAAATACAAAAACTGCATTGTAAGAGTAATCTAATATTTAAAACCTAAGAATTTGGTTTTTGGTCATCTGAACACGGACGGAGCCGCGGGCAATGCTAGTTAACTATAAGAATCATCTATACATATAATAAAATTGTAACTGATCGCTGTCTGTACATGGAAGATATCTGAGAAAAACTATTATTGGGGGTCTTTATTAACGCAACAGAACACAAAACAATAATTTTTAGAATTTTTGTCTGTGCGTTTGTGCGCGCTAATCTTAGAAACGACTTAACCGATTTCGGTGCGGTCTTCACTATTGTATTATAGTAAGCTTCACTTAACATTTAGTATTTGTTTTATTTCAATCTGTTGATAAATAAAAAAGTTATGTCAATTTAAAAAAATCACCGAGGGACGAACTAAAGTGAAACGAGGGTGAGTAGCTAGTATTAAAATAAATAGATTAGTCGATAAGCACTGGAACACGAATAAGCCCTAGAATTTCTACATACAAATATAGTATGCAAAGCTACAGACACAATATGACTACCTCATCAGGGTATAATTTTAATTAAAAAAAACACATGAAAGTTTGTATGTATGTATATGTTTGTTATTCCTTCCCGTTGGAACTGTTTGGACGAATTTAGATAAAATTCATTACATTGACAGGCTATCAAAGACTAAAAAATAATTAAAAAAGTCCCTAGCATAGAGACGGTAGGTCGTTAGTGGAGAACATAACTTACAGCATTCCCGTTATGATGTGCTGGGTCATCCTGTGGGGGCGGTGTGGAGTGACACCTGGCTCCGGCCCCGGCGACGGCCGCGCCGAGGGTGGGCCAGTCATCGCCTATGTCCGTGAAGTCTGACGCCTGTCAACAAAATGTAATGATTTAGACAATTCTGATCATCGATAACATAATCGATCGATAAAATCGATTTATAATTCAAAAAAAAACTTATAATGTTGAAAAATTAACAAAACTCGTATATTAACAATGTCCTGACACATTATGCAAATAGAGGGATCTTGACTTTTCGAATACTGACCGCAGTCCAAGGTTCGACAGTCTCACAAATAATTATTAATAAGAATGTATAGGAGATATTCACCATGTTTTTAGCTTAGAATTGAAGCAAAAAACATATAAATATCTCGTTTCCCCCTAAACTCTTCCGCAAACCAAAAAATATGTAGCAGTTTTTGATGCGGTTTAACTGTATACATATTGGTAGCTCAAAGACCCCTCGAATAGACCGACTAAGGGTATTCTACAGTCTGTGACGATCCCCTATTACCTGTCCATCATGACCGACTCTCGCCCAACTCTTTCTCGTCCTCGCCTTCCGCCTCGTAGCAACTCCGGCTGTCATAATCACGTTTGGCTATACTTATCTATTGTTTTATAGCGACATTTTTCTTTTCACAAATATTAATATTCACTTTGTATTACAATATGGTATAATCTGTGTTATTTAAAGATGTGGTAACTTAATTATCTATCTAGACTAATATTATAGAGCGGAAAAATTTGTATTTTTGTATGTTTGTAACGAATAAACTCACAAACTACTGGACCGATTTAGGTGAAATTTGGTATGAAGATAGTTTGAGACCCTGGGAAGGACATGGGATATTTTTTATTCCGGAAATCATTCCTGAAAGGGGGTGAAAATGGGGATGAAAGTTTGTATGGGGAATCAACCTAGGGACGGACCCGAACGAAGCGAGAGTCTCTACTATAATATAAAACTACTGTATGAATCATAAAAGCCCAAGCGAAATTACAGAGCCTTATGCCCGATTTCACCAACATCACATAAGCTACCACATACGAATGGGATCCCTAGCTTAAAAGTTCCCCTAAACTAGCCCCTAAATTAAATTTCGTTCTACCATCGTCAAAGCCCGTATTTCTAGTACATATATTTAGGTGGCATTTTAACATTTAGGTGACCCCTAACTGTCGGTGAAACAGAAACTGTCCCCTAACAGCCCTCTGACCATGCTTAGGGGTTCCCTTAAACTTAGGTGACGTTGGTGAAACAGCCATTAGAGTGCTAAAAATTTGAGTCGTCGCATCAGTGCTTATTTGTTCAAACGACCAACAATTGTTATCCTTTCAGCGGAGACATTTTTCCCTCTATTTTTAAAAACATAGTTTTTTTCTAATATTTATATACATTTTTATATAGATAAAATAATTTCTTCCGATTTTATTAACGTGAAATGTGTATTTAATGCATAATGTAAATTGGTTGTTTGGACAAATAAGCACTGAGACGACGAACTGTGGCTCTAAGCATAAAGTGTTATATATCTAATATGGCAAAAAATTATGTAGAATACTATATATTGCAGTAGTTTTATTGAAAACTAAGCAAGAATTTATTTGTATTAAGCCTTCAAAAAGATCAAGAACATAGTAAGATTTTAAAACTTTATTAATATAAAATTGTTTATTAGAGAAATAATTTTCTTTTCACATAATTTATTATTATGGATTATTTTCTTATACTGATAATAAAAAAACACAAAGTGCTAATAGACAAAACCAGTATCTAGTCACACTATTTATTTAAAATGCGAAAATCTTTAAGAAAATATGAAAAATTATAAAAATAATTCTAATATGAAAAATTATAAAAATAATTAGTTCTCTTCCCCTTGAAAGAGAGAGGTACCTAGCATAATATTAGCTTATTTTTTTTTCTTATAATAAAATCTGTTATTTTATTTTTATTAAGAAATTAACCTGGAGGAATTTAACATTTATTTACTTGTCACAGTAATGAGTATTCCATTAATATTTGTACATATACTGCTTTAAAACATTATAATATACTAGCGACTCACCCTCGCTTCGCTCGGGTTCGTCCCTAGGTACGTTTTAATTCTTTTGAGCGGAAACCTAATTCTTTTACTAATATAAAAGCAGCCTATGTAACTCCCTATAACATCAGCTATCTTCCAGTCAGTAATCAGTAAAGTTCCGTCAAAATCAGTCCAGCCGTTTCAGAGATTAGACAAACAGACAGACATAAATTTTAAATAAATGTGTTTTTCTTATAAATACCGTATATTCTCGTAATTTCATCTGCATTTAGTAAAACGCTGTTATTTTGACATTACAAACAGACACATCAATTTTATTTATCTTAAATTCTACGTCACTGCTTAGTCTGAGGTTTACAAATAGTAATAAATAGGCTACTTTTAGGCATCTAAATCGTTAGTTAATAAGATTAAATAAAAACTTTTAAATTCGATTTTTTTTAAGTTTTTATTTTTCTATTTTTAGTGTTATCAAAGTAGTAGCAAATTCAAAACAAATATTTTAAAAAAATCAGTAGATGAAAAATCAATCAACTCCTATTTTCTAGACTTAGGAGTAGATTTTTTTTTTAATTTAAATGGGATCAACTTTGAGGTAAACCCTATCCAATAAAAAATCATCGATATCGAGCTGTCTGTCACGTATGTGCTGGACACGAGCTGGACACGAGCTTCCCTTCAATGAGAAGAGAGGCTTCACCACGCTGGCCAAGTGCGGTTTGGCCGACTTCACAATTCACATGTCTTCTGAAAACTTGTTAGGTTCCCTCAGGATGTTTTTCTTTACCGCAAAACTAACGGTGATCATGTTGGAAATGATTTGCATATGAAAATATCAGAGGTGCAAGACCCGGGATTTGAACAAGCTTCATTCCGTTTCTCGAGCGAGTGCGTTACCACTGGGGTGCCACTGCCGTTATCAATTCAATTTTATTTATTTACTAGCGGCTCACCCTCGCTTCGCTCGGGTTCACCTCTAGAAAAGCACAAACAGATCTATCCCACGGAAACCGTCGGGATGAAAAGTAATCTGTTGTTTGAGCTGCAATATAAGGTATCATGGCATGGCAATGGCATGGCAAATGTTACTAAATTAGGTGAATAAGTTGTTGTGTACTAAGCTGTAAAAGTTGTTATAGTTTTTTAACTATCCCACGGGAACTCTTTAACTTTCCGGGATGAAAAGTATCTAAGATGTTGCCCGGAGATATAAGGTACCACCATGCAAAATTTTATTTAAATTAATCCAATAGATTTGGAGATTAGCCCGTACAAACAGAAAAACAAACAAACAGCTCGCTCGGGTTCGTCCATACCTACGAATATGTTGTATTATCTCTTTAACCATTTGTCCAAATTATATGCAGTAAAAGGGAAAAGTCTTTTGTTTTAAACATTTTAGACGATAAATTTACTTATTTTGATAAGAATTCATAATTGTTGATAATATGACCAATAAACATGACCTACCGATTTAAATTATTTTTTTAATATAAAAAACTACTTTTTGTGACTTAAATATAAAAGTTAGACATATGCTGTCGCTGACTTTTTTGTAGGCATTATTAAGCTCTACAACTTTTCTCTAGAATATTATCATATATCTCTCATCGTTAAGGCAGCGTTCGTAAGAAACGTTTTCGTTCGACCGTTTTTTCTCCGACTTACTTTGCAAATCCGACTACCACGAATGAGCCTTTTAATTTTTCGGGTTAATATATAGCCTATGACACTCACAAAAAACGTGGCTTTCTATTGGTAAAAGAATTTTGAAAATCGGTTCAGTAGATCCAGAGATTACCCCCTACAACGTCACAAACTCACAAACTCACAAACCCACAAACTCACAAACTCACAAGATCACAAACTACCTCTTTATAATATTAGTATAGATATAGATTGTTCCACCATAGGGATGGTTCCTTGTGATATTTATACGAGACTACCATTGAGACTTTTTACTAAAATTGGTGATTATATCCAAGTAGGTAAAAACTTCTTTTTGAAATCGCTCAAAAACAGCTCAGCAATAGTCTGACAAAACGTAAAATCCAGCAGTCCCACTAATTATATATAGATTGACAATAATTAATAACAATATTTACCTGACATATAAGTTAAGCACATTATAATGCAAATGAGTGGCATTTGGGTAAACTAGGAAGTGTTTTACCGGTTTACGATATTGTATTTCGATCGCCGCGTACCGGTTCTATAGGTTGCCTGTAGAATACCTACCTCCAGTTCGATATATATACTTGTGAATTGGTTTGTATTATCACCTCCCGGTAAATTTCTAACAAATTAATTAAAATTCTAAGAAATCTATTGTTAACTGACACGCCGGCGTGTCCGCGGTCGTGGAGGGATTACTAAATGTAAGAATAAAAACGATTAACAATACCTCGTATTTGAAGTCAGTCAAAAATTATTAGACCGTTAGTTCTTAGCAAAGCGTAACCGAGGGGTCGCTTGTATGTATGGCTTCCTACGTATTTTATCCAGTTAAACGGTTCCCTGAGGATAATTATAATTGAATAACTTATAAATAGGCAATATATGTATTATGAATCAACACAACATATCCATATATATAAATATCAGAACACGCGGCTTCGCTCGCGCCAAAACTACGAAAAAAAATCTGTTTAGCTATATAAATAATAATGTATGGAAGTCTGCCCGATTTGTTGACATTTATGATTACAGCTCCGCTCCCTTGGGTAATAGCATAATGATATGTAGCCTATAGCGTTCCTCAATAAACGGGCTTTCAAATCGGATTAGTAGTTCCTGAGATTAGCGCGTTCAAACAAAAAAACAAACTATGCCTCTTTATAATTTTAGTATAGATAAATAAAATTAAAGTGTTTGTTTGTAATGTCAAAATAACAGATTTTTACTAAATGCATATGAAATTATATACGGTACTTATTAGAAAAACACATTTTTTTATAAAAAAATATCTATCAGTTTGTTCCGGCTAATCTCCGTAACGGCTGGACCGATTTAGACGGGGCTTGCACTGGCAGATAG